GGGAGTAGGTATGATGGAGATAAGGCGAGGAGGAGGTTCAGGCACCCGGGGGGGGATCGAGACACAGATTGTGTGCCGGACTGAGGAGGAGAAGTAAGTTGATGCAAGATTGAATAGGACGATTAGAAAAGTCCCCTCCCCCTAACTGCAGGACGAGGGCAATAATGGGGGGAATCCAGATGGCACAGGTGGATGATTTTGGGAAGGCGGTCGAGTTGAGGCTGACGACTAACTGGTTAGGTAGGATTAGTTAACTTTTAGGTACTTTTAGGTACTGTTCATTTCTCATGTACCTGGGGATTGTATACGATGTATATTACCGTTCAATACAGACTGGCCTGGTGCTGCAGCTTCAAGATCATCCGATGGAGAGGAGGAAGTAAGGAGAGATGGAGGGGAAAGAATGAATAAATATCAGGGGAGACTTAGATTAAGGCCATAGCCATAGATCCCATCGTAATAACAAGCAAGATTAATATAATAGTTTTAATACTCATACTAATATCAATAAAATAATCAATCACCCGTTCATCCTGCTCCCCCCATGCAATCAAAGTCCAGGATGAGATCGACCGGAGGGCTGAGAAAAATCAAATCAGATAGAAACAATCATCCTGCGCCGCTGTTACTCAAGTTCATGCAATGTCTCAGATAACAATCTCCCTAACTTTGCACTTGTTTCCTTGTTGTTTCGATCCTCGTCGTTGACAACCATTGTCTTGAGTCTGTCAATGTAAACATGGAGATAGTCCCGTTCCCATGTGAATGATTGTCAGGGCCTGGGTTGCTATTCTTATCATCCCAAGTGGGGACCACACGTTTCCCTCTCATGATGATTAGCCGTAGGGGGAGGATGACAGGGATCGACTTGGGTAAGGACCTGATGAGTGTCTTGAACCTGATTATACTAATCAGCGGTGGCTGGCCAAACATGGCTCCACTAATGCAACAAGAATCTCATGTGTTTACTCCATACAGCGATGATACAGCTGTCCTGTAAGGATCCCGTATCCATCCACCGGATTCTAACCGCTTTGGTCTTAGCGGGAAACTCGATGCCTGACAGTTATGAATGCATCCATGACTAAGGCGGATGGGGTGCCTGATCTCTGAGGGACCAACACTCGCTTGCAGCGCTTAACCAGTTGCGGCCAGCGGCACGGCAACCATCCAGCAAGTCCACGCCTGGCGTCAAGATCAAAGCGAACCCATTCAGTCCGTCACTGATTCATTATCCCACTCCCCACCCCCATCTTCAACTGGTCCCCTCATATCCGTGGATTCCCTATTTTGGTTGATCTGACTCGGGATCTTCCTCTCTCTGTCGCTACCTGATCCCCTCTCCTCTTGGCCTATCCCCCCTCTCTCTACCAGATTGGTTCCGTCACATTTGGACAAACTTACCCCCCTCGTCGTGCGGCCCGGGTCCTTTCCACCCCTCTCCGCTCTCACTCTCCGTTGGCTCGACCCTGCCATCTTACCCGTTTTTCGCAGCTCCAATACGCGACCGATCCTTCCTGCGGACTTCGACGCTTTCGCTGGGATTTCTAGGGTTTGTCTTTTTTTCCTTTTTACTCTTCTCCATTTTGGGTCTTCTCTGGGGCGCTGCTCGGCACGTGAATCGCGGAGGTAGTTGGTGAGTTGTCGTCGACGAAACCCTCTTAGTCTGTCGCGCCTCTTCCTGACGCTCCGGTCTACATTCATAATAGCATGGTGGTTACTTCCGAACTTTCGAGGAGCTCCGTCCCGATTTGATCACCCCGTCGATACCCGCCAGCGCGAGGCATGGCGCCTCCGCACCCCCCTAGACCGGCTCCGGCCGCCGCCACGGCTGAATCCATGCCGGCCCCCTCGACTCGTCCCGTGAATGGGGAGGCTCATGCGGCAAACATCCCCACCCCCCCGTCAGCGTCCGTCGTACAGAATACGTCCGTGAATCGCAAGAAGCAGAAACGCAGGCAAAAGCAGGCCGCTCGCCTTGCGGCGGAGAACCAGCTCGGGAACGGACACGTGCCGACGAGTGTCGCCGACCGGAACGGCTCCGGGTCCGCCTTACTCGAGAGCGTTCTGTCGTACGAGCCGGACTTCGACAATGTGAATGGCGACGTGTACTACGACGACGAGCAGGACGCTGCGAGTGTCCACTACGATTTCCCCGACATGGCGAACGGGCCCGACGATCATCCCCGGACCGCAGGGCGGAAGTCGAAGAAGAAGAAGGGCAAGAAAGGGCGGTCGCACTCGGAAACCATGGGCGACGAAAGTCCGACCTCGCAGTCCACCCCGTCCATCTCCATGTCGTCGCATCCGCTTCCCCCGCCGCTGCCCCCGCACCTCGGCGCCGGACCGCTGTTGAAGGCCGCCAAGGACCGCAGCATCTGGAATACGTCGACCCAGGAAGAGCGCGAGAACATCAAAACCTTCTGGCTCGAGCTGGGGGAGGAGGAACGTCGTCAACTCGTCAAGGTCGAGAAGGATGCCGTCTTGAAGAAGATGAAGGAGCAGCAGAAACACTCGTGCAGCTGCACCGTGTGCGGTAGGAAGCGGACGGCGATTGAGGAGGAACTAGAGGTACTTTATGACGCTTACTACGAGGAACTCGAACAGTATGCCAACAATAACCAGAGCTCCTTTGAGAGAGGCTCCCCGATCGTCCCTCCGCCCCGCCTATACCAGCAACCGTTACGATCCCCCGGCCAACACACCCGAACGCACGGTCAGTTTCACCCCTCGCGAGGGCGCATCCACGAGTTGCCCGAAGACGACGACGACGGCCTCGAAGAGGACTACGACGAGGAGGATGAGGACGACGACGACGACGACGAAGAAGAAGAAGAAGAAGAAGACGAGGATGACGACGACGACGACGACGACGACGAACCGTACAGCGACGATGAGTTTGAGGACGAGGAAACCCGTGCTGCCCGTGCAGACTTCTTCGCCTTCGGAAACAGTCTAACGGTAAAAGGTAATGCCGAGGCGACATACCCCGATTGCAATGACGTGAGGATAAAAGCTGACGGAGGCGCTCTGCCTCATTGTTCCACCACAGACGGGATTCTCACGGTTGCGGATGACCTACTCAAGAATGACGGGAAACATTTCATCGACATGATGGAACAGCTCGCTGAACGTCGGATGCAACGCGAAGAGGACACCCAGTACGGTATCGCTGCCGCCCATCAGTCGCTTCATGGTGGTCACAACCATGGGCCTTTGGACGACGAGGACTACGACGACGAGGAAGACGAGGACTACGACAGCCAGGAGGAAGAGGACTACGAGGACGATGAGATGGTCGGTCCAGGGTTTCCCCCATATCGGTGCATTGCCGGACGGAACGCAGGCTGACATGGTCACAGGATGCGATGACGGAAGAACAGCGCATGGAGGAAGGGCGGCGAATGTTCCAGATCTTTGCGGCTCGAATGTTCGAACAGCGCGTCTTAACGGCGTACCGGGAAAAGGTGGCTGAGCAACGTCAGCAGAAACTCATCGAAGAACTGTTGGAAGAGGAGAATCGAAACGAAGCGCGGAACGCCAAGAAAGCTCGCGAAGCCCAGAAAAGGAAGGACAAGAAGAAGCTCCAACGGCAGGCCAAAGAGGAGGAGAAAGCCCGGAGGGAGGCGGAAAAGGCAGCCGAGGAAGCGGCGGCGAAAGCCGAGCAGGAGAAAAGGCTCGAAGAGCAACGGCAGAAGCGGGAAGAACAGCGCAAGAAGCGGGAGGCCGAGCGAAAGGCCCAGGAAGAGGAGCGTGCGCGCAAGGAGGCCGAGAAGCAAAAACGATTGCAGGAAGATCGGGAGCGACAAGCAGAAGCGGAGCGGAAGAAGGAGCAAGACAAGAAACGGCGGGAAGAATCGCGGCGAAGGGAGCGGGAAGAGCGCGAGTTGCGGGAGAAGAAGGCCCGGGATGAACGCGAGCGCAAAGCGCGGGAGGAACAAGCCCGGAAGGACAGCCAAAAGGCCGGTGTACCGGCGAATCGACCGTCGCATCCGGGGCTCGTCCCAATCCCTGCGAATCTGTACCATCCTCAAGGGCCCCCGGGCCACCACTCATCACCGCACACCCAGATCGCTACGCCGATTGTCCCCAAAGCCCCAACTCCCGCCCGACCCCGTCAACCATCCCAGCAAGACTCCCACAGCTCCTCTCCGCGATCCCAAGCGACCAGCGCAGAACCCTCGCAGGTCTCCGTCTCCCCGCGATCCATGGGGCCCAGCCAGTCCTCTGGAGCCTCAAGTGCTACGTCCAGACAGGGCCAAGGACCACAGTCGATGCTCCACCATCCTCAACCTTCGACACCGCTGTCCCCGCTGGGTCGCACTCATCCGCCAGGGTTCCCAAGCGGCAACGGAATGCCACCGAATCCGCCGGGGTTGGCCGGGATCATGCCTCGGCTGCCAATGAGCCATGACCTACCTACGTATCCCCCGCACACCGGGCCACTCATGAATCAGCCGCGAGGGTTCCCGGCACCCAACGGCATCCCTGTGCCCCCGGGCATAAATGGATCCCGTCAGATGGGTCCCGGACGAGGATTCCCGCTGGACCCTGGCCACAATCTTCCGTTCCACGGCCAACCGCCCATGTCGGGTGCGTTCTCCACGCCGCCAGGTGGACTGTCCCATGGCCATTCCCGGCAGCCTTCCGGTTCGTTTGAGCGATCCCCCCTTGAGGTGCATCACACCCAGCCATTCCCGATCACTCGACCCAGTCCTATCAAGCGCCCGTCTAGCACCCAGCAGGAGCAGCCGGGGGACCATGCACGGACGACCCGTGGGGATGTAGACAAACTGAGTACCCAGCTGGGCAGCAGTGCCCTCCTTGATGACACAGATATCCCGTTCACATCGAACCTGTCCCAGTCATTGCCGGGTGGCACTCTTCCAGGATCTTTACCGGGACCGACCCGGGCCAGCTTCGGCGCGCCAGCGCTGTTCCCGGATCCTCTCAGTGGTAAGTCGATCCAACGACGGCCGGTTTGGAAAATCCTCAATGCGGGCGGGGCTAACAAAATAACAGCACCGAAACACTCTAATTTCCCCAGCCCCGGAGTGGGCAGCAACACGTGGGGCCCGCAGATTCCCTTTGGTGCCTCCGCCTTTCCCGGTGCCCCGTCATGGGGAACCACACATGGTCAGTCGACAACGCTTTCTCTCTTCCATCTAGCCTCTACTAACCTACACTCCAGGGAGCGGATGGGCCAATAACGTATTCGGATCTGCAGGTCACCACCGTGCTCACACATCTCGACCTGTTGCCATCAGACTCCTCGTGATCCAAGCCTGCAAACAGCTCGACACGATGACTCCATCTAAGGGCATAAGCGGCTATCACGACGTGAAAGTCATTGGCCGACAAGTGGACCAACTCCGACCACCCAACGAGCCTCCAATCTCCCTGAAGGAAATGCTAGACATCTGCGACACCGAGGGCAACCCGCAAAACGGCGGCGGGTCATTCTCGATCCGGGACGACGAGGCAAGCGAGTTCGTCAAGTTCGAACCGGATAACAACAGCGCCATGGCAGGCCACCGGGGGAGCCTTGTCCCTGGAGAAATCGGCAGCCCCGTACCAGGGAGCAGTCTACCGGCGTTCGGGGGAATCGGCTCGACCTCATCTGTGCTACGGCAGTTTTCTCCACCAACAACGGGGTTCTAGGCGTTTTATTTTTTTGAACGAGGGGTATTCTCGCACAAATTTTCTTTCTCATACACACACAACACACATACTGCATTTTAGGTATCGGGTGGATTCACGGAAAGGGAATTGATTGATATGATATGATTATTTTGATTTGTGTCCTCATTTTTTGACGCCCTGTTATCTTCGCTTTTCTTTTTTTGCGCGCACTTTGGGACGGACGATTGACTGATGGATTCATTACTTACTTACTACCTTACCTTATGTTCGATTGATTGATTGATTGATCAACTGGCTACTGGCTTGAAATGAATGAATGGTGAATTATTGCCATAATTGACCGCAATAAATGTTTCCCTGTTGGTCGTTTTTTTCTTCCTGCTTTGTCCGAAGCGTCTTGTCTTGTCTTTTGTTGACTTGTCATGTCATGTTGCTCATGCCTTTCATACCTACCTACTACTTACATCAAACATTACCCAGGCATAACTTTACTACTTACAATACCATCAGGCATTCTCCAAACATATAGGTGATACCACCTTTGATCATATCCTTTCTGTTTCTCTTTTTCATATGGTTGTTTGACTAGTATCACTGCATCCTTGTCTCCCCCATCCATCACATGATGGTGATTATGATGACTATAATACTCCATGTAGTGTTACGACTGCTACACGGGTAAATGGGTAGGTAGGTAGGACAGTATCATGATGTAGTGTATACACACCTAGATAGGTATATGTATAGGTATAGGTATACTATTTATATTGATAGAAATACCCGCAGAACGGTAAGAAGAAAAGAAGAATAAATGGAAAGGGAACCCCTGATGATACACCTATATATGTGGCTGCAAAAGAGGAAAAGAGAAAAAAGTAAATAAGTAGATAGATATAGAGGGAATCAAACCATCTTACACAGCGAACAGCAAATATAAAATAAGATCTTAACAGGCTAGGAAAACAGACAGACAGGGACGAAATCCAACAACGGATGATGGTGATAACACGTGATGATCAATCAATCATGAACGAAGGGGAAAAAAGAGGCACGGTACAAGATGGTAAAAAGGGGAAAGCATATCGCATCATACAATCGTTCTCGCTCACTGCCTTGATTCCGTCACCACACCTTCGTAGTCCCTGGACCGGATGTAGTCCAGCGTGCGCTGGAAGTGCCGCTTGGGGCCTTCGAGGCTGGGATTGGGCTCGTCCTCGTCTGTCTGCAGGTTGGAATGGATGAGCTCGATGAGGCCGTTGAGGTATTTGACTGTGACGGTCTCGTTCTGCTGGTCGAAGTAGTAGACGTAGCGGTTGAGGATTTCGACGAAGAGTTCTACCGATACGGCGGTGTCCATGCAGGCGTCGGCGACGCGGAGAGCTCGCTGGAGGCATTCGAGGACTCGTTTGCCGTCGCGGTAGAGCTGTGGTTTGGTTGATTAGCATGCTTGATTCGACTATAATAGAAGGGGTGACTTACGTTTTGGGGGTCTTCGTCGCCGCGCTGCGGGTTCTCGACGACCCACCAGAGATGGCTGGCAAGGTAGACGGCTCGGCATTGGTCGGGCTTCTTGAGTAGCTTGCTTCCGTGTAGGGCAGCCTTGGTGATGAGTGTGTCGTAGTTCTCCTTCGAGAAACCTCGCGTGCCGTGCAGTGCACCTGAAATGACACAAACAGCTTGGAACTGGGCGCGGGAGTCGCTGATGGAGTCCTCGTAGATGGTGAAGGCCTGCGCAAAAAACTCGTAGCTGAACTCTTCGAAGCCAGTTTGGTCCGCCACTTCGCCGCACATTACAAACAGACGGAGAGACAGATCGGCGCATCCTGGGTTGACGCGTTGGTAGAGGTTGTTGACACATTGGTGCATGAATCGATAGAGCGTCGAGGATTGCGACTGCCAATTGTCATCGTAATGCTCGCGGGATTTCAGCTTGCGCGCAAGTCGTATCGAAGCCGTTACGAGAGCCGGCGTCGTGTAGCGGATCCGCTCATTTCCGTCCAGATAGGCTTTCCGAGTGGCTTGGAGGAGCTACATTATGCAGTCAGAAAGTGGCTTCAAAGCCTACACCATCTAATATGAGGGGGCTCACCTTGAGCTGGGTGTCGTTATCGGGAGCTCGGAGCAAATGAACTAGGCGCGCCAACCACCCTTGCTCCTCGATCGTTTCGTCCGTTTCTCCCCTTCGTTGGGATTGCATGCCAGGGTAACCCATGGCCTGCTGTGTACCCTCCTTGATCAATACCCGGATGCATTGGAGGACGCGGTCAAGGTTATCCGTTGAGGTGATGGGAGTTTGGTTTTTCAGAAGGCTGCGAGCAATCTCCCCGGCCATCGATCGCCGCGTCGTATAAGATTGCGAGGTCAACAGAGGGACATAGTGCGGCAGGGCAAGGGCGGTGAAAATCGAGGCATAAGAGCGGAGGGGAGCTAGAAGAAGCTGGGAAAGATTCTGTTGCGCCGGGGCGGAGTGCAAGTCTGCATGGTCAGTATATGCGGCGCTCTCTTTGGTCGCAAATGCAAGGACCTGATCAACATAATCGAGTCGGTCGGGGTAGGTATTGAGGGCTAGGTTGACGAGGGACACCAGCAAGGCCATGGTATCTTGGATCGGAATGCCACGGTTCTTAATGATACCGACCACCTGCTCATAGAATATAGAGTACAGCTGGGATTCCACAGACGGCTTGTCTTTCTCCTCGCCATCGCCGCCTTTGTCATCTGGCGCAGGCTCTTCTCCTTCCTTTGCTTCTGGGGCCGCTTCCTGGTCATTCGAGGCCTGCTCGACGCCGTTCTCTTTAGCGGCTGCATCTTCGGCAGTGCTTTCCTTTTTCTTCTCTTCAGAGACCTTGAGGTCCTCCAAGAGCTTTGTAACAGCTTCCTCCTCGCCCCGCTTTCGGGTTTCCGGATCGTCCGAGGGCTCCGTCTCGCGCGCCGCATAGGTCGAGAGGCGATCCATCAGGCCGATGACAATCTTCTTCAGATCGACATGGGGGTTAAGGCGGGAGATTGCCGTGAGCAAAAGATCCAGGGTGTGGAGGTGAAATTCATCCGGGAAGACCTTGGTAACAACTTCGAGAAGATATTCCTGGGCCAAGACGTCGCGGCACTGGACGACCTGCTCCAGTAGCGCCTGCAAGATGCCAGACTTATAGGCTTCCAGGTCCACCAATTGACTGAGCCGGACAACGTTGCTTCCGACCAGCAGCTCCAGCTCCCGGCGCTCCTGCATCCGCTTCTCCCGCTCGCGCGAGGGCCCCTGGTGTTGAAGCCTCACCCACAACTTGTTCATCTCGACGAAATTGGTCAGAACAAAGTTGATCGAGTCCTGCAGATTCCCTTCCGGCCCATCGCCGGATCCAGTCGGCAGGTAGTCGCGCGCCTGGCCCGAGAGGTAGTAGCGCAGGAACAGGCCGCGGATCGGATGCTGCACGCCCCTGCTCATCTCCATCATGTCTTTCATAATTTCCTTCACAGGAGCATCCTCCACGGACATGTACACCGTCCCGACAGTGATCATAAGGTAGAGTCGTGGGATTATGTTACCCGCATACTGAACGAGTTCGTAAAGGTCGGCCAGGTGGTTGACGGGGTGGTTCTCTTTCAGGTAAACGGAGAGATGTCGCAAAGCGTCAAACACGGCCATGTATAATTCGTAGTACTGCTTGGGGCCCAGACTCGGGGTGCGAAGCTCAGATACGAGGGTTGATCTAGAACCAACGGGTTGTACATTGTTAGCTGCCATCTGGCTCGATTCACACTGCTGCCTGGAACGAGTCGAAGCTCACCCGCACTTGAGAGCATCCATGAGCTTGCCAGGAGTCTCCAAACATTTCCGCATCATAATTGACTGTTGACGCACGACCCCCAATGCCTCCTCGAGGAGGCGACTTTGATCGTCGGAGGCCGTCATTGGGGTGGCCATGGCGGAGCGAGTGGAGGGAATGACCGAAAGAGGGGAACGAGTCGGGATGCGGTCGGTGAGGGATGGTAGTTCAGGTGGGAGGGACGAGGTCAACTAATGGGAACCAAGGGTACAAAATAGGGATAGTAGAGAGAAGTAGAAATTAAAAAGAGAAAGACCAGGTAGGTTCCTGATCCATGCGACAGGGGGGGGGGGAGGAGAAGGAAGAGGAGAGGAATTGCGGAGGAGAGAGATGGAGATAGAGGGAGTGACGGAGGTGATGAATGTCATTCATTACTAGCCGGAGAAAGCTATGAGGTATGGTCATGTATGGTAATCTCTAGGGAAATGGGGACTGAACTAGTGCCGATGATGACGTATTGTGTAGTATTGGTTTGTATCAACCACTTAGCTCCCCTACTTCGCTATATATATTACTGTCGCATCCGTCAATCTCAGCCTCACCATCTCTACCGTCTATGAATATCCAAAGAAAGTATGTCAATTGAACCCACTTATTCACATGAAACGCAAATTATGGATGATACTCTCGAACAACCATGACAACCACAAAAGAAATACCAACAGGAAAAATAAACAAAACGCCGTGTTACATGAAGAATGCATGCATGACAACCCGCTAAAAACCCGAAAAAAGAAGGAAACAGAAACAAGACACGCTCTCGTCCATCATGCATCATATCAACCATTCTTTGTTAATTTAATCCTGACAATCTTCCTCATTTCAACAAGCCGTGCCAAGCCATCGTCATGGCGTCATTTCATGGAGGGGTGTTGTATGGAGAAGGGGACAGAGGAATGAAAAGGGCAACCGAGACACAGCATTCTAGATAATGCTTCCGGTCTCATTGCGCCTCTGCAGGGTAGTTCCGTTCAGGCTCCGCTCTTGGTGAGAGGTTTCGTTGCTCCGCTTCAGGAATTGGCGCGCCTGCAGCTCAGTGGCATTGAGTGCAGCACGGGCGAAGTTGACCCGCGCCCCATCATCAGCGCTGCGTGCACCGACGCTTGAAGCAGTATCATTGCTGCGGGCAAACAGAGAACGAGTATCCGTGCTGTTGCTGCTGCGAGCAGAGAAGGACCTGGCCTCAGTGCTATTGCTCCGTGCATGAAGGTCTCGGGTCTCAGTGCTGTTGCTGCGGGCACTGAGCTGGGAAGAGGTGTGGTTGCTGCTGCGGGCAAGGAGGGCGCGCGTCTCCGTCTCATTCGTTGATCTTCCGAAAATCATTCGACGAATAATGCCCTCGTTCACGTTGGATTCGCGGCCCTCATCCGCCGCCTGGGGGGTAGGGGTGGGAGTGGAACGGGCCTGAATGCCCCATGATGGCGGACTCGGGCTAGGCGAGGGTGACTGAGGCACAGTGATGGTTTGAGGTTTTGGTGTGCCATCGTCTCCGGCGACATTGACAACGGTGTAGGAGGGCGTATCGTGACGCCTATACACAGTTGCATTGCCCCGGCGCTCCAGAGCCGTATCGTTGCCGGGGCCCCAGAGCATCGGCACGGCATGCGCACCAATGGAGGAGAGAACCAGAAGAACTGCGGAGGGATGCATTTTAAGAGTAGACAGACAAAGAAGAAATCAATTGCGATTCAAAGTAGCACGATTTGAGCAGAACAGAAGGGACTGTTCTCGTGGGAAGATGGAGGAAGATAATACTAAAAAGATAAAAGACAGGAGGATCGAATTCAGAGGGAGGAAGGGCCCTGTTTTATGATCCGCTACGAATACATCCAAGCACAGAGCATCTCAAATCTCAAAGGGAACAAAAGGCTTCCATCATCACGCAGATCGATCGGAGTAAAACGTGCAGGATGTCCACGCCGCCGGCCAAGGGAGGCTGGGCGCATCTGGGCCACCTGCGGTCTGCCAGCCACGTTCATTTTGTGCCGTCTTCCACGCAATCTATTATATTATCTTTAATTGAGTTGCACTCCACCACGGCAGAGCGACTTCATGATGACCACATCGAGTCATTGTCCGTGATCTCATTTGTCTCTCTTTCGGTGGCCGGGGAGTACACAATTACCAAGTAGCTGAGATTATAGCGTCGATCCCGAATCAACATGAAGAAAGATGCATTCATCATCCCATGTGACACTAACCAGATGTGGCTGGACTGACCCACCCGGCCGGCTGTGGTGTATCAAATCGCGCTATGCAGGGTACAACATCCGACATCATCGCTGCGATATCAGGTTATCATACAGCCGGGCATGCTCCAAGACTAGTCATTCTGCAGATGTTCTATACTTGGCAACACGAGCTCACACATAATTTCCTGTCAATCAAAGCTTCCATTGAAATCATGCATCCTCCCGGCCGCGTCAACGTCAAGGGCAACGTCAGCCAGAACGGTTTTCTCTACAACGCTAGCCCTATACATTTTTCAACTGCCTGACAGGATGCACTCTTTTGAATGGGGTATGCGTAGCGTAATGAGATCTTTTGGGATGACAGACACGACACCAACATCTGGCCAAACTGGCAATCTACCAGTAGTGCTATCGCTAAACTACATTTCCGGCTAGACTCACACTCACGAGGGAAACAATTGGACGAAAACACCTGAGATGATAGTACACATGAAAGTATTCAGGATATCTGAGCCACTGGAAGACAGTTGGAATCCTTCCGCGAGTGGCATAGCCACTGTGCTACCAGCAGAGCACGTATATGCGTCTTGCGTTGAAAACTAGAAATGCAGAGCTCGGTTGATCTGTTGCCCTCACGAGGGAGGCAGTGGTCCTTGGTCTGTGCCTCACCGCATGCCTGGCTTGAGTGGGGGATGCATATGATTCTAAGCATGGCGATTGAACCCAGAACGCTTTAATTTTTAGGGTCTACTGGAGATACTAATGTATATTCGCCTATTTAACCAGATATCTTTCCCGCTCTAAAATCCAAATACGTATTGATGGATGATCAAACGTGGGGACTTTATGCACTACTGAAATTGACTTCTCTTGTTTATTAGAACCCAATCCTGCGGTCTACACCGTCTCTTGGTCGGATGGTAGATTATCGAAAAATTTCTGATCATTTTTTCGTTTACAAGAGAGGACGCTCTCGCGGTTGGCATGCAGTCTATTAGCAGATCCAGAAAGCCGCTGCATTGGTTTTTCTGGGTAATTAGTGTCTGCAACCACTCTACGCAGTGTGTGAAAGTGTCCGCAGGTCACTCTACAGTCACCCGTGGTAAGTGGGCGTTATGGGCTTGTGCAATGCATAGTTACTCGATAACGCTACTGCCTACTTATCGACTATATATCAGCGTGCGTACACTGTCAAAACTTCCCATCAAGACATCCTATCAGACCTGTTACCTATTCACTGGAATCTGGAGAGACTGACCGCTACTGGGAATGCTGGTAGTTATTTTTAGCATACCATGCTGTTACCCATGGAGTGGTTATTGGGGACCCTACAGGCCATGCGGTTGTCGGTACAGCTGGTGCTAATAGGGGCTTGGCGCTTGTCTTATCGACTGTACAACAGCATATATACACTTGTCAGGGGACTGAATTCGTGTATTCGTTCCTGTCTGACGGTCATGAGAATTATAGAGCGGGATAGGCTTGTCTGTTTGGTTGTGTGGAAATGGTGAATGCAACCAGCGAACATGTCCGCTGATTTGCCGAGTTTTCCCACATAGATCGTACTTAGATTCTTTATAATCCTTGCAACTTTCATAGCTTTAAGCATGATTCTGAAGGAATTATCAAAAACCATAAATATTTGACTGTTTCCATCGGCGTTGTCCCGGAGGTCGTTCCGTACACGTTTGTCCAAGATGAAAGGAGATAGTCAATGCTACTACTTTTGAAACTAAATAAAAATTTTAGATAGCACTGAAGGACCCTGATCCCACTTCTCTATCACCTCTCCCCGCCGTGTTCTTTTCCCTTGTGTTTTTCTTCTCAGTGAGAGTATTGAGAGAGCGGAATGTGGCGAAATGAAGTTAGATTCCTTGAGAGTAAGAATACCTGAAGATCTAATACCATTATTCTTTGTCTACAATTTTTCACATTCTGTAATAGAAATAGTTAGTAGTATTCATGATCCTGTCATCATGACACCATGAAAAACATAGAAGATTATATGGGAGAACTGATGAAAAGGACTGAAAATATTAATGAATTTAATAATTCTTATGACTCTGAAAAAGTTGCCAATAGTTGTAAAAGACATGTAGAGTTAAAAAACAATCCGCGTTAGAGAACTTTGCATGTTTGACATCTCCTATTTGCATGTCTCATAATTCAACTGGTGATGAAGAGCAACAAGGCAATATACATGACAGCGACAAATAAATTAGCAAGCAACGTTTACACCTTCTATATGGTTGAATACAGCAAGTTACTCTTATCTAGAAAATGACAAACAAGATCTTGACACAAGAAACCTACTACCTTGAGCTAGCTTAGGTTGTATCTTGTTCTCTCTGATAATGTACCTGATTTACTTGCAAAAAAGAGAAGAACAGTTGAAATTTAGATGTAATCTAAACATTCGTTAGTAATATTAACAGTCTCCCTATACAAGTTATATCCTGATAATATTCATTTGAAAGGCCCAAGATATGTAGACATCCTAGGCCAACATTTGATTTATACTATTAGAAGATATTAATCACTATACTAGCACAGCAAACTGCCTTTAGAGGCCAAGACAAGTGATTACTATACTTTACTATTCACTTACAGGAAAATTTCATATATTAAATCTTAAATTCACTTCTTATCAATAGTCATATCCTATGCCCTAACTCACTCCCCTTACGTCTCCCACTTCTCCCACTTCTCCCACTTCTCCCACTTCTCCCACTCACTCTTCTCTCCTTTCTCCCTGCCATCCACTACTCTCTCTCTCACACACACACACCTATACTCTCATATCCATCATCTCTTCTTTCTATATCCCCCATCTCGTCTCTTTCCACGCAGCATACAATGTCAACCTCAACTCTGGAGATGGCTACGTATGTCCTGCATCATGTTTTCCTGCCCCCCAAACTTCCTGACGGCGCAGATAACGATGTCGCACACGAAATTTTTCTTCTTGACAGAGTCATCCAGGCGCTGAGATCTTTCAAGAGATACGTCTCCTCGGATGCAGCATGTGTCATTTCTTCGGCGACTACAATGATTTGTCGTCTGCGTTTCATCTATGACAAGTTCGGCCATATAGACAAGACTAAACTGAAGAAGACATTGGCTCAACTGTATTCCGAAGGTTAGAAATAACTATTATGATACCTTCTGAGACTGTGGAACTGACAATCAATAGGAGGTTCTATCCCGGTCCACGTGCGCGCCCAGAATGCCGCTCTTCTCATAACCAAGGTCGACAATGGGATCAACGTGGAGGCATTTGAGCTCTCTCCGCGCAACGAACAGGTCATCACGACATTGGGTCGACTGCAACGGATTTTTCCGGGGCCCGCCTTGGAAATGGACCCAGACGCATTCAAAAACCCTGAATTCCTGGTCACTATAGCACAAGCCTTAGAGCGGATGAGCCATCAGGAGGTTGCCAATACTCGAACTCAGGTGACAAAAGCAGGCCAAAAGCTCGACGAAGACCGGGACACCACTCACCCCAAGATCGTGACAGAGCTTTTAATGGGGTTTTTGCGTCCCATGTGCAAAGCTACCCATGTTTCCCGGATCCGCAAGAGCACTCACGAGGAGGTCATGTGGAATTCCAGCAGGTCACCGTGGCGGCGATCCCCTCTCTGGTTGCTGATCCGTGTTTCCCTGCAGCTTGTGATGTCTAGACAGACCAGACAAATACCACGCTTCTTCGGGCTTTACAAGTACTTCATGGTATTTTTCATGAGCCACTTTCTCGACTGGGCGTCTGAATCCGGGCTGTCTAGTGAGCATCTGCAAGCCATGAGCTCTAAGATTGGACGGAGGCTACTCAAACTAAATCTCCCCAGCACTGCACCCTGGATTCCTTTTGTCCGCCATGCTTTAGAGAAAACGGGCCACATCATTGACGGTAGATGGCAGAAAGCTATAGCACACAGCGGCTATAAGCATGACATGTCGTTGCTTGAGTGTCTCCACTTTGCCGAAGACATCTACTATACCCTAGATGATCTTGATAAGTTCATCATGGATATGAAGGCGCGTGAAGCAAACATTCAGGGCTCTACGAATTTTGAACCCCCGACGATCCGGATCGGATTTAACGCTACAGAGTTCCCGAAACTGTCACGCACCTACAACTCCAAATACGAGACGTATAACCTGGCCGCTTTAGAGCAATGGATTGCTGAAAATCTGGACAACTGGCTTCAAAAACACATAGCGGACGGTAATACATGTGGTCAGTTGGGCGGACTGATGCAAGGATACCACCAAGTAGCAATGGACACATACCGTGGCGATCCTGAAGCCATTTCGGTCATGATGCTCTCTCTCCTCGAGCTATGGATTGCATGTGATAAGTCTGCAACACACATTTACGGTATGCTGCACGACTACGATCCTTGTGTTCCAATAGAGACATTTCAAGTACTAGTTCTACGCTTCCATTCCCAGCTGGCTAGGTTAGCTCGGGCCGAAGAGTACATGCGCCGGCGACAGCAGGGCGTCAGGTTCCCCGGCCCCGGCATCTTCCAAGAGTTTGGCACTCGTAATTGCTTTTCTGTGAGATACTTTGATGGTTCCGTTGACCACAAAGCCCTACTGGACGAAATCGAAACACATGCATACCTCGAAAGAGAATCAAAAAAGGCGGAGCTCCGTGAGAAGAAGACTTCCTATGCTCAACTAATGAAGAAATATGAGCTTGCCGAGTGTGAATACTACGAGGTGTCCGCTGGTCCAGAAGACATTTTTGAGAAAAAGCGCCATGCTGTGTCTTGTCAGAGATGCAGCTATAAAAAACAAGCATACGATATCAGCATTGCCATTCACGAATGGCCCTTATCCAGAAACAGAGATGAGATGAAATCGACGATCTTTGAGCTCCATCTTCCTCGGCCATTTGGAAATTGGCGGGATACTGCTATGTTTTTCATAATGGATGCCTTAGGCGTGGAGTATTCTGAACAGATGTGGCCACGTTCAACACATCCATTGTCAACATACAGCGGTCTTCATGGCTACTTTACACCATGCAAAAATGTGCAACGCATATGTCTCCTTTCGCAAGATAAACCTCATGGAATTACTCACCGGAATTCGAAAAACATTATTGAAGTGACCGAGCATGATGTCTGCCTAGACAATGGGCTGCACTTTCGTTATTTCGACAGCAAGATTGATTGTTTCCTCGCTGCTTTCAAGATGACGTACCGCAGTGCCACCCTATGTGTTTATCAAATGCCCACAGAGAGCACATCCTTACAAGGGTTCCTTTTTCGTCCATCTGGAGCCCCTGACGGACCCCCACCGAACCAGGCCATAGCCTCTCAGCGGCATACTTGTCCAGAGCATTTGACAAGCGCGGAATACAATGCACTGTGTACTATTCCTCTCGGGGTCGAAGTGCAATGGCAAAACATCCTTGTGCAGCTGTCTATGCCGCAGATTGACTGGAAAAGGCTGGAAACGTGCATTTTAATTCTCCAGACCATTTACCAGGCTGGGCCACCGGGTGAACAAGAAGTCCCGAGAAAAGGCCATAAGATCCTTAGAGAGGAAAGTTTTGCCAGGACCTTACTAAACAAGATTGCAAATTCCATAGACAGGATCAAAGACAACTGGGAGTCAGCGCAAGCGCTCTGCACATTCGCATGTATAACATCAAGGGTGCTGTCGCTAACACTTTCAGACTCCATTCGGGAAACTTGCTTAGAGATATTACAATATCTACGAGAGATTGTTTTTGAATGGGTCGAACTTGTCAAGGGAAAAGCCAGTAGGGCAATTTATGGTGAGGAGCGCGATCATTTGGTTGCACTGACCGTTCGCCTTGCTTTGATTTGTGTATGCTCCTTCGACACAGAAGACGAGTACCTGCGCACTACACTCGCCAGGAACTCGGAAGCTTCACTGTTTATATTGTGCTGTGTGACAATTCAGGAGTGGGGAAATTCGCTTTATCCACTCGAAGCCTCCGATCCACTGCTTCCAGTCCTCCACCGACGTTGGGAAACCCTCTGCTACCGTACTCACCTAATTTTGACCCGCAGAATTCTTGAAGAAAACAGCAGAGTCTTGGATGTAGCCATCCAAAGAGCATGGTCAGGATTTCGGGGAGGAGACAGTTGGTCGGCCGTGACAGAGCAACCGTCTTGCTGGCTTTATAGTCGCACCATGAATCATGGAAACGCAGATAGGAAATTACTGATTCATTTCAACCTACTGACAGGTGAGATCCTGGTCAATGGTCTTCCCTTATCTAGCCTTCCTTCCGAATATGAGACCCACCAGTCTTACCAACGGCTGTTTGGCCACTCAGCTCTGGAAATCATGCCGAGCCCTGTCCCAGGGATGGATTTTTCTGCTAAAAGAGATCATATGGAACACACGGTGCATTTGGGGCTGTTACGGACCACTGATAATTTCACTACCGACCTTGTTGTTTGTGCTGTCAAAGGGGAACAAGTGCTCCAATACTTACCACCGAGGTTGCTAGAAGGCCTCTTCCCCGACGCGTTTGTGCACAACTTTGTTCATTGGTATGACGACTATAGAAAACTTATCGAATTTCGCCCAGCTGGGCAGGCATGGAAATCATCCAGTTCAAATTGGAGGCTCAGAAGAGATCATCGAAAGGGCTGGTGCCTTGCGAAAGATGAGGATTACTTGGTGAGCATAAAGAGTGCAACAGCCGAAACAATCGGTTGCATTCTTGCTCCAGTGGCCGAACCTAGTAAAATCCACTGCATTCTCCACCTGGAGTCCTCACATCTCGAGATTGACATCCCAGTTCTCCAGCTTGGCTTCACCCTTGGGAAGGGAAGTTCTTCCATCCGGAGCAAGCAGTCGCGCGGAATGGAAGTTGATGGTGACCAATCTCTGGACTCACTTGTTGGTTTGCACAACAGGCTCCTGCTCAAGTGCCCAAAGCGCCTTGGAAGGGCTGTGATTGTACCAGATGGAGAAGTGGACTTCCAGAGGGAAGGCGATCATGTTAAAGTTAAAATTGACTTGGAAACCGCGACCAACTTCCAAGTTTACACAGTCGATTACCGACTCGGTCAATTGGTCGACAACGGAAGCCTGCAAAGCAAGCTAATATTGTGTTATCTACATGCTCTAACATCCTTTTGTATACCTGATCCTCTGACGGGTAGAACTGGAACCGAGCAAGCCCTCACCATTCTTCGTTCTGCAGCGGTCAGGTCATTCGAAACTCTTCACCCGGAGCACACAAGCATACTCGCCAGTATCGCTGCCTTGACGCCAGAAAGGAGATATTATCCAGCCGGGGAACGTGTGATGCAATCAGTTACTTGGCAGAAGAGTCTGTCTTTCCTAACTCAACATGGGGAATTCTACACCAGGGTAGTTGACATATTCGATCAAGATCGCCGACAGATGATGCTGTCTTCAGCCAAACACGAACGCCATCCAGACTTGCCTCATGTCGAAACGGAGCTTCTGCAACGTGACAGTATTCGGTCTTCTTTATTTCGTGTCTCTGAATTTGGTGCTGAGAGCCATACATGTGACCAAGATCACTCGTATCGGAGCCTTGACTGTAACCAGGAATCTCAAGAAGGCTCTAGGGCGTTCCTTATGTCGAAAGCCATATATTCGGGAATTCCCATAACTCGAGCGAGGCCGGCAGATAATTTGCTATCCCATCTCTGGCAATTTCTATCGAGTGTTGATTGCATTTTTGGATCAAATAAAGAACTCGGCGATATGAAGGGGAAGTTCGATGCCCAGGTAATCCTGGAACCAATGGAGTTGATATCCCAGCATTGGTGCGCCATTCATAACCAGCTTTTGCGGTCTGGTCATAAAAATCGACTCAATAAGTTCCAAGCCATGATGTGGTTTTCAACTATGGCATTTGCCAAGGATGTGGATATGACAGTCCTGGAAGCATTGGTTTCGGTATACACTATCTCGGAAATGGACCAGGTGAACCCCCCTTCAGGCGCTTTGTTTTACCTCTCGAGAGGTTATCAATTTAACAATTCCGCCCTACTCCATAAACTCGGTTGCTCTCTACTACGCATCGAGAAGTCTCCTGATTGGACCATTGCATCCTACCCTGGCGAGGCCCGCACGGTGTACAAATGTCGTCGATCAAGAACATTTCAAAGAAACAGAGAGAAGGCGCTTGAGCAATTCATTTCAGCAATTCAATCACAGTGGCCAGTCAGGTCGCCCAGCAAGCCCGCATTTGATGGCCCTCTCAATATCTGGTCTTATATCAATATTAAAAGTGCAATGGCTATTGTTCGGGAGCTGTTCTCTATTTGGTTCGACAACATGGAATTCCGAGATTATATTCGCCGCCTCTCGCATGTTTTCAGTGAGCAGGCAGCTCACAGTATAACGATCCAGCCATATATCTTCCAAACATATGACAACCCAATGCGACATAAACCTGGATTTGTTGGTGTGGGTGATATTCTCTGCGGAAAACCTCCTAATGTGGATTTGGAGCCCCCTCAACTTCAGAACCTTTTGAGAGCCGCGCCACTTGGTTCCAGCTCAGAACTTCGGTCTCGCATACTCAGCAGAAAGCTAGAACTGCTATCGAGGTCCAACTATGAAAAAAATTACATTGACCAGTTACGGGGTAGCATCGAATCTCTACAGCAGACTTCAAGAGACTGGAGCATTGTGTTTACTGATCCCCACTTGAGGGATGTACTCGCAAGCCATTTGTATTTGTGCCAAGATCATTTACGTTCAGTATACAATGCCATCACAGCACGTATGAGTCTCCAATCCGTGGAAAACATGCCATGTGAAATGCAGCACCCAACACGCCATGCTGTCATGGCCACATTAGCATGTGTACGCCAATGGCCAAGGGTTTCGCCCATTCTTCTACTCCAGCAGATGGCACATCATAGATGGGTGAGGTTGACGGATGACTGGAAGCGCTGCTTTGTTGCATATGGTCTTGCACTTGCGGCCAACCAACGTGCGGAGAGACTAGTCAGTTTGATTGGGGCTCGCGAAGATCTCATCCGGGAGATTAGGAACAAAGGACACACAGACTGGGATCCTCTTGAGTTCCCTGAGACTCTGTTGGTTGAGATTGAGAATAGTATCCTCATACGGGAAGTCCAGGAGCAGATTGCTAAGCAGATGAGAACCAGCAGACCCGGCAATGTGGTGATGCAGTTGAATATGGGCGAAGGGAAGTCTTCCGTGATCATTCCTATTACGTCGGCTGCACTTGCGAATGGTAGCTGTCTGGTCGTTGTAATAGTGCCAAAACCCCAGTCTCGCCAGATGTTCCAGATGCTAGTATCTAAGTTGGGGGGGCTATTGGATCGCCGCGTTTATCATTTACCGGTTTGTCGCACTTTGAAGATTGGGGAAGCCGAAGCCAATGAAATCCGGAAGATATGCCATGATTGCATGTCAAGCGGCGGTGTTCTCTTGGTTCAACCAGAGCACATACTATCGCTGAAACTGATGGGTCTTGAAAATCTGATTTCTGGCAGTGGCACCGTCGGTTCCTCGGTTCTAAAAACTCTAGATTTTTTCCGCACTGACTCACGTGTCATCGTGGATGAAAGTGACGAGAATTTTGGTGTGAAGTTTGAACTCATTTACACCATGGGTAGCCAACGTCCAATGGAGTTTAGCCCGCGGAGGTGGATATTGATCCATCAGCTACTACATATTGTGAGAGAAATTGCCCCAGACCTCCATAAGGAATTCCCTCATTCAATGGAGCTGGAAGATCTTCACCCAGGCAGTTTCCCACGAATGAGGTTTCTCCATCACGATGCCCAGCACAGTCTTATGGTCCGGCTTTTGGAGCACATTTGTGACCACGGGATTGAAGGCTTGCCAATCTCGCGGCAGCCGAAGGCGGTTAGAAACGCTGTGTTCAATTATGCACTCAACGCAGAACTTGAACCAACGCAGATTGCTGCCGTTGAAGATCAAGGCACGACAGGCTTTTGGACTGACGCGACTAAAAGTCCACTTCTTCTTCTTAGAGGGCTTATCGCCGGTGGAGTCCTAAGCTTCTGTCTAGGTCAAAAACGCTGGCGCGTCAACTACGGACTGGATTCGGAAAGGCAGCCACCGACCAGACTTGCAGTCCCATACCGCGCCAAGGACAAGCCTTCTACGCGGTCTGAATACAGTCATCCAGATGTTGTTCTCATACTGACGTTCCTGAGCTACTATTACGGTGGACTTGGCGACGATGATATCTTCCTTTCCTTCAGCCATCTTCTAAAGTCTGATCAAGCAGATGCTGAATATGCGGCTTGGGTTGTGGACGCCCCAGGTTTGCCAGACTCCTACCGTCATCTAGTCGGAATCAATCTCGAGGACCGTTATCATTGTTCTAAGGAGGTGTTTCCCAGGCTCCGCTTTTCAAAAAGTATGATCGACTACTTCTTAGCTCACCTTGTTTTCCCAAAAGTAATGAGAGAGTTTCCCGAAAAGCTCACGGCTTCCGGTTGGGACATTGGAGAGACCAAAACTCATCCAACAATTGGCTTTAGTGGCACGAACGATTCCCGGACAACATTGCCTTTGGATGTGGAACAGCTAGACCTACCAGAGCAAAACCACACCAATGCTTTGGTGATTGAGAACCTTCTAAGACCTGAAAACTCAGTTGCGTTCTATCACTCACAGCACCGTGAATCAGGCTCAGACGCAAATGCTTTGCTTCACATGGTGACTAGTCTGGACCCCCCTGCACAGGTGATCCTAGATGTAGGGGCCCAGATAATAGAACTAAGCAACGTCGAGGTAGCGGAGGCATGGCTCAAGCTGATCACAAACCACAAGCAAACCCAGGCTATAGTGTTTTTTGATGAAAATGACGAGCTTGTCGTTTTGGACCGAAAAGGACGCGTGGAGGCGCTGCAAATTTCGCCCTTTTCCAAGCAACTTGAACTGTGTCATATATTCCTTGACGAAGCACACACTAGGGGAACAGATCTAAAACTACCGGAATATTATCGTGCTGCTGTGACTTTGGGGGCGGGTCTCACAAAGGATAAGTTGGTCCAAGGTAAGAGGGATCTTCAACCATGAGTATGTGTACAGGCCGTCCGCGTTAACCCTATACAGCGTGCATGAGAATGAGAAAACTGGGCAAAGGACAATCAGTCATCTTCTACATACCCGACGAAATCAAGTCGAACATTATCTCGCTTACAGGACACCGGGATGAGTTGGACATTGATGTATCAGACGTCTTATGCTGGGCAATATCAGAGACTTGGCACGATATACAGCGGAGCATCCCCTTGTGGGCAACCCAGGCAGAACGTTTCGGACGCCAGTCAGTTTTGTGGGACAAGGCCAGGAAGGACGGACAGACCACGATGACTACTGCACAGGCTATAGAGTTCTTAGAGCCCGAATACCAGTCCCTGGAGTCCAGATATCGACCCGGTTGGCATCGCTCTCCGCTACCTGACTCCCAGCTACAGGACATAAAGAATCCTAACGCCCATCTCATTCGCGAAAGATGTCGTGAATTCCAAGATTTGGACTTTAGTACAACCCATCTCCATGAAGAGCAGGAGCGCGAACTCGCGCCTGAAATTGAACAAGAGCCCGAAGTCGACAGGCCAGCTCCAGAAGGGCCGGCTACCCACAACTTACATCCGGACGTCTTGTCGTTCATCACCACTGGGGTGCCTACCAGTCTTACAATGGCTTATGGGCCAGCATTCGAAATGTTGAGAGATACTTCCGCAGCTGTGCACTTAAATGTGTCACAACTCCCACGGGGGCTCCTGGTAACAGCTGACTTCGCCACCACGATCCTGGCCCCGAAGCACGTATCTTTTCAGTCGGATGCATACCAACGGCCTGTTCAATGGATCTTAACAAGTACATATACTGCACCTTCATTCAAACCGAGCCAGAATGTGGTAAAATACATGATGGTCATTAGCCCCTACGAAGCCTGCAAAATTCTACCCAGAATTCGCAGCTCAGAGACGAAGGTGACGCTGCATTTGTACTCTCCACGACAACACGAAGGGTTTCCCCCACTGGATGGATTGGCGTTGTACACCGTCCCTAGGCGCTCTGAACTCCTCGAAATCCCCACATCTCTCCGAATCCAGTTGAATCTGTTCTCCGGGCAGCTCTACATCTCTACGTATCGCGAGTACCAGGAGATATGCGAGTTCCTCGGCGTGGCATCGGTCAAGACCCCCGAGGGATGGTCGGTTGCAGCGGATGGATTCATTCTCACAGACGCACATAGGCTAGGCTCCCCGTTCCATCAAAGTCCCCTGGAGTTTCTCAAGGTTCTCATGTCACAGATCAGGAAAGACTGTCAAGACATCAGTAAGACCCACATTGGCAAGATCTTGGACGGGAAGCTGCTCCGCGAGTCTGATTTTGAAGTAAAGGCTAGAGGGTTGATCTCGGACATTTGTGGCTCGGGATGCAAGTCGTAATAATACTATTTGTACGGATAGCTATGTAGAACTAATACTCCAGCAATCAAACATATTATTCATGTACCGCGAGGCTCATTTGTCAATATCCAACTTCCGCGCTTCCAAAACATCCCGGAACAATGCCAAAGCGGCCTCAAACCCCTCAAATCTAACACCATGATACGATTCTATCGAATCGACAGGCACACACTGGAGTCGCGCCCCGATCCAACAAAGATTGCATCATGGTGAGCATCCCCCGTTGCACTACAAACCCAAGGGGTGTCAAAGCCATCTAACCCGAGGCCTTGGCATCTATGTTGGCTCCCTAATCCAGGAAAAACCCAGCCATTTCCTCATCATCCCTCCGACAAGCTATAAGCAGTGGGGTTTCATCGCATTTATCCCTGGCCTCGATGTCTGACCCCCTCTCTAGCAAAAGCAGCGCAACGGCTCGGTGTCCGCTATCTACCGCCCAATGTAAGGGCGTCTTCCCACGAATTCGCATAGTGTTGTTGCAGAGGATGGGAGTGTGAGTGCAGCGAGCTTGCGGTCGACCTTGTTGACGTTGACACAACCATTTTGGATAGACATGTTGCTGTTTGGTCTCGTTGGCTTCAGCTGGCTTCAAACATGTATATACAGCCCAAACTGGGAAGACGATGTAGGCAAAATTGCTAGTGATTGACCTAGTATACGACAAGACGACTTCTTAGGAAGTTGCAGTAAGAGCAGTAAGATGTCAACCTCGTATTATCGCAAGTTTGTTGAGTGAGACTACGCCTCGTGTGCCCCTCCAATCATTAGTGCTGCTTTGCGCTGATCACACAGGCCAATCAATGAAGAAGACTGCGCCATTTCATAGTGGCTATAATATTATTTATTATGCCCTTAATTAGTACTGATTTTGTCTATCTATCCAATTGTCCTTAGCTTATTTGTACCGTGAAAAGGAGTGGGGAAGACAGACAGCTTGAGGCCATATCGAAGGTCCCCACTCTGGGTGGGCCTCGCACATCTGCAGCGATGGGAAGCGGACAACAACGTCATTTCTTTCCCCTCCTCTCCGCCTGTTCTCAAAATCTCCTTCTACCCAAACCCCCCGCAGTCTTCTCCATACATCAACTAGACCCCCAAACGTCATTCAGATAACAGCATACTACAAAGCTGCAACCATGGCTAAATCCCATCCTGGAGTTCTGCATGAATATGTACGTCCCTTCACTTGAGCCAACACCTACCCCACCTATCAAAACACTACTGAACATGTGTCTTCGTTGAAAGAAGAGCAAGAAAGAAACAAAAAAACTATGTTAAAGGAAAGAAAACTAACAAACGCCAGGCCCCCCGCCTAACCGCCTTTGAATTCACCTCTCAAACCACCAACGACAAACCCAACGCCCTCCTCTTCGTCGGCGGCCTAACCGACGGCCTCCTCACAGTGCCTTACGTCGAGAAACTCGCCCAAGCCCTCGAACCCACCCCCTGGACCATCTACAACGTGCTCCTCACCTCCTCCTACCACGGCTGGGGCGTCGGCAGCCTGGACCAAGACATCAACGAGATCGCGCAATGCGTGGACTTTGTGCGGGGGCGCCTCCCCGCCAACAGCAAGATTGTGCTGATGGGCCACTCAACCGGTAGCCAGGACGTACTGCACTACTTATACAAGGAGAATCCGACCAGTGGGGGCGAGGCCCGCGAGCGTCCGGCGCTGGACGGCGCGATCATGCAGGCGCCCATGTCAGACCGGGAGATGCTGATCGCGACGACGAAGGGGAGCCACGAGTCGCACGCGGCGCTGAGCCAGCTGGTTCATTTCGCGAGAACGCGCTCCACGACTGAGATTATGCCGCTGAATTTGACGGCTGCCGTGGGCATGCCGGCTGATACGCCCATCAATGCTTATCGGTTTTGGTCGCTGGCTAGTCCTGAGAGTCCCGAGACGCCGGCGGAGGATGATCTGTTCAGTTCGGATTTGACGGATCAGAGGTTGAAGGAGACGTTTGGGGTTGTTGGGGAGAGGGGCTTGCTGCGTGGTAAGCTCATGGCGCTGTATTCTGGGAAGGATGAGTATGGGGCGCCTGGGCTGGATATGGAGGGGATGTTGCGGCGGTGGAAGGAGGCCACGGCTGGGAAGTGGGATGAGGGCAGTGGGATTATCCCTGGGGCGACTCACAATGTTCAAGATGAGGGGCAGGAGTGGCTCGCTGAGCGGGTGACGGGGTATTTGGGGAGAGTCTGATTTGAAACAATGCAGGTAGAGGCTTCATGGATTAAAGTAATGTACAAAGTAGATGGGGAAATAGCTCAACAACCTTGACACGGGTATAGTATATGGGCCAGTTATCGGGGGGAGGGCGAACATGCAACAAGACCAAAGTGAGAAAGAAGAAAGGCAAATCAAACACGCAACCACAGATTAAACACCCCCTTCAGATACTCGACAATCTCCGACCCGCCCAGCTTACTCTCCCCATACAAGCGATCCACAAACGTAATCGGACACTCCGCCACCTTGAACCCCATCGCCTTAGCACGCACCATCATCTCCATCTGGAAACTATAACCCTTGCTTTGGGTACTGGAGATAACCTTCTCCAACACACTCTTCTTATACAACCGGAAGCTCCCCGTCACATCCGACACACCAGGCATAAGCACCACATCAGAGATAAGGTTCGCGCCGCGCGACGTCAGCTTGCGGAACAGATCCCAGCCGTACACGCCGCCCTTGACGTCGCCGCGGCTGGCGTAGCGCGTGCCGCTGACGATGTCTGCATCGGTCTGGCGCTGGATGTCGATCATGATCGGGATGAACTTGGGGTGGTGGCTGAAGTCGGCGTCCATGATGATCACGTAGTTGCCGGTCGCGTACTTCAGACCGTGCACGTAGGCTGTGCCTAGGCCGAGCTTGCCCTCGCGCGGCTTCAGGTTGATGTGTTTCTCGCCCCAGAGTTGTTGCAGCTGTTTGGCGACTTCGAGGGTGCCGTCGGGGGAGCCGTCGTCGACGATCACGATTTCCCAGTCTAGGTTGCTGTTATCCGTTTGTTAGCTTCTATAAGATATACGTATATATGATAGATATATTTGTATAAAGGTTATGCGTATGGAAAGAGGGTAGTACTTCTCGCGAAAGGTGCGCTCCAACAGCCAGCACATAACAGGGAGGTTCTGGCGCTCATTGTAGGTGGGCAGGATGACCGAGTAGCGGTTGTGGGGGGCCATGCTGAGAGTGTCTGATTGCTCAATTGAGTCTATAGAGAGAGAAGAGTCAATTGCCCCAGGAGAAGAGCGTGATTGCAATGGATAGGTAAATAGATGGAAGAGGATGAGGGAGGGATGCTCCTGAACGGAGTCTTGGCATCGAGTCCGTAACGTGTTGTCCTGACTAAGCCGCAACCGGTTTAGCTTGTTTTAGCTTGCATATGGAGTATTTGGATAGCTTCATTCATATCTAAAATTTATATGTTAAGCAATAACACATTTTCAAAATATTAACATGGTATGCATAGGGATAATACAAGTCAGACAAGTGAACAAATTAAGACACATCAAATAAAACAATCCAACCAACCACATCCTATCAACCACCATTATCCATCCATAATCATCAGAGCAAAATAGAATCTATACACAATACACACAGGGAAGTACCAAATCGAACAAACCCATAAACACCAATACAATAAATCCTACCAAACCTCCAACTCCAAGTCAAATCCTGCCTAGTATCCCATAATCAAGTCTCCTTATCACTACTACTCCCCTTCGCCGCAAATCCCTTCCGGACCTTACTGTCGGCCCCAATCTGGTTATAAGGCGAATCAGCCCGATTCGCCACGTCCTCATTATGCTTCTTCACATCTTCAGGCGCATTCTCCTTGACTTTGCCCTCGCCGTCTACGACGGGGCTCTGTTTCCCGCCTGTGATGATCGGGCTGGCTTTGTTGGAGGTGTCCTGCGTGTCGCCTTGGGATTGTCCGCTCTCAGAGGGCTTGTTGTTGGACTTGGTGTTTGGGGGTGGTGGGCCTGTCGATTTTATGTATTAGCTATTGCTTGTTCTATTTCTCGGCTTATTCTGGGAAAGGAGGAGGCCATACCGGGATGCTCGATGTTCTTGGTAGAAGAAGTATTCTGCGGCTTATCTTTATCGCTCTCTGCGCTGCCGTAAGAGCCATGCGAGTATGTTCTCTTTGAGTTTAGAGGGGCCACGAAGGCGGGTTTCATGCGAGGAGCGAAGACCGACTTGGTCGCTCTCAGAGGGAAGAATCGAGTTATGGAGCTCATGGTTGTTTCGAGTATTTGCCGAGAGTATCAACTTTTCAAGTATAAAGGGAAGAAAAGTTGACTATTATACAGTATAATAAGGTACTGTAGCAATAATGTCTCAAGTCAAATAAGAGTGTGAAAGGCAAGTGTTGCAAGTCACACAGGATAATATGGGATTTCATCATTTATAGCATTCGCCCCGTGGGCCATGCTATCAGTGCTAACCCTTATGACGTCGTTCTACTGTCATACCTCAGTATTCGACCCAGTTTCCCTTTATAGCTCACCCCCGGTCTCTCTTCTTCAACTTAATCTGCAGTGGTAGTCACACATAGTGGAGAAAAGAATTGTGTAGAGTGAGAAAGAAAGAAAAAAAAAAATATGTTGAATGATTAGATTCGCCTCTCCTAAATGAAGTGGTCGGACGGCCATACTAAATCAACAATTGTAAAAAAACCCAGATGGTCAATCCAAAATACAAAACACCGATGGCTGCTGTCCCAAGGTAATAGTGATAATAATGATAATAATGTCAATCAAGTAACGATGGTCTTGTCTGGCCAAATGTCGCCGTTCTTGCACCCAAACCTTCCTGAAAAAACGCCATAACTGCTATCAACGAAACCATGCCAAACAGGACTCGAAAGATGGTATTTGAGACAAATCACATCGCAAGGTTGAATCAACCGAGCCACTGCAAATATAGAAAGCAAATCGGGGGTTGGGGGGGGGGATAGAAAATAGAAAATGAAAATGAAGAAAATGCATGCCACTCAATGCAGGAGCATCAGAAGATCCGTCACACCCAAAAAAGAATAGCCCGTAGAATCCCACGCAAGATAATCAATCAATCAGTAAATCATTCGTATGCACATGAGTAGTTCTTCCACCAGGAAAACGCCGACGCCTTGGCTCCATGAGGCTGTCCCATGGAATGCTCTTGTATATTCTCTTTTCCTTTCGTGACCGTGTGCGAACTTCCGGCCTAGTCGGTCAACGATGCGCAATAACATACGCTTTCATATTGTGCCATGGCGGTGTACGTCTGTGTAGAGCTTCCAATACCCCCAACCGTCGTCGTCGGGGTGGGTTCAAGCTCCTTAATCTCGATCGTCGTATCAGAGACCGATGACAGAGAACCGTTGTCCATCATTTGCATCTGCTCACAGTACGGAGACGGTGCCTCAGGGTAGTCCCGCTTTTCCGACATCTTGATGCGACGAGGATAGTAGGGCACCGAGACATCCCGCCTCGATTTGCCGGAGTCGGAAACGGGTGTGGCCTCGGCGCCGCTGGCCAGCGACATCGTGGAGCTCTGCTGGGCGTCCCGGGAAGTTTCGTTCAGATATAGGAAGAACTCCATCATCGTGCTGTTCCACCAACAAAACCATGGCCGATCTCCAGCTTCGGACGCCTGTCTACGCTGGACGCTGTTGACCATAACATCCCTTTCAGAAACTGACCGCTTTGTGGCCACATCAGTGGAAAATGTATCCTGCGGCAGGATCACCAACTTATCAAACAAGCCGAAGAAAGTCAGGGCGGGTCCCAGGCTGAGATCGCTGCCGTCCATCACCAGACGAAGAGACTGCGTGGGGGAAGCGAATAACGGCGCCTGGGCACCGTAAGTGAACGACGGAGAAAACGCTTCGTTCTCAAAGCTAATCGAGCGGTCGGTATCCGTGCCCTCGACGGAAATGGGGATTTTGCCCGACTCCATGCATCGCCAGGCCGGTCGGTAGTCAGACTCGACGACGCAAAACTTCGATTGATTGTTATTCACCGCCGGGATCACATACTGCCCGGTGGGTGCCGATTTCAGATTCGCGGGGATCGTCGATATCGGCGTAGCGTCCATTTTGGGGGTCGTAGTCACGGTGACAATGTTCGGTCCATCATCCTTCTCGTTTTCTTCCTCTGCCGCTTTTTTCGCCCCCAAGACACCGCCAATAACGCCCCCAATGCACGCCCCGACCAGCATGATTACTCCCACCAGAATCAATGTCCACACAGGAAGCCCGCAGCATGCTTTCTTCTTACCCTTGCTCTTCAGTTTCTCTTCGAAAGCCATTACGCCGGTCGCCGGAGGACGGTCCGATGACTGGCTCTGGCGTTGGCTCTCCGTCTGCAACGCCGCCGTTTCGGTCACCAAGGTTCTCGAGGATACCTCGGACACCGGAATCGCTGTAGGGCCGTTGGTGCTATTCTCATCTGGAACGACGCCCGCGTCGTTCGTGGAATCAACTTGCCCTTCGATCTTCGGTGCTGCGGCATCCGGGTAGCGTGAGTAGGGCGGTAGTTGTTCGAGGTGGCCATCGGGCCCCACAAGGTCCCCTACATCATCGTCGGCGCGACCGGACGGCCGTTGATAGGTCTGGGTGTGACCGGGGAATCCCAGCGGGATGACCGGCGGGGTTTCGATGCCCTCCTCGGGGACCACATTTTGTGGGTACATGGCGTATGGGTGCTGGGGTGCATTCGCATCTCCCAACGGTCGATCTGGCGGCCGGATGGTCGATGTTGTCGTAACGCTGGGCGATCGGCTGACACCCACCTGCGGGTACATGGCGTAGGGATGGCTGGGGCCGGTCGCCCCCGTATAGGGGCTCAAGGCCCGGGGAGGCATCGAAAAGCGAGACGAAGTACTCTGACTCCGTTGCGTCATAGACGGTGCGGTATTGGTGGAGGCGATGGAGTTGCGGTTGGTCACATCGTATCCCTTCTGGGGGAGGCTCGATCGGGTGGCATCTTCATCAGAGAGGCGAGCGTCATCCCCGAACGGGTTCTCTGTGGTTTCCGCATCGGTCGGCACGGTGCCATACGGTTTCCCTTGCTGGCGCAGCGACCCTCGGAGCGTGTTGGACGAGGCGATCGAGGAGATGGACGGGCTTCGAGCTTCAGGCGTCAGGGTGGACTGTTCGGAATCGATCGGTTCCAGCGAGTATTCATCCGAGAAGACATTGGGGTTTGAGGAGCGACCTGAGCCGGAGCGACGATGCATCGAGTCGGTTTCGGGAGTGGAAGAATGCGATTGCGATGGAGAGCCAGAGGAAAAAGAAGATAAGGAACGAGAATGGTTGGATGAGTGACGCCCCGACATGGCGGTGGGACAGCCCTTTCCGGGCCTCTTTCTTGTTCCTTGCTCAATCAATCCGGGTAAAGCGGTCGGGGGATCAGTCACCTGGGTCGACTGAAATCCTTAGGCAAACAGCGAAGAGAGGGGGTGTGTGGGAAGGGGAGGACGAGAGAACGCTGGAATGAAGGTCAAGTCTCCCAAGAAAAAAAGAGAGAGAAGAAATTAAGGAGCGAAGGATAAACCCGATGAGGGTTCAGATTGATGAACAATCGGAGGGGGGACAAGATGGGGAGAAGGAGATGAGATTGAAGAGAAGGGGAGGAGAAACATAAGATGGGGGAAGAAGGATGAGTGAATTTGAGAGGTCAGGACTGGCTGGAGGAGAGAGAGAAGTTGAGAGCCTGAGAGGGAGAGACAGCCGTCCGTATGGGTCAGGTAAGGTCAGCGGTTGTGATACTGGGTATTGGTAATGACAATCAAGGATTCAGGTATTACCGCTGGTCGTTGTTACCTGAGCGACCTCTAACGCAGGAGTCATTGAGTGATATTAGAGGGTTGGCCTTACGGTATCATGACCAAGTATCACATACAATGACAGAACATGACTGGTAACGTACCAACAGGGTATGTCGTACCAAGGAAGTAAGCCAGTAAACTGCTGCGCCTCGCCACCCATGGACGAACCCAGTTAATGGCGATTACTACCTGATACAGAGTCGTATATTTTGTGGTATGTAGAAAGGCAAGTGTACTCTCTCCTCTTTCGTAGTATTCGTCTCTTGCCAACCTCCACTCCCTTGCTTTCATGAAACAATGGGATGCCGGACCACACACACACACCCTCGGCTGCACAGACGGAGAACCACGCGAAGGTGCTGAAACGCCGCGGCCAGCAGTACCTATGAGAGTTCGATCATGATGCCACCTTCGTCAGAACAACCTTCTTGGCGTCAAAGTCGGTGGATTTCCATTAGATTGTTGTATCTACCTATCCGTATGGGGGTAAATCCTCAGTGGAATTGTATGATAGGATGGGGTTCCATACAAGGACTCCGTCACCCGATCGAACTATAAACAATGGCTGTTATCAACGTTCAACACTACATGCATGACAATGAATTCAATACTCTTTGAGGTCCAATCTGATTTATTAGATGGTAGTATGGTGTATTCCCACCGGTTGACCGAGTATACGATTCCAGAGAACGTAGACTCTGTATGCTAACTGCAAGTAATTAACCCAGATCCAAACAATACCTACTATACTAGCCTAGTACCGATTGCCCCATAACTAGGAGAAGAAGGCAAAGAGAAAAAACTAGTGGCCAACTAACCGTTCTAATTATTTCCCGCGCTTAACCTAGACCGGTGAATTCCATTCGAAATCCGGGCCCCTCCCAAACCAAAGGTTCTGGATGTGAACAATTACATTAACCGGGTAAATTACTAGATAGAGCATCTCATCAGACCGGATCCGGACAGGCAGACACATTAGAGTCCTTCGGCTGGAAAATCAGGGTGGTGATGATGGACAAGAACAGAAAGTATCGTTCGTACTCCTTCTACTACGACGATGAGGAAGTATAAGGTCGGTGGGTACCTACAATACTGCAATGCAGCTCAGGTCATGGATGCATTCGACCATTGGCAAAACTGGGAGATGGGCTAGTTTGCCAGTGTGATTGGTATATCTGTCTCGTAATTTTCTTCCTCTTCCTTATTTTTGATTTTGATATTTTTCTCATAGAAATTAGGAATATCACTCCCCGGAATCGGGCTGACCACCTTGCAGAGATATGGACTGCCAAGGAAATAGACTGTCCAAAGTACAGCACAAGAGATAGAAATAGAAAACAAATCTGATCAATAGAATAGAAAAAAAAAAAAAGAAAAGAAAAAAAACCAAAAGAATAAAAAGAATAGGAACACCCCAAGTTGTCATCTACAAGATAGAATTGATATCTTGACCCCTGTCAGGTACCTTGAGGTTCCTTCATCAATCCGGCCTAAAAAGAACCACCAACAAACTAGGCACAACAATCCAATAATCCCTATGTAATCAGTAATAAACCTGAGCTGATACCAACAGGCAAACATCAGACGGAATAGTTCGTCCCGTAGAAATAGTTCAACATTGGTACCGAAGATGGGGTCGTGCTGGGCTCCTTTCAAGGACTAGTCCCCGTTCGGTTCTAGACACTCCAGGATCGTCACAATTCAGGTTTTGTTCGCCGCAGCGGTGGGGGCCCAGTACTGGAAATCCGATCTCCACTCGTCTCAAAACCATGTCTGATGTTGCTTCTCCAATGAGGATATACCATCTGATCTGATCAGCCCTGTCGAACCATCGCAATGGATCCGGTCTCTCGTGGATCATGGCAAGAGACAATCGGATTGTGTGTACGGAGGATATGATAGATATTTAAACCCTCCGTTTTTAAAGTGTGGTGATGCGCTTTTCAAACGCCACTCGACAACCCTTGGATCGTCAAAGTCCGATCGGACTCCAGAGGGCGATGAGGATGTTCATGCAGGACACGCAATTCTAGTCAATGATTCGGCGATAGTTGACCCCACTGTGCTGGCATTGCAGGTCTCGACGCAATGAGGGAGATCTACCCTCATCTATGGGTTTCAATGCTGATAACGGGGTTGTATCGAGTGTGCACCATTCAAAGTACAGAGTATTTTCAATTGGAATAAATTGTGCCAAAAGCCCATGGATGTACAAGATTTCTGTGTATTGTTTTTTCTTATTTCGATGCTGTGCCAAAGTTATCCCTCTACTCCACTCCGGACGGTTGGTTGGACCAACAAATACCATATCCATGCCCAGAAACTCCTTTTGGCGATACCCAGGAGTCTCCATCCCTCGATGTCTTTCTGAATGACCTAAAAACATAAGACAATGGTCGATTCTGGCGGGTCTTGTCCCGTTCAACGATCTTTAAACTTGGTCAAGTACCCCATACCGACAGAGTGCCGCCTGACTCACTCCGATGCGTCGACTGAATCCGAGTCAGTAGTCGTATCACCTGCTTGTGAGATGTTCATCTGATGATCGGCTCTTCCGAGGATCATGACATCTCCTTTAAGGGCTTGAGACCCCATGTCTATTGGCACTGGTGATAGTCATTGCGAGACATAACCCACTGGAACTAGGCTGCTCAGACAGAATACACCGTAAAACACAATCCGCGTGTGCTTGTACAAGCGCGCCCAGCTAGTGACCAGGAAAACCATTGCATCAGATGGAAACCTGGTTCTCTCTGTGTCGGATGGCCTGGTTTTTTCACGGGCAGGTTCTTTATTCCTGTCGAGGGAAGGGTCCAACTCTTAGCGGCGGTCAATGCTTGCTTTGCGGAATAATTCTTGCAACCTCTTGAATAGGTATGAGCTTCAATGTATCTGACAACCACTCTGAGGTGTAGAAACTAGGGATTATTCGTTGCACCAATCATGGGGACATCTAAGGCAATTACCCATAAGGCCGACCTTCTAGGGTTATTTTGCCTTGCCGTTGAGCTATAAAATGACTGTTCGTATCTTGTAATAAAAAGCATATACGACATTACGTGAACAACTTCCAGTCGTGCCAACATTATACGCCCGAATGAACGAAATCGTAGGGAGTAAAAACGTAGAGAAATGTGTTAATGAAACAAAGACCGTCGGTCGTATACAGACCGAACTCCGGATTGTTGCCTGAGGCCACATGATCTTCCATGCTCCGACCTCCTCTCGCTTTCCCGCACCTCCGCCAAATCATCCCGATGCTCAACGGCTCTCCCATCCCCCACGGCAACCTAACCGCTGCAGGAGCAGCTTCCTCGCCATGCCCGACGACCAGAAACCGAAAGCCTTTCCCGACATCTCCGCGAAGCTATCAGCAATCCCCAAAAAATCCTTCTTCGAACGCCAGAAAGCCGAAGCCGAAGCCAAGCGCGCCCGCGAGCAAGCCGAAACCGCCGCTGTCTACGAAGACTTTGTCAAATCGTTCGAAGATGACACTACAGCGCAGGATCAGGGCATGTCGGATGCGAGGGGGATGAAGCTTGGGGGTAGACCGGCTGGCTTTGGAGGTGGCCCTCCGAAACGGCACTTCACCAGCTCTGGTCCGCGCATGAGCGGCCCTGGCAGCCTAGGGCCTCCTCCGCCGTCGTTGGCCCGCAAGCGCACCCATGAAGGGTTTCAACCGTTGTCTCGGAATCAGCATTCTACTCATGGAGTATTAGGTCTAGATAATTTAGGTACGGTTTCGCCGCAGGCCGCTTCGGCGTTTCGCGCCACGGATGACGATGAAGATACGACCGCTGTCGACACGAAGGAGGCAGAACGGGCTGCGGCCAAACCGACCCTATACCTGGCCTCATTACCCCCAGGGACTTCTCCGTCCGTGATTAAAACTTTGATCCCGCCTGTCCTGTCCGTCGATAATGTGAAGATCCTCCGTCCCCAGAACCAACCGTCAACCGACCGAAAATCGGTGTCCGCCATTGTGACCCTCGCAAACGAGTCTGCAGCTTCGGACATTGACAGCACGGTCAGTGGGCTTCAGAACCGATATCTAGGATGGGGGTTTTACTTGTCGATTTCGAGGCATCTTTCGTCTGCCGCGATCAGCTCGGCGATGCCGGTCACCGTTGGCCTGTCATCCACAAGCTCGCTGCCCTTTGGCGCTAAGAATATCATACCTGAAGTCGGGGGCCGACTGAATCGTGCTCCGCCCCCTGGCTTGCATCGTGGCGGATTTGCGCCCCCGAGCTCCTACGGTCCAGCTTACGGTCGGAACACCCCTGCGACGCAAGTCGAAGTTAAAACCCCATCGGACATCAAGCAACTGAGGTTGATTCACAAGACCCTGGAGAACCTTTTAAACTATGGTCCGGAGTTTGAAGCCCTCCTCATGAGTCGGCCGGAGGTGCAGGGAGATGAGAAGTGGGCGTGGATCTGGGACGCAAGAAGCCCAGGCGGCGTGTACTACCGTTGGAAGTTATGGGAAGTGCTCACCAACGCCGCGGGCCGAAGATCTGGCAGAGGGAAGCCTCGAGATCCCGCACTGGTATTCGAGGGTGGACCGAGCTGGACCCCGCCAGAAGCGAATATCAAGTTTGAGTACACTACCCGTCTGGACGAGTTCGTATCAGACGAGGACTATGACTCTTCGGACGAAGATATGTCGGATGGCGAAGACGACAGAAAGCAGCAGGGCGGAGCGGCAGCAGAAGCACTGGCTACCGGGAACGAAGGGCTGGGGTATATGAATCCTCTCCAGAAGGCCAAGCTCGCTCATCTTCTTGCTCGACTGCCAACCACCCATGCCAAGCTGCGGAAGGGTGATGTCGCACGCGTCACTGCGTTTGCAATCGGCCATGCAGGAGCGGGTGCTGACGAAGTAGTAGAGATGATCGTCTCTAACATCCTGGACCCGTTTGTTTACACCGGGGCCAATCCTGACCGCGAAGTGGAGAAGGGGCTTGCCCGGCGCGAGCAGGCTTCTAACGACAACCCGACGGAGGAAGGCCGTGCAGCCTTGAAGCCCCTTGACACATCATCCTGCAAATTGATTGGTCTTTATCTCATCTCCGACATACTTTCATCCTCTGCCACCAGCGGCGTGCGCCACGCCTGGCGGTACAGACAGCTGTTCGAATCCGCGCTCAAAGCCCACCGGGTATTCGAGCACCTCGGGAGGCTCGAGAAAGAATTCAGCTGGGGTCGTCTCAAGGCCGAGAAATGGAAGCGCAGCGTCGGGTCTCTCCTACACATGTGGGAAGGGTGGTGTGTCTTCCCGCAGTCGAGTCAAGAGCACTTTTTCCAGGTCTTCGACAAACCTCCGCTCACGGAAGAGGAAGAACGGGAGGAGCGGGAGAAGGCCGAAGCGGAACGGGCTTCCGCGGCGGCTTTCAAAGCCAAGAATCGTTGGAAGGCCGTGGAAGAGGATGCGGCCTCCAAGTTCGAGCCGAGCGCAGAATCGCACCGTTCTCGCATGGATATAGACCAGTCTGAAATTGCCCCTGCAGGCGAGGAAAGCTGGGATGGTGGGCCCATGAGCGATATCGACGGGGAGCCTATGGAGGATAGCGATTTAGAACCTCTAGATGGCGACCCCATGGAGTACGACAGCCCAGACGAACAGCCGCAACAGCAACCTCCGCAGCCAGAAAAGCAACCGGAACAGTTGGAACCACCCGCTCAGTCGGACTCACGACCGCCAGGCCGCAAACCGCGACCCAGGGCAGAGGATATGTTTGCGGATTCGGACTCCGATTGACGGATCGAGTAATGGATGTGGATGTGGGGGTTACCGTTGGCCTACAACATAGCGACAGTAGGAAATATATGATACCATTTTTACGACGACGCTTACTACTAGTCCACAAGCTACCACTGTTCTCCGTAGTATTAGTATAGATGGGTGCCTTAACTAGAATGGTGCCAAACCGGCCTCAGGCAAACGGCAGGGCGGGATAGGCAAATGGCCGCCCGCCGCCCCACAGAATCTGAAAGCCTTTCGGGGATGTTTTGATATCGCCCCTCCTGTTCTCCTTCTCTCCCTCTCTTTTCCAGAACTATCACCACATCCCTCAGATTACATTCTTATCCTCTCTTATACCCAGTCTATCTGTTCTTTGCGAACATCTACCATCAAAATGTCTAGTAAGTGACTACCCCTCCCACGATAGTCTCCTGCATCCTGTACTCGGCTACCCCTCCTTGGACCGGGCGCGCATCCGGATTCAAACAACGAGAGACAGCGAGCGCTTTCCAAAAACCCAAAACTAACGGTGTCTTCTTTTCTGCAACCAATAGACTTCTCCGAGATTGCCCGTACGTGATTTGATCCCTCCTCTCACACATGTCCGTCATATGCGCGAGACCGCATAGCGACACCTCTCCAGTCGACGACTCCCATGACCCCTCTCCCTTTTCCAAATAGCCTCGCGGTCGGTCTGTCCATCATACTAACCTGTGTCTGTCCCAAACAGAGCAGTTCGTCACGTTCTACTACCAGACGTTTGACAACAACCGCCAAAACCTCGCTGGTCTCTACGTATGTCCATGGACACCCCCCCTATATCTCTTCGCCATGGCGCATAGCACAGCGCAACGGTACATGGCGAATATGGATGATTAACGTGTGATTTTTGTCGGTCCATATAGCGCGACCACTCTATGCTCACCTTCGAGACGTCCTCCGTCCAGGGTACTGCTGCTATCATCGAGAAGCTGTCGGTTCGTTTACCCTTCACCAAATAAGAAAAAAGAAAAAAGGAACGGATTGGAATAAATGCTGATTGCGCCCGCGCGGTAGTCTCTCCCCTTCCAAAAAGTGCAGCACCAGGTCTCGACCTTTGACGCGCAGCCCTCGAATGCCGAGGGTGGTATTCTGGTCTTGGTGACCGGTGCTCTCCTGGTATGCCCCACCCCATATCTCCTTTTGCAAAGAACCTACCCTGGAGGAGCCTACTGTCAAATAGCCACGGTATTAATCGGTTATGCAGGTCGACGAGGAACAGAAGCCCATGAACTACGGCCAGAGCTTCCAGCTGCTCCCCGACGGCGCGGGCAGCTACTTCGTCTTCAACGACGTCTTCCGTCTGATCTACTCCGCCGCATAAATGTGGAAACCTTAGGACAGGGAAGTATTGGACTGAACTCCGCGGCGCGTTGTCCGGAGCAGTCAATCGAGCCTCCCGGGTTAGCAAGCAGGTGGGATAGCTTGGCGAGATGGCTGATTGGGAGCGATCTATGCGTGTGATGTAATGAAGATAATGAATACCAGGTGGGGGGAGAGACATGGGGAGAAATAACCGGATCACTTTTTCGTTTCCGTAGTGTACGGCTTCACCTCGCGTCCTTTCCCCCTCCCCTTCTGTGAAATTTCCGCATGAGTTTGTGTCCCAGTTGAATGAACATATAGATACATATCCAGATCTATCCCATCTGATGCATTTATGTATCCTGACTAACACCACCACCCCTTATCACCTTTACCCATCCATAAATAGAGCCGGGTCTTTCTTTGTCTCTTTCGTTGTCTTCTCTATTTCACTGACAGCATGGTTGGGTTTTAGTAACACACCGCACAGCAGCACCTCATCCCATTCCTTGCATCTAGCCACTAGCACTACCATGAAACAAACAGGTTCTAACCAGCAGATTGAGTAACACATGCTCATCACGCTAAACATGGAAAGAAAAGGTAGGCATACACATTCCAGTACATATATCATATAAACGCTCTCAGAAACCATTTGGAGAGTTTGTTCCAGCTCTTCCAAAAACAGCAATCTGCTTGGCAGAATCACCGATCCCGCAATAGCGGCGTCTCTTCGGATGGCGGCTCCTCCACCCCGTCAACAACATCATCATCATCGTCGTCCTCGGCTTCGACATCCTGCGTCGTGTCCTTTCCACCATGGTGCGCATGGCCCTTGTTCGGACCGAGGTATTCGAAGAATATGCCCAGCATCAGCAGCGTGCCCTGCAGACAAGCCGTCACGATCAGCACGCCCCACGTGCTCCAGCCCTTGGTCCCGAGTCTGGCAGCGAGGCTGCCCGCCCAGACGAGACTGCCGGGTGTTTGGATGCACATCATGGGGATGCTGAGACTGCCGACGCAGCGCAGTCGCAGGGTGGTCCAGATCTGAGGGAAGTACTGGATTGAGGCGAGGACGGCGGCTTGGATACCGCAGAAGTTGGACCACGACTGGAGGGCGGAGGGCTGCTTCAGGCCGACGGCGAGTGTGGTGATCAGCATGGCGGCTGCGTGCAGGATGCAGATGGCGCAGACGACCAGGGCGGTGCGGTAGGTGGGGCCCCGGCTGGGCTTGGGGTATCCTGGGGTGACTTGCGGTGGTTCGGGGCATTCTCTGGGGAAGTAGAAGGTGAAGAGGAAGAGACTGCGTGTGAGACAGGTTGTGAGATCCCGGATCATGTAATTGGTTGTGTGGTGGATGGCAGGGATTGAAGGCGGCGGGTTGAGACTTACATGGTGAAGAAGCAGAGACACTGGGTTACCACCTGGAAGATCCCCAGGAGGCCTGCGAAACAGGAGAATCCGCTGACATTCGAGCAGCAGGCCATATCCTGTAGGCTTTGTTCCTGGGACACCACGTTGGCCACGGCGGCCGAGCCGGACGTGGTGCCCAGCAGGACAAAGTATGGGGAGATTCCGAAGGAGCTTTTGAGGGTGATGATGCGGTGGTGTTGGGGGATGTAGGAGAAGAGGATCCCGAAGATGATCAAACTGGACGGAGGTTAGCGCTGTAGGACGACAGACGGGCGAGGGCGTCCATACATGGAGAGAATGAAGTTTTTATATCCTGGCGACACCAGATGACTGCATTGTGCAACAAGGGTATCCATCTTGGTTGAGAAGGGGGGAGTATCTGCCCCAAGCACAGACAAGCCAGAAACCACGGACTCTAATCAAGAACTGTTCACCTAGGAACCGGGTCAAAGAGGACTTTATAGCTGCCAGATTCCTGTTGGGCTGCTGACCAAGTGTCACATTCAACAGATCAAAGAAAGAAAGCAACAAAAAGAAATGAAAGGGAAAGAAAGAATTCTTGTGACAGGAGAGCGGGTATGGAGAGAGGCGCTGTGGAATGTATGCTGGTTGCTGGAGCTGTGCAAACACATCAACATGCAAGTTGAAACTCCTGTGGACCATCAACTATCTACCTTTTTTCACACCACTCATCTCACTCTCCTTGCTGATTTTGACATCGGGCTGCAATGAGCGAGAAGTGGAAGGGGGAGGCGATGGTTGGCGACTGGCATGGAGAGGATGATGATGATGGAGCACGACAGGTCAGTCGGCGATAACGAACACCCAGAGAGCCTAAGATAGCAGTCCGTAAGGCACCTCAGGCGTCTCCGCATCCACAAAAGAGGCAAACCCACATGATCGACCTAGCCTGTTTGGGCCTAGTGTGATGATTTACACGCTAGCTGGATTCGGCTAGATCGGTATAGCTAGTTGCCCAAAGGTCCTTACTAATTATGCTCGGTATTGTGATCGCACTATTTGAAACCTGCATTTTGAGGTGTCGCTGTATCTATGGTTGGATCTCCGAGGTTTGAATTCAAACTCTACCCAAGGATGATTGAAATCCTGTTGATTGGAAGAATGGGAACTCTATTCCCCAGTGGAATTACGTGACGAGCCGGCAGACAGGCATTGGCACTGAGCAAGGCCTGGTCTGGTCGATGACGCCAGTAATTGACGGCCAGCAAGCTGCCACTACGTCACTCGGTGATCATTTCTGCTACTTTATACCCTGCATTCCTTGTTCCATCAACATCAGACCCTCCACCACGCTATAAATCATCCTCTTGACTTTGAACAAGCTTTCGTGGTGGTCAAATTTCAAAATTGACCTCTCAACACTTCCTTTAATAATTGGGATTTCGACAGCAAGACATTCGTCTGGGAAGGGACAACAGAAGACCTCCCACATACCAAAATGAAGCTGCACTTGGGCTCGTACTTCGTGCTGGCTCTGGCTGCCACTGAGGCAGTCGGGGCATCGAGCTGGTTTAGTAAGGCTGGTAAGTATTGGAGAACCTATCATTCAGATTTGGACACAGACTGATGATGATTCTTTTCTAGTGTACAATAGATGGCACGAGACAGAGCTGGAACGATGGCTCACCGATCACGGTCAGCCCATTCTAGAAGCTTCCATCATCGGGAAGAAGCTAACAGAGAATCAGACATTCCACACCCGTCACCTGCCGATCGCAGGGACCTGGAGAGCTTGGTGAAAACGAACTGGGAAGACAAGGTGCAGAAGCCCCTTGCGCAGGTGACCGATCACACCGCCGACCAGATCCACAGCGTGAGAGATTGGATCTTTGATTCGTGAGTGACCGGGCAGAGACATAGTATCTTGTGGTACAATATTCTGACACCCGAACAGCTGGACCGACTCCCAGATCAAGGCGTTCCTGGACCGTCATGGCGTTCCCTGCCCGCAGCCGCGCAAACGCGACGTTCTCCTCAAGACCGCCCGTGAGAACTACGAGGGCATCGGAAAGAAGCTCGGAGAGGCGACCCACTACCCCGGAAATTGGCTCTACGAGCATTGGTCCGATTCGGACTTGAAGCTGTGGCTGGACGAGCGCGGATGGCCTGTGCCTCAGCCCACCACCCGCGATAAGCTGATCGCGGCCGTGCGTCGCAACGCCCGTCTCGCCAGTGTTCAGGCGCGTACCATCGCGGCCGCCGCGTCCGCCTCGGCGGAAGCAGCGCAAGCCTCTCTCAGTGAAGCCCTGATCAACGCGTGGTCCGACGCCGACCTGAAGAAGTTCCTGGACGAGCATGGAATTCGGGTTCCTCAGGGCTCCATGCGCAATGAGCTCATCGCTCTGGCCAGGAAGCACCGCGCTTCCCTGCTGAGCCAGGCGTCGACAGCCTCTGCCACCGCCACCGACTTCATCGGCGCGGCTACCTCCAGGGCGGGCAACGAATTCGCTCGCGCAACCGAGGATGTCGAGATGAAATATGAAGATGCATTTGATGCTGCGACAGCGGCATGGTCTGACTCCCGCCTCAAGGCCTTCCTGGATGCCCGCGGCGTCCCCGTGCCGCAGACCAACAAGCGCGATGAGCTGCTTTCCCTGGTGAGACTGTACAAGCACAAGGCCGCTACTGGCTGGAGTGCCTGGACCTTTGACACCTGGGACACGGAGAACCTAAAGTAAGCCCCTCCCCCCAAACAGTTCCATAATCCGCGTCATTCTAATCCATCACAGGAAATACCTCTCCTCCGTCAACTCCAAGGTCGCCCACCGCGCGGACATCACCCGCGACGAACTCGTCAAGCTCGCCCAAGACAGCTACAACAAAGCCTCCAAGGCGGGCAGCACCCAGCTCGCATCCGTCACCTCCTACATGGCACAAGCCACGGACGCAGCCAAAGCATCAAGCTTCGACACCTGGTCCCAGTCAGACCTCAAAAAATATCTCGACTCCTACGGTATCCCCGTTTACCAGGGCTCGACCGCCAACCAGCTGCGCGCCACCGCGCGCCAGAACGCCCAGTTCTTCCAGTACGGCACGACGCACCCGCGCGGCATCATCTACGAGAAGCTGGAGGGCCTGACGCAGTGGGTCATGGATCAGCTGAAGATCGGCGCGTCGAGTGGCCGCGCACAGGGCCAGGAGGCTGCTGAGAAGGTGAGGGATACGGCAGCTGAGGCGTCGGAGAAGCTTGAGTTGTAAATTGGGGTGATGTGATGTGATGTGATGTGAACTTGAACTGACTTACGTTTACTTTTTACTTCGTCGTTGTATTTCGGTTTCTTTGTTTTGTTTAATGGTTTGGGCTTCGGATGGATTATTGCCCTGGGCCTAGTATGTTGTTCTAGGGTGTATTATTGGTGAATGTTTATTTAAAAGGTATTTGCGAATGAATATGTATTTTCTAATCCTTGACGGTTATGATTGATTTACTAAGTATAGTGTAATTAATTTGCAGTAGTAGCATTTTGCCTGTCGGTAGATGTCCAGCTCGTAACATTTCTCAAAATGTTGAATGAAATGTATTTATCCTGCATGGGCAATGGCACATGAAACAACGACCCAGTAGGTCTGTAAACCCCCAAGAATCTCAGTGGTAAACAAGACAATGCAAAGAAAAGACGAAGCCAAATACAGGACCTTCATAAATCACATCTCATGAACAGCTCAAACCACCATCCTCCATCCACCCCACACATGACCTAGCGGTTTGGCCATTCGCCCTTTCCACGGCACAAAAGGCTACCTCCATCCTACCTACCCCTCACCCATCATTCAACCAATACAGCCCCGTCCATCTATCGAGTTGAGACTCACGACTTCGGCGCCTCCGCATCCCCCTCAGCAACCAACTTCCCCACGACAAGGTACTTCTCCAAGAAGCGCTCCTCCCACCCCTGGAGGTTCTCCAGCTGATCGGCGTCGAGGTCCTTGAGGTCGTCGAGCGGGCCCTTCAGGTCTTCGGTGAGCATCTCCAGGTCGAAGCTCTGATGGGCCAGACCGCGCGAGGCGTCACGGCCGGCGAAGTTCTCGTATGGGCCGCCCTTTGATAGATTAGCATTTTTCAAATTGTTTGATCTTGTTATCTTGTTGATGTGGTATTTCCCCTTTGCGCTGGGAAACGTTGTATATGGGTAGGTCGGTATGCAGGTGGCGAGGTGGGTAGAATAAACATACCGGTCCATAAAAGTTCCGACCAGGCGTCACGTCAAACACGCGCCCACGCACAGCCAGATACACCGGCTTATCATCCTCGCCGTTGAACTCGAGCAGAGTGGTCGGAGTGAAGACGCGGAAGACGACGGGAGGGGGGCTCTTGGGGAGGGCGGCGGGGGTCTTGGGGCGGAGTTGGAGGTATACGGTGACGACGAAGAGGGAGAGAAGGACGAGGTTGATGGGGGTCGCGATGGACATTCTGTTTATCTGGTGTTAGGATATTTCCGGTATTTCTTTTTGTCTTTTCGGATTGGTCGGGATATAGAGGAGCTCTTACACCTCGGCACTGTCTAGATGATAAGAGGTGTTAGTAACTGGTTTGGTTGAATGTTGGAAGAAGATCGGGTTAAACGTACCTGATGAAGACATGATCGTATTTCACAAATCTCGAGTCACGAATCTGAGTGAAGTCCCACGATACAAGAGATATGCTGGATGATATCGGATCAGATCGTCAACGGTTATCCAGGCGGGAACTGCGGAGTTCAATTTGGCCAGTTGACGTGATGAGTAAGCGGCGAGCATAACCTCTACGTCATGTGACACACTGATGATGGGCACCTCATTGTTCAGGCAGGACGTAGTGTCGGAGAACTAACGCTGATTGGACTAGCCCGTTCTATATATACGCTCAGGCACTAAGGCCGGCCTGAAACAGTTCCACCGGATTTCCATTTTCTAGCGACTTTCCTACTTGATTTAGCTCGAGGGATTCCGTCGACACAATGGAAGGTGATCGGATATCCATGTTCCTGACGATTCCTGGAAGGATCAGATATTGATTAACTTGATGGACTGATCTCACTCCAGTCAATCTACAGTCTTGAAACAAGTGACAGGGCAACTCCTTTGATGAACCCCTCGGTCCATCAGGATCAGCCCACCGAACTAACTGACCCGCGTCGACCGGTTTGATTGCTAAATGAGCCTAATGCCCGACTAACTCGCCCCCATCGAAGCATTGGAAATTTGGATGAACAGTTGCCCAGCACCCGAGCAGTACAATCAGGTTATTCGCTCATGTGAAACAGGGTCCTTCATCTTACTTCTTGCTGTGCCTCAGTGGCCCATCCTGTGCCCGGGTGTCCGAGCTCTTGCCCCCTCCACCAGCTGGCCGAGACTTTATTTAGATGCTTCAACGGCCCCATCGGTTCGCTCAATTCATTTATATGGTTGATTTGTTCTCACGTCACTGGTTGTCATCTTCATTCCTTCATTCCTTCATTACTTTCCAAGACGGGTTGTTGGCTGTGCCAGGCTCTGTTCCCACCATATCCTTGTTTTGATCCCCTCTTTTCACCTTTCTTTTCTTTGACTCTTACTCTTACTTTTTACTTTTTCTTCTTCTTTTCTTTTCCCTTTGTCTGTCAGCCCACAGCTCTTTGTTCATCTACGCCCAATTGAATGACATGCAGACCGGGTCGTTGCATGATTCGTATTTGACACGCTGACTATCCCATTCGTTCTCTTCTCCATCTTGTCTTTCTCTTAAACCATCCCTTACCGCGCTCCCTTTAAACCTACGTGAGACATACGGTCGATCAATTAAGGTTCACCTGACAGAATCGGAACTCTCATCATGTGGGGGAAGGTCTCGTTTCATCGATCGCGGAAGCCGGTAAGGAGATCCCCGCGTTGGCAGAGATCACCGATTTCACAGTGACCATATTGACGTCTCTTAGTCTGCCGCCTCCGTCTCGAACGCCAAACCCGATAAAGCTCTTCCTTCTATACCACCGTGAGCAAGGCCAGATACCATCCAGAGTCAACCGAGTCGCTAACCTGATATCAGTAGCAACCATGCAAACACACCCCCTCCCCCACTCCGGCCCGTGCCAGAGCGTCGCGTCACATCTTCCATCTACTCGCACGATATCACTGTGGAATCCCCTCGCCAGCGTTCCTTCAGTGCAAACCACCAATTGTCTCCCGCCCCAAAGACCGTCGGCTATCAAACATACGGAAGTGGCAGTACGAGCCGAGACGTCTCCCCTCCCGACTCGCCAGACTTCGTTGGCCATGGGCCAGGCATAGACAATGGCCGGGTGTCCCCAATGGAGCACGACCCGAATCCGAATGGCGGACAGGGCGGAAATAACTTCAACAGCCACCTGCCCGTCTTACGCAGACGCGCTCACACCTCCAATGCCGATGTCACTGCGCCGGGACGGCCCTCCCCTGACCCTTCATTGAGAGCCCATGATACCAGATGGGACACTTTCTCTGGGGAGCCGACAACCAGCGACGCCGGTCGACCTGGACAGGTGGATCCGCGCGATATGACAAATCAACTCGGCTCCAAACCATCAGGATCAGGCATCCTAGGCTGGGGCAAAGAGCATCTCCAGGCGAAGAGAAGACTGACCGAGACACGTAGCAAGATGGGGCGGGAGCCGTGGAAGGGAGCTAGCGGGCGATCGCCGATAGTCAACCCAATACAGGAGAAACCACTAGGGAGATCAGCATCATCACGTGTGCGCCCATCGCGCAGCAATGATCGCATGCGGGATCGCAGCAGCCCCTCCCCAGGTCCTGATTTCGGATACCTGGGCATGGTGCCGACCGTGGTTACGACCATCACCGCTGGCGAAGCCAACACCGCCGCCGCGGGAAAGCATCTGCCTAGCCGCGATCTTCAACGGACGCGGGTGTCCGAGGAAGAGCCCACCCCGACTAGTGTGCATCATAGCCGTACCCCGCCCCGCGTTGACCTACCCGCCCCGGAGCCTGATCTGAACATCACCTTGGCGGCCCTGAAGCTGACCAACGACGCCAACGCCGGGGAACCCACCAGCCGATTCAGCGCCACCACATACGAACCCACCGAGGGCGGCACTTCCACTGCAACCGCGAGTCCGAGGAATAGCATCGACGCCGCTTCGCGATCGACCGAGAACTTCGCAGCTTCGGTCATGTCCCGCAAACGCCCAGTCCCCAGCATTCATACCCCCGGCGTGAAGCCCACCCGCAAACCCACGCCGTCGCAGATCTCCGACGACGCGGCGTCGACCAGGGCGCCCTCGGTGTGTCCGCCCGAGCAGCACGTCGAGAACCGCGTGGAAATGCTGGAAGCCAGACAGAGCACGCTGGGACGTCGCAAGGCGAACATCGATACCATCATCCACGAGCTGACGCAGGTCATCCAGCCCAGCTCCGTCGACTATGATATGGCGGCCCGGGAAGAAGTCAAAAAGACGGTCGCCAGTCTCAACGCCGAACTCGCCGAGATCAAGCGTGAGGAGCATGAGATTGGCTTGAAACTCCTCCGGTTGTGGAAGAAACGCGACGAACAGGATTTCTACGGCGGGGGCACCAGTCTATGGGTTAAAAGAGTAACCAGCTGAGCAGGATTCGCTTGGGACAGGGTTGGTCGTTTTGAGTCTTTTTGTCATGCCATGTTTTCTTTTTTTTTCTTCACTCGTCCTTTTATATTCTCTTGACATTCTTTGACCTTCTTTTTTGTCTCTTCTGTTTCTTTTCTTTCTTTTCCCTTTCCTTCCCTTCTCTCCTTCTCTTCTTCTATTCTCGTCTTTTCTTTGCTCTGTTATTGGCGGGCCCATCAGCTTTTCATATACCCTGGAATATGATACGAACAGATTTGCGACTACCCAGATTTAGCCTTCGTGGTAATGAAGTCGTTCAATCTGTATTATGGAATCATAACATTGCATACATCCTTCAAGGGAGCAGTGCCGGTGAAGACCTCTGACAAGTCTCCGGACACAAGACCTTATCAAACCATGACCCTGGGTCTAAATATCCCATCATCCGAACGAATGCCTACACGCAATATATATTAAGAAGGCAAATAAAATTGCTTTGTCGGAATAAAGTATCAGGGTAGATGTAGGTAAACCGGGACCCCTCTTCAAGGATCCACATGAATCATCGCTCGTATTGTGTATCATAAATTCAAAAAGAAACTCCGCGCATGATCTTCGGTTCCATGTTTATTTCTTGCCCGACTTCTTGATACCCTGGGAGCCCGTGTTCAGGGGACCCTTCTTGCCCTTGGCTGCGTCGGCCATGTCCTTCTTGGCCTTGGCGTCTAGTATAGCAAAATGAGGAGTCAGTTATTGTTTGAAAGTAGTGGAGGAAGTAGGTTGTTTAGTAGGTGTGTGACGTACCGGCCTTCTGCTTCTCTCTGAAGGCGATCTCATCCTCGTCGAGGTCCTTGGAGGCCTTCTTGGGAGCCTTGAGGGGCTTGACCTTGCCGCCTGTAGATATGTCGATTAGTTACCTTATCCAAACTGGACGGTTGTGTTGGAGCGTGGTGGGAGAATATTGAAACGTACCTTCTCTGCCTTGACCGCCCATTGTGCAGGTTGTATGATATCAAGGGGGTATAGAGGGGGAAAAGTGGGATGTTGAGTTGGACTGGGTTGAGAGAGAAGAATCGGAAAGAGAGAAAAAAAACTGCTTATCATGCGGGGTGTGGCGCTAGTGCGAAATCTGCCCGGCCGGACAAGACGTGACTGAGCTAAACCAAGTTACCGCCTTGGGACTGTCTCTGGTCTTTTCGTCTCTGTCTTCACTTTCTCATTCTTTTCCTGTTTTATCAATCAACATTTTTCTTCAACTTTGGGTTTCCTTTCCTTGCTACCGAATTGTCGCTGCTAGTATTTTCTTCGGTCTACCAGAGTTGGGAGAGAAACTCAACAACGAGCTAATCCTGGCAAGGACCGTGGCAATCAGCCGGTTGGACTTTCTCAATACACCTCCCTACTATCTCCTCATCGGAACTCTCCTGGCTAACCGGAGTCATCGATCTTATCTAAAGTTCCCTCACAAGAACCTCCCGTGTCCCGAGGTGATTCTTGCCCCTGCTTGACTCATTCATCCATCTGTCTGCGCCCCGTGAAGCTTCATCATGGCATCGCGCAGGTCGAGATCTCCATCGAGCCCTTCCGAGGGTGAGATCATCGAATCAGGTTCGGAGACGAAGGCAACTACGTCGCAATTTCCTCTTAATGGCAGCAGCGTTGACCGTCCCACCAGAGTCAGTATCACTTCACCGGCGCCCAGATCCAGATCTCCCGCCTCGGTGAGCAGGTCGCCGCGCCGTCGGCGGTCGAGAACCCGGTCCCGGTCGCGATCGCGCTCCCCCTATCGTGACTACAGAGGTTATAAGCGCCGCCGAGACGATGACTACGACGATCGGCGGGCCCCCAGACGTGCGGGCGGCCGCCACGACGACCACCGGTTCTATGATCGCGGCCATTCGCGCAGACAGCCGCCGAGATCCTATCACGACTACGACCGGGAAGAAGATCACGTTGGGGGACTCCGTTACAGTGACGACCATGATCGGCGAAGAGAGAAGCGCGCTCGCACGGGCAGCCGCTCCCCCTACCGTGAAGTGCGGAAGCCGAAGCAGTACTCCGGTGATGAGTGGGATTCCCACAGGGGAGAGACCGTGGCTTCCCGGGATACTAGGAGAACATCCACTGAACAGTTAGTGAGCGAGCGAGGGAGCACTCCAGTCGTCGCTCGAGAGTCTAAACAAGTTACTGAAACGAAAGAGAATCAGGTGCAGCATGCTTCGGGGAGCAGTCGTGTTAAAAATAGGTGAGTCCTTTGCGAAGGTTATCTAATTTGGTCTTGGTTGACATATCTTGTAGTGAAAATGGAGTACAGAGCGAACCGACGGAAGAGCAGCCGCCGGAGCCTATCGACGAAGCGGATCAGCTAGAGGCCCGTCGTAAACGACGGGAGGCCATCCGAGCTAAATATCGCAGCCAGGCGACACCTTTGCGCTTACAGGCACTCAACATCGAGACCGATAGAGACTCTCAGTCACCTAGTACTGACATCAGTGCGACCAACGGTGTACAAGGTAGGCACATACGGCCCTACACACTACGATTTCGGACTAATGATTTCATCCTGACAGAGAGTTCAGCTGCCCAGACACCAAACGACAGCACTGGGGAGATATTCGCGGACTTTAACATCGGCACTGATGCAGACCTCATGAACAACGGTGCGCCCGTGGACGGCGACAAAGATGAACCGTCTGCAGCAGACTACGACCCGACGGTGGATATGAAAGCCGAAAGGGAGAAACATGACCAGGATGTCCCGGCTGCCGCCTACGACGAGACGCAAGGTGCCAAGCAGGACATCCTGCTCCCGGATACGCCGGCCCCGCCTAAGCCCAAAGCGAAAGACCCGTACGACATGTTCGCGGAAGATGACGATGATGACATGTTCGCCGAGGAGACGGAAGAGACCACGCATGCATCGGCAACCGCAGTGCCGCAGCCGCAAGAGCTGGATGTCAGCATGTTGGACAACTGGGATGATCCGGAAGGATACTACAACGTGCGTCTCGGTGAGTTGATCAACGGACGGTACCATGTACAGCAGAACCTGGGCAAGGGGATGTTCTCATCTGTAGTGCGGGCGACGGACTCGAAAACGGGAGGGCTGGTTGCGATCAAGATCATCCGGCAGAACGACACGATGCGCAAGGCGGGGATGAAAGAGGTGGACATCCTGCAGCAGCTCCACGAGGCGGACCCGGACGACAAGAAACACATCATCAAATTCGAGCGGATCTTCGACCACAAGGGCCACCTGTGCATGGTGTTTGAGAATCTGAGCATGAACCTGCGCGAGGTGCTGAAGAAGTTCGGGCGGGACGTCGGGCTGAACCTGCGGGCGATTCGGGCCTACGCGTCGCAGATCTTCCTGGGGCTGAGCCTCCTGCGCAAGTGCAACATCCTGCACGCGGACCTCAAGCCAGACAATCTCCTAGTCAACGAGCAACGGAATTTGCTCAAGGTGTGCGACCTGGGGTCCGCGTCGCCGACCACGGAGAACGAAATCACGCCGTACCTCGTCAGCCGGTTCTACCGGGCGCCAGAGATTATGCTGGGGATTCCGTACGACCACGCGATCGACGTGTGGTCGATTGGGTGCACACTGTTCGAGCTGTACACGGGCAAAATCTTGTTTACCGGGCGCAACAACAACCAAATGCTACGGTCGATCATGGAGTGCCGGGGCAAGTACCCACCCAAGCTCCTGCGGCGGGGGACCTTGACCCCGATGCACTTTGACGAGATGCTCAACTTCCACAGCACCGAGGAGGACAAGATCACGGGACGGTTGGTGACGCGTGTCGTGGACTTCAAGAAGCCGACGCGCGACCTGAAGACGAGGCTACTGGGGAAGGGCACGCGGGGGATGACGGAGAGCGAGGTGAAAGAGTTGGGGCAGTTTGTGGACCTGCTGGACCGGTGTTTGAGCCTCAACCCGGAGAAGCGATGCACGGCGGCGGAGGCGCTGAAGCATCCGTTTATCGCACGAAGTCGGTAGGTTATGATGATGAGGCTGTATATACTTGGGTGATGTCATGTTGGTGACATGATTTGCCTGTAGAATGGGGGGGTTGGTGGGACGATAGGTTGCCACCGCCGTGGGGGCGGAGCTCGGAGATATGAGCAGTCGTGTTGCCACAAGGATTATTATTATTTATTATTTATTATCTACTTGTTTATTTGTCTTGTTGTAGATGGGTATCCATGTACACTTTGGTGGAGAGTAGGATCCAGTCTATAGGTAGAAGGCATTACAGCACGGCTACCTAGGCAGGTGGCAAGCAGGCGGCAAATAGCGGACGGAAGTGCAGGTGGCAGACACACTATCAGAGTTGGCCCTTTGCCCTGCCTTGTCAAGAAGGTTATACTTTTCATTGCCCCGGGTGTTCATCCCAACAGAGCCAGGGCATGAATGATTCGTCCAACGTATCATATCATATTATCTCATCTCATCTCTTTCATATCATATCATATTATGATATTCATCAAAATGATCATGACCAAAGTACCCTAATACGACATTCCCATGATGTCATGTCTAGTATTCATCCTTCTGATGCCTTTCTTTTTTTTTTTTTGTAAGGTACCACTAGCTGAAGAGGTATGAGACTGCGCCAGCTGAACAATGGATGTGTGGATGGTGGGTGGGTGGGGGGATATAGAGCACGGACCTGTTATATTTGGATCAGATGGATCAGTAGGTAGGTGGTGAGTATGTTTAGTTTAATTAGTCGTTATTCTTCGTAGGTAGATACTTTGTTACCTACTAGGTATCTGCCTAGAGCTGGTATAACTATCTAGTGCTGATGAATGTACCAGGTATACCTACTCGTCCTCCGTAACAGGGACAAGGTAGACAGCGGCAAAACCAGCCATCCATCAGGAAAGAAGATACCTCAGGTATGGATGGAAGACACGGGACGCCTTGCAGGACGAGCCAATCAAAGTGGGGTCTCGGACCGCAAACGTGGCCGCAAAGCAGCCAATCGGGGTGCGTGTGGGGTTGTACCACAGATGGTGATTGGTGGAAGGGCTAGGGGTTGCCTCACTTTCACATCATTATTTCATGGATGTTTTTTGAGTCATTCTCATGGTGATTTAATTCTTGTGGTCTGAGAGTTGATTATCTACCTTCAGGTATTATCTGGGATGAGGTAGAGCGTAAGATGGATGGAATAATTATTGTATGGAGTACTCCGTACGATGTATACTCCAAGATGATCAGTGGGTAAAGACGGTGTGTTCTATTTATTATTGATGAATTAATCTCCTTCTAACATCTAGAACACTACTCTGGTCAAGATGGTGGATGAGCTGGCACAACAAGGCTAAATTACCATCACTAATCTAACTAGATAAAAATAAATCATTATAAATCAATAATAATCTAGAAAAAGTGTGAGGAACAGCCAATCAACCCTCCAGTCCATGATCATTCAGCATGGATCATGAGAGGGGTGGTGGGGACTGGCTACCTCTGGTACACCGCCATGAATGACCATCGAAGCATCATACATCTCTAGCCTGGTGGGTCCGTCAATAATCCTGTCCATTCTGGTCTGGTCTGGACATTCTGATATTATTTTCTGAGGTGAGAGAACCAACCGATCCCCAACGGGCCATCCGAGTGGAGGCCTTTGGAGAGCCCCGTGTTCGTCTGTGGTCTTTTTTCTCGTTTCTTCTTCTCGCCTCCTGATCTCCACACCATCTTTGCCTCTGATTTTCTCTTGACTTCGACTCCGTACTGGGACGGATTTATATATCAGTCTCGACCAAGTTCTCCTATCCTCACTCTATCTGGTTGGTTGATCGGCGACAGATCAGATTCTCCTTTTATATTATTATTGTTTTATTATTTCTCTGTTAATACCTCACACTCTTCTTTCTGTCTTCTTTCTTATTACCACCATCCCCCCTCCATCCTTCTTCCTCCTTCCTCCTTCCCTCCTTTAATCCTCCACCTTATCCTTCGGTGCCCCAACCATCCACCATCTACCATCTACCACCAACCTTCCCAACTGTCCACTGGATCAACCGGGCACCGCCTCCTGTTCTCTCACTGCCACGCTGGATCTGCCCTATTCTTAATCTCCTCCCCCTCCCCCCCGCCCCCTTTCAACAAATCTTACCCAAACCTACTCTGACCCACTGGATTATATCAACTCTGCCATCACTCCGTGATTTTTGTACCAGGATTGGATTACCTACCTTGAACCCGTTTCCCAACTGTCACTCCTTCCATGGATTCCTAGACGACTTTCCTTTGGTTCTGCCCTGTGTGCCACCCGGCCTTGACGATTTGGATGTTCTTTGCCACTTGACGGGATTCTGCCGGATATAATTGCATGTTGACAACCGTCAACACCATCCGACCACCATCATAATAAGGAATCGGCCTGGATCCGGTTCCCTTTTGGTTTTTTTTTTTTCTTCTTTTTCTCCTTCTCCCATCTTGTACCCGTTCTCATTCCCTATTGATCATGCATCCTCCGACCTTTGGCATGTATCCCCCCATGCTTCCCACCCCCCCTCCCTCGCCTCCCATCCCTATGTCTCGTTGCTATGCCCCGGAAGACCGTTTGGGACTCCTCCTGGCCAACCGCCTGGAGCTTACCTCGATCCTCGGGGTAGGCGCCTATGGCGTCGTCTACACCGCCGTCGACATCCATACCAATATCATGTACGCCGTCAAGGCGCTCAACAAGGCTGGCTTGGATCCCCGCCAGCTCAAGTTCCAGCAGCGGGAAATCAAACTCCACCACACCGCCAGCCGCCACGCCAACGTGGTCTCCCTGGTCCGGATCATGGATGCCGTCGATTGTACATACGTGGTCATCGAATTCTGTCCGGAAGGTGACCTGTTCTCCAACATCACCGAAAAGGGCCACTTCGTTGGAAATGATCTCTTGGTCAAGCGCGTCTTCCTCCAAGTCCTGGATGCCGTCCAGTTCTGCCACTCCCAAGGGATCTACCACCGGGACTTGAAGCCGGAGAACATCCTGGTCACCGACCAAGGACTGACCGTCAAGCTGGCCGACTTTGGCCTCGCCACCGAAGATGCCAACACCACCGACTTTGGCTGCGGCTCGACCTTTTATATGTCGCCTGGTACATCCATCCTTACTCCCCCCTCCCTCCTTCTACTCCAACTGCTAACGTGAGTAGAATGCCAACAAACCTACCCCCGTCCCATGTCCTCATACGAATCGGCGCCCAACGACGTGTGGAGTCTCGGCGTCATCCTGGTCAATCTGACCTGCGGTCGCAATCCGTGGAAACGAGCCTCCGCCGAGGATTCTACTTTCCGCGCCTATCTCAAGGACCCTTTCTTCCTGCAGTCCATCCTGCCCCTGTCCGATGAGATGATCGTCATCCTGAGTCGTATCTTCGAGTGCGACCCCACTAAGCGGATCACCATCCCGGAGCTGCGCCACTTGATCTTGGACTGCCCCCGGTTTACGATGAACCCGGCCACTCCCTGGGCCCTGCCCCAGTTTGTGCAGCCCGTGCCGGTGTCTACTCCCGTGGACGTCGACGCCTTCACCCAGTCGTCCGTCTCCTCGGGCTCTTCCCATTACTCGGACGCCTGGGACTCGGCCGTCTCCGACACATCTTCCTGGACCGAAGGCTATCCCGACGTGGACAGCGTCTCCTCCTTATCTTCGGTCGGCGTGGACTTCGCGTCCGACTGCAAAGATGACTTTCCCCCCGCGGACTCGGTCGCCTGCAGCGATTTCCCCGAGCCCCTGGTCTTCCCCCAGCCGTTTACCCTTCCTATCCGCGTCTGCTGAACTTTCCTTCTGTCTGAACGTGATGACCACCCGGTTGTCTATTTATGAATGACGCCTTCAACAACTGCTTCGGATTTCTCCATCCTGGATTGCATATGAATTTGGAGCGACCGTGTAATATTTCGAAAAGCCCGGATTGGACATACTTAATCTCTGGATGCCTGGTTACCACAGCCGTGGATTCGGGACTCCAGCTTGACCTCGAGCTTGGCGAGCCATGGGATGTGGAGTGTTTTATTAATGTTGATATCATGGTGGAACTTTGTTTATCTTGGGTCTGTTTTCATCTATTGTCTATTTCTACTGTCTGTTTTGTTTGGTGTTTGGTGTTTGGGAAGGGCATCTGAAAGAAGAAAATACCCCACATCAAGCGTTCTTATTCTTCTTTATTCTTTATTTTCTTCTATCCTTCGTTCTTTTTTATCTTTTCTTATTGATTTTTATGTTTGGAGTTGGAGGACCTCTTCATTACGATACCTGTGATACATGGTTACATGGACAGCCATCACACATTGTCAAGATAGTTGCGACAATTATACGTGTTCCCTCGACCAGTCAGTCAATCTATCCGACTGGTCCGCTGGCATCTAGCCAGCGAGGATAGGGATCGAGATGAGATGACAGATGACGTTGAATAGACGACTGCGACGTTCAATTTTTATTCTATTTTCTTTCTTGACTCATCCTTATTATCTTTTCAACTTCATCAAACTTGACATGGATGATACGGATGTGGATATGAAATGGATATGACTAGTGCCCTTTCATCCTGCGTCGGCCTCCCCGAGAGTCGACTCGATCAGATTGAACCACGCCACCACTACCACGACGCTGTGCGACTTGAGTTCTGTTCTTTTTTGCCGTTGACAAGGGGCGAGTGTCACACGGAGATTCTGATTCTGGATTTTTACGATACGATGAGATTAAATCTTATGATACGGTACTTTGTATGATATGAGCTTACTCTGTATGATACTTTACGATGGCTACGAGTATGCTATACTCTTTTGAATTGTCGAGTGTGACCTTATGAGAGGAGGTTATGTTGGATGTGGTATTGACGGCTTTGGCTCGTGCACATGATATCAATCAACTACCTACGATATCAACTGCAATCAGATATCAAAAATACCAACCAACCACTATCCTATCAAAAACAATCACTCAATCGATGCCACGGAAAAAAAAAAAGAAAGAGAAGAACTACATATTCCTCCCCCCCGTAACCCGAATCGTCTCCCCACTAACATAACTAAACAAAGGACTAGCAACCCCCAACACCGACCTCGCCGCCTCCTCGGGACTCGCCGGCCTTCCGAGCGGAATATCCGGATACGCCGGCGTCTTCGCCTCCTGCTGGGCCCCACGGCGGGAATCAAGCTGCTTCCCCGGAATGCCGAGCGCGACTTTCGTCCCGTCGGGGGTGGTGATGAATGCGCCGGCTTCCTTGGCGGCTGTGAGACGGGTCTGCACGAAGCCAAAGGCGATGGTGTTGGAGCGGACGCCGAAGGCGGGGCCCCATTCTTTGGCGATTGTGCGGGTTAGGCCGACGACGCCGGCTTTGGCGAGGGCGTAGTTTGCTTGGCCTCTTTATCGTTGATTTTGTCAGTATTGTAGATGGGGGTGGATATGATATGTGGGATGGAAGGTAAGGGGAGAGAAGATAAGGGGAAACTAACGCATTGCCATGAATCCCAGAGGTGGAACTGATATTGATAATCACCCGCGGCTCCTTGTCTTTCACGCGGAAGTAGGGAGCAGCCGCGCGGACGAGCTTGAAGGGCGCTGTGCCGTGGATGGCGAGCATTGTGTCCCATTGTTTGTCTGTCATCTTTATATATTGTTAGCATTCATTCATATTCACAGTTATATTCCATGTTAGTGTCTCTTTCTCCTCCCTCTGGATATAAAACAGTAAATAAAGTAATTGAAAGAAGAAAGAAATACCTTGTGAATAACCCCATCCCACGTAAACCCCGCGTTATTCACAATAATGTGGATCTTGCCGCCCCCAAAGTCGGCTGCCTTCTTGACGAGCTCGCCGATGTATGCGTCGTTGAGCACGTCGCCTGGCACGGCTAGAGCGCGGTTGGGGGATGCGGCGTTGATGGCGTTGGCTACTGCGTTTGCCTTGTCTTTTCTTTTGTGAGTATCGTTCTTCATTCTCTTCTTTTTTTTCTTTTTCGTATGGGCTGGACCATGTATGGGGTTAGGTAGTATAGTAGCTACGCTACTACATCTGTAAACAGGCAAAGGAAAACGTACCATGATCAATATCAGCAACAACCACCTTGGCTCCCTCATTAGCAAACAATCTCGCCGTCTCGGCTCCAATGCCCTGGCCGGCGCCGGTGATGATGGCTACCTGGTTGGCGAGGAGGCCGGAGGGGAAGTTGAGGTGGGAGGAGATTTGGGAGAGTCGGGCTGCCATTTTCGTTTTTTTCTGTTCTTGGCTGGATTGGGTTGTGTTTGATCTTTGTTGTGGTTGTTGCTCTCGTTGGATAGGAGAGGAGAGAGGTTGTTGTAGTTGGAGGTGTGGAAAGATGCGTGCGGAGATGTGAGGGGTTTACCTAGGTATATAATAACTAAGGTGCTGTATAGATTGCCTCGGCCCGCGTGGACCGAGTACCGCTCCATTGTATACTTCGTAGTCAGACAAACTAGACTCGACTTCTATACTCGATACACGACTCAATTAAGTTATAGCAATACTGAACCTATATTACAACAGATATACTAAAAAATTAAGTAATATGAATGCACTGATCAGCTATCAACGCCTCATGCCCCCGAACCGTCTGCAACAACCAACTCCCCTCCCCAATCTCCATCCCCCCGGTCCTCATCCCCATCTCAACGGCATCTTTCGCCTGCCCCAGCGCCTCCTGACACTGCGCCAGCCGCCCACAAAGCAACACCCGTCTCACCCGCCTCGCCTCATCTGGACTCGTCTCGTACTCGCCATACGACACCACCGACCCGTCCCCTCCTCCTCCCCCCATCGCCTCCGGCGTCGTCGACGCGCCATACTCAAACGACACCCAGTAACTGAACAATTGCGCGGCCACATCCAGCGTCGACACCGCCAGCAGCAGATTGCCACTATCCTTATGACACTGCCCGCACTGCAAGAAACCCTGACACACGACCAGCGCCGCCCGCAGCGCCTGCAAGCTCCGGTCGAACCGCAGCTGCGCCGTGTCGACTGCCATGTGCCGCAGATGCGCCATCTGGATCTGGAGCGCTTCGTCGCAGTCGCAGGCTGGCGGGAATGTCGGTACGCTCGGCACGTGTACCGCCAGTGGGCAGCTTGTCAACCCCTTCGTGATGAACTCTTTTTGCAGGAATGTGGGCGACATTGATGTTGGGGGCTCGCACAGCCCTTCCTCTCTCCCTCCTCCCGTCGGGAGCCCGTCCCCGAACGGCGACCCGTACTCTACGGGTGAGGTCAGCAGCATTGTGGCCTCGTGGCTCTGGCTGTCGGGACTCTCCGAGTGACTGCTTGCTTCGTAGGTCGGCGCTTGCAGGATGCTACTGGCAGATGAGCCCCGTCGGTCAGGCGATGATGACGACGGCGGCGGCGGTGGTTGTTGCGCCGGCCGAGACCACCGGTGATGATGATGATGATGATGGTGGTGGTGATCCCCCGGGTACCGCGCTGGCCCGATAGCCGGGAACGCCTTGTCCAGATCGTCCGCGCTGAGCAGTTTCTCCTCCTGCAGCTGGCCCAGCTTGCGCAGCGTCGCGCGGTTCTTGCTCCCCTTGGGCTTGCCGGACCGGTTGGCCACCCGGTACCGGCAGTGCAGCCCGTGCCGGAGACACCGGATGCAGGTGTTCTTGCCGGACAGGTTGCACTTTACTTTGGATTGGCGGCAGTTCTCGCACGCTGCCCGGAGCTTGGGTGCGTCGGCCGCATTCCCCGTGTGGTTGGGCTCTGTGAGCATCTATGTGTTGTTGCGCTGGTATAACACTGGGGGGGGGGGAAGACAGTTCGATGGAGGACGACTTGGACGGTATACTGACAGGTGGTGGTCCCCCATAAGATATAGGACAATGTGTTGGCAGTGCGCTCCACATGTGGGCGGTCTCATCCAAGGAGGAAAGGGGAGAGGAAAGGAGGATTATATCAATCAGCAAGCACAGCCAGCGCAACCAGCCAGCGGCCTAGTATTTCCCCATCCAGGTACATCCAGTTTATATGCCTGAAGAAACACACACACACACACACACACACACACACACACACACACGCCAGGCCTATTCGTATTGGGACTGCTGAATCGTCGAAAACCGCATATGAAGTCAGCCGTTGTGAAACCCAACCATTGCATCTGATCCACCCAGACATGGGAGCAGATCATGGTGACTTTCTTCTTCCCACCCCACCCCACCCACACACACCACCCCTGGTTGTTGCAGACCAGCCCCGTGGTCCAAACTGCTCCCCAATCTTACTTGTCCAAAAGCCAGATTGGCCGTCGGAGAATGCGGCGCGCCGACCTTCTGGCTCGCGCCGGCTAGTTCGTCGTCGATTGGCATTGTTGGGTCTTGGGCTTGAGGACAATAAGCTCAGGTGCTACCTCGTGGACTTCCCAGGGCGCGACCTTGCCAGAGAAGCGAGAACTCTATGCGGGTCTGGCTGGGGATTGGGCGACTGCTCTTTTTTTTTTTTCCCCTTCTCCCTCCCTGGTAGTCTGACGTAGCATTCATGATCGAAACTTACATACATACTCCCTCCCCCCTCAGCAATCCCAGGGAGCTGCAGGCCAGCGCACCATGTGAGCTGTAAACTTGCGCAGTCTGGACTCTCCATTCGTCTGCAGCATGCAGGCATAGAGTGAGCGGTGAACCTCGACGCTTGCCTTCTTTCAGCTTCTACTCCTTTTCGCTCTTGGGGGTCCCTTCCCCCTTAACCTGAACAATAGAACCAAAGAATCTCCGTCATACATACACCCCAGACGTCAGCAAGCCAAGGTCGGACACATCCCGTATCATTCGTGGGTCGTCAGCATGAGGTCGTGGTGCTCTAGTGCTCTATCCTGCCCCATGGCAACACATAAACCTATTACATTGGATAGGACGATCGCTACATATTATACCCAACTGCAACCTGTCGTTCACACATCAGGACACCGCTCGTGTGATCTTTCCGCTCACCCGCGGACGAATCACCACCCACCGCCGCTCACTCCAGCGCCCGAACACCGCTCCGCGATGCCACTGTGTCTGTAATCAAACGCCTTCAGCAGCCCCGTCAGATGAGCCACGGCCGCACACACAACCAGCACATGGAAGATCTGGTGCGAGCTGCCCCAGAGGTCGAAGCGACCCGGACACAGCCGCTCCGGAACGCGCGCCGCATATATCGCCGCCCCCACGATGTAAAGCAGCCCCTGGAGCACCAGCCAGCCCAGCCCGATCTGCCGCATCTCGCGCTCCAGCCCGTAGGCCTCGATCCCGTGGAGGACGGGCACCACGGCCGAGAGACCCATGCCGACGAACATGGCCGCGCGGAAGGGCCGCCACCGCGGCGTGCGGAATCGCGGCATGATCGACACACACGCGCAGCCAAGACCGATGCTGCAGATCATCGTCCAGTACCGTCGCTGCAGGCCCGGCTCGCAGTAGAACCCGTAGTAGACGCTGGGGACGAAGCTGCCCACGATGAGCCCCACGATGCCCACGTAGTCGAATGCGTTCCCGATCCGGGACACCTGCGGCGAGTGGTTGGATACCGTGTGGTATGTCGCTGACATGCCTAGGCAGAAGGCGGCGCCTGCGAAGAAACACCCGAACGCTACGAGGTCGCCCTGTGTTGCTGTTTCGTACCGCGGGGCTAGGGCCTTGTGGAGGCTGTATGCCGCTGGGATGGCTAGTAGTGCGGGTAGCAGGTGCGTGTAGATGTTGACTGACTCATTGTGGAGGTAGGTGAGGGAGTGAAACGACCCCCAGAATGAGAACGACGCTGGTCGGTAGCCCGTGAGAATGTGTTGGTTGTCACGCTGCCAGTGTGGCAGGTCGTCCCAATGGAGGAGCTTTTCGACGAGTCGTGAGGGCTGCTTCAGGGCTGCTTCTACGACCGTTTCTGGCTGGCCGGGCCCTGTGTCTTTAGGTGGGTCTTGACGACGCTGGCGAGTCGACATGGCGAATGTATCGACTATGATGGTTGGCGACGGGATTGCAGATGCAATGCAGGTTGCGTGACGGATCAATTGTACTCGATAGATAGATGGCAATGACGGTGAGGGAATAGGTATAGGGAATTGAAGAAGCCTGGTGTTATTCGGCCATAGTAGATGTAGGAAAAGAGAGCGCTATGATCCATGGTTGGAACTGTGGAGCATTGAATTGATGAACGAGCGTTGGGACTCGATCATCCCGACTTTCCCCGTTGGGAAGGACTGCAAACCACACAAACTACACAAACAAGAGAAATTACGCAAACCATCCAAACCCGTGGCGTTATCATGTCGCGGGTATCAACCCACCGACAACAACACATCCATATCATGAATGACCGCCATGTCGGCCCGCCAGAACCCTGGAAAGTGGACCAAAAGCCGCTTGAAGCCCGTCGCCGACTCCCTGGAGGCAGTGGGGTTCGTGTCTAAAGGCGATCGCAAGTATGCGCCAACCGTCCGGAGATTGGATTAGCGGGGAAAACGACTAACCCACGCAGACTACTAGACCACAAAGCCCAAATCGACTACTATGAGAAGATAAAAGAGCGGTACGTGCGATTCGGCGCGTTATACAAAGACAACCTGGAGGCCGCCTGGGCGTCCCTCCCCACCAGCGCGTCCGGCGACGCAACCAAGAATCCCCCAGCATCTGTACCCCACGGTCAACCGGCGGGGACTCGTGGGCCCTCCGCATCCGCCGAACTATCGACCCTCCTGCTTTCCCTCCGCAAGCTTCGAGAGGCTGTTCTGGCCACCGCCTCCACAACACCCATCTCCTTCTCCCAGCATGTCCATATTTTCTCTGTCCGACTCTCTGTCAAAGCCAAGCATCCGCCGTCGTATTTCCCCTCTCTCAGGTACCTCGTTGACAGGCTGCATTCGCCGGCGCATCCATTGGCGGAGTCAGAGCTGAAGGAGCTCCTCTCGTATCTCATTCTCGACTATGCCTGTCGGCAGGAAGACCTGGTGGCAGCGTTCGAGCTGCGCGCGCGGGCGCGTCGCCAATACGCCTTCCAGTCGCAGACGGTCGACCGCGTCCTGAACGCCCTGGCGCATGACAACTGGGTAGTCTTCTGGCAGGTCCGCAAGGAGGTGACCTCGGAACTGCGGTCAGTGATTGATTGGGCGGAGGATCGCGTGCGGAGACACGCGCTCAAGGCCGTCGGCGGTGCCTATCTTAGCGTCCATGTGACATGGATCACCGAGGGCTGCACGGGCGACGGGTCCTGGACGTGGGAGAAATTGGTGGAGAGGGAGAAGGTCGGTTGGTCGCGAGAAGGCGACATGGTCATTATAAAACGGCCGAAGCGAAAACCGGCGCAGAATCTCACCCCGATCAAGGAATCTTGACGGCATCCATTCTTTTGAGCATTATACTTGGCGCGCTAGGCGTTGGGAAGGCGGCGTTCATTCAGGGATAGAGGGAGCAAGATGCTAGCAAAGCATTGTATCTTTATTGGCCTCTTATCATCAAAATTACATCTTGAAGTCCGAATTCGGCCGGTCCAGATTGGTTTGCCCCGTAATTGGCTGTCTAGCAACCGTCTCAACCAGGCTGGTCTTTAATTTCGAAGACTTGTCCGAACAGAGCTCGTAGACGGTCGCAAGATTGAACACTAGACCGCCGAACGACTGGTTTTCATGCGCGAGAGACTCCAGGGTTTCGCGGGCCTGCTAATATGAGCAATGGTGTTATCACGAGGGCTGGAGCAACGTACGTCATTGAGTCGGGCTGTGTAGAGCAAGCACACGGCCAAGTTCTGCTTGACCATTGCTTCGTCCGATCTCTTGGGTCCAGCCTCAAGCAGGGCCTGCCATTCGACGGCGGCATCATCGTATCGGCCCTCGGCCATGCTCAGAAGCGGTTTGAACATCGTGTCATCCGACCCGTCCGCCAAGCGAGACTCGCGTTTCGCGGCATCAACGTCACCGATGAGCAGGAACAGCAGTGTTTTCCTTGATTTGCTGACAAAGCTATCCGAGGCTGTCGTCCGCAGGCTGTCGAGCGATCGCCTGGCCGCACTGAGGTCGCCCATCTCGATCAAGGCATTCACACTCCTAATCCCCAGGTCTGCTAACCTGTCCCTCCAGGCCTTCCGGTGCTCATCAGATGTGTCTGGGCGGAGGACCTCCCTTCGCGCTTCGATGCCGATATCATACAGGCCAGCGATGCCTCTGCGCGGGTCACCAAATCCGATGCTCTGCAGCCGGACGGCGAGGACCCGCAGCGGCCACGGCGCAATATGACGAGGGTAGCTTGATTCTTGGCTAGATTCTTGATCTTCATCAGTAGTGTCCGATTTCGGAGTGATGTAATAGAACTCGGAACTCAGATCCTCGAGTGCTTTGGATTCCTGCGCCGCAATGACGGTATTGCCGGATAGTTCCAGGCAAGCCAACCGCGTGTAGAACAGGGCAAAGATAAGTTTAATGTCCGTGGGCGAGATCCCCGAAGATGTCAGTATTGCCGCAGAGAGATACGCTGCGAGCAGAAAGTGGCCTTCGGCTAAGAGTCTCTCGAGGGTGCCCAGATTGTGAGATAGGGGCTCGTTCGAGGATGGAGTCACAAAATCCGAACGTAGTGCATGGGGGATGTCTATCTGGGCCAGAGAGTGGTAGATGTCATAGCGGAGAAGGAATGAGAGATCCTTCTCGAGAGTATGTGCGACCTCATCGGGGATCAATGGATCAAGGGTGTAGAACGATGTCCCAGAATAGTCCCCAGTGGTCGTATCCTCAGGCTGTGATGTCACGCTGAGAGGGCTTCAATCATTAGCGCGTGTTGGAGTATGAGACTACTGGGACACCTACTCATGCGACTCATCTAAGGGACCTCTGGTCGAGCTCCTGGGGCGAGCTGTTTGTTAATCGATCAGTCAAGAGCTCTGGGGTACTGCAAGTTGTCTGCCTTCCTTACATTTGGAAGCATTGCGGTCATGTTTGGATGTAGACATGATTCCGCAATAAAGATGCAACAAAAGGATCAACAGGAAACAATCAAAAGAAATACAAAATAAGTCTATAGCACCCTTTCCAAACAGCCAATATAAGGGTGTGAATAAGTTGAGTCTGGCTGTCCGGGAGTGTGGAGTGTGGAGTGTGTACTTGATGTCGAAGTTGTGAGTGATTAGATAAGAGTCCGCGTTATATCGGTGCCTGGTTTCTGCCGGGCGGTCAAGGGATCGACATGGCAACCTGGCCCCATTCATTCTGTCAATCATTGTCCACTCAAGGTAGCCACTGCTCATACCACTATCTCAATCACCTCCTTCCTGTCCATCTAACCTCCATCCTCTCGAACAGTCTCTATTTCCAGTATATCTCTGTCGGGATAGATCGTTCTCTCGCCGTCTCCTACCATCATGACGCTCTCTGAGGAATTCCGCTCGCGAAACTTCAGTATGGACTTCCGTGTTTACACTTGCCCTTGAGAGATCTACAGGCCGTGCTAATCATTCATTCGACAGGTATCTATGGACAATGGTACGTAAACGCCTTCTGGACCGTATTCGATACTTTATTCGCATCCCATTTGTTGCCTCGTCCCATGCTACCTTCGAGTTGAAGCGATCATGGATGCTTGGGGGCTGTGCTTGGCACGTTTCGGATCGGCATGACACCGCAGCGGCCGCCTCAAGTGGGAACTGCGGAGCCGACACGCATCGCATAACGTGGGAGGACGGCGTCATGGGACTATACACTCTAGCTGTGTCGCAATTGCTGACTGGTGTCTATCAGGACTGGGGTGATCTGTATTATCCTGTGCATTGCGCTTGGAATTGCCAACATCTTTTCGCCCCCTGCGCGCATCGTCTTCAGTATTCTGTGCTTGTAAGCTGGGCCATATCATCCCTAGGGAAAGTACTGTGCCAACTGACACTCGCAGGATCGCCGGCGTGGTCCTTATCTTCGTTGAAGTTCCATTCCTCCTTCGCATTTGCCCGACGTCCGACAAATTCGACAACTTCATCCGACGATTCACCACGAATTGGATGCGCGCCGCTATGTACCTCGCCATGAGTGCAGTCCAGTGGATCAGTCTCGTCACCGGCGCTTCCAGCTTGATTGCCGCGGCGGTCATGCTTCTGATCGCGTCCCTCTTCTATGCCCTGGCTGGCGTGAAGAGCCAAGACTTTGTCGGTAGCAAGACGCTGGGCGGACAGGGTCTGGCACAGATGATTGTCTAGTCAGGTTCTGTGGGATATGGCATGAATTGGATTGGTTTCGGGTGCTCATCGTGTCCTGCTAGCCGTGGGATCCCCTTGCGCCCTTTGCGGAATGCTCTCAACCGACACAGCGGAGTGGCTGTGGCCACGAGGCAGATAGGGGACACCGCCATCCAAGTCCAATTACGGAGGAAAGAAAGGAACGTTCTGCGCTGAAATTTCATGGTTACGAATTAAACCCGTCGTTCTCAGCGAGGCCGCCGAGCAGGCCTCTGTACTTTTATCTCATCAGGGTCGTCTACAAGGACTCGCGCCCAGGGCTAAAAGGCGTTTGCAATCCCGGTTTCGAATGTGTTGGGGACCGCGAAGACTCTGCTTTATATTTTCTTCGCGCCGTCTTGATCCGATATTCTTTGTTCTTTTTGTGCGATCGTTGTACTTTGCTCTTTTGTTATCTCGTTCTGGCGTGGTCTGTCTCCGCCCAGTCGAGCCTTAGATGACTTCCTTACCGACTACTATACCTAGCGAATACCCTACTGGCATCCCGGCGATGAAGGAATTAATTGTTATCATAGGATAGCGAGAAGTAGCCATCGCTTTGGTTTCAAATTGGCATTGACTCCAGCAATTGCCGGTTAGAGCGGTAACATCTATATTTCTCGGTCTTATCGAGTATGTGCATGTTTAGTCCCAGCCCAGGGAACATGTGAAACGAAAATCCATCATTTGTTGCTGTTTTTTGGCCTCCAGCTCGTCGTGCGTGCATTAGTGTCAGGTCGAGAGTAGGTACCTACTATCTACCTATGGACCATGGTGGGTAGGTACTCGCGCCCTGCCAAATTCCACCTGGTTTGTCCTTTCGACTGTACCAAGTAGACATGTTCATCCAGCTATATATACAGGTATTCAAGTGCGTACCTAGGGAGGTATATCCTATACGATTATGATAGGTATCGATATTCCCATTACCACACACACACACACACTCTCTCTCTCTCTCTCTCTCTCTCTACACTAACGATAATTAGACAAGATTAGCCCTCCACACGCTCATTCTTGTATGATGTCTGCCATTGCAGTCCCGTCAGACATATTCTTATCTCGCATGAGGTTTTAGTCGGCAGACAGCTAGGGGCTATATATACGTCATTTCCCCTCCTGCAAGAGGGGCACCCCGCGTTTGGGAGTAAAAGTGGGAAAGCGGGATGCGAGGGGGTGTGGCACTGTTGGTTTTATTATGTGTTCATTTACTTTTGAGATGATATGGATTGTATGAAGACCAGTACCAACTATGTGAATACAGGTGGAAGTGGGAGGGATTGATGGATTACTGCACTCGCTCGGTGGGTAAGAAATGCCTTGTTAATTCTATCCTTTCAGTTGGTTTTGTTCTTATCTTCTTTGTTTTTGCCTATCCTTTGTTATTTTCTTTTTGTTCTTGTTTTTACTTTTCATGCTGCATCTATGGCAGGTGATGCTTGAAATCCAGTGCACGAGGTCAGCCATATGGTGTATGATTGGCTGATACGGTAAAAATACCTTCTGAAGGGTGTGGATATCCGTGTCAATGCATCGCCTAGAATTCTAGTGGACCTGTTATCAACAGGTAATATTGACAGGGTTTATTAGTTTCATGGGGATTAGTGTTTTGAGCTTTCGTTAATTGAAACCTCGACAGATTCAGCATTGTATCAACCCTGTTGCTGTATCTTTCTCACACGGATAGCGTGAAAGAGGTCTAGGTTACGAGAGCCAGTTAATTTCCCTTCAGGACGACAAAAAGTCTGGCTGAGGACTCGGCTCATCATTGGTATAAAACAGCCGATCGCGATGTGCAGAGAGATAGATGGAGTGGTTCATGATGCAATGGCTCCAGGTGTGCATAGGTACCGTCATAACCAAGGCCACCCGCGTCAGTGCCCCCAGCCAATCATTCGCCATCCATTATAATTACCAAGGACGCTTCATTGTTGCCGTTCCGGGTTGTGTCTTTTTTTTTTTTTTTTTTTTTTGGAATCCATGGATGAGAAAGACAGATCAAAGATACTGGTATCTGCACGGCCACAACGGATAACCCAGTCTGGCTGCTCCACGTACGACGGATTTGTGTCGTGGCGTGGGTGACTATTAATACCAACGGTCTGGCCCGGCGGGATCTGCCCCCCATCTGGTCATTTTGGGGTCGAGAGGACTGGAGGATGGGAACAAAGAGGGAAAGGAGTGGAGACGGGGGAGGAAATAGTTCAATCAGCCCCCAACGGACCCAAAGAACTCATACACCGACACTCTTGATTCTTGAAGTTGTGCCCATGGAGGTTTGATTATAAGACGATATAGATGTTCATGTCAATAGGTGCGATCGTAAAAACCGAGTTGTTGGCAGATCGTCAGCCATTATCAGGGAGGGAAAGAGTGGAGCGAAAGGGTGGAGTACCCAGTAGTATGGAAGGTATCATTGTACTGCATGCGTGATTTTGCCCTGTTTCACGTTGCTCTTTGCAACGGAACCTTATATGACAAACAGCTGATGGATTGACATGCCGTACGAGGCAACAAGGAGAAAATGCCGCAAAGAATCAAGAGGGAAAAAAGAAGAGGGAACCGTGGGAGCTGCAGATTGCATATATGCCTCCCCCTCTATCGTCATAGCAGATTTTCATTGGTGGATGGTTGGATGCACTTGATCTGAGCCAGGAATGGGCTCCTCAGTGGGCGTCAATCATTCGAGAACAGTATGATGTTTGATGATATCTTTCATGTTGCTGGACGAAATCAGACGATTCTTCTCGAGGGATTGACTGACACCTTCAAGTGTCCTTGAAGAGTGTACAAGATTGTAGTTATTGCGACAACGGGAACTCGTTTGTCCACGGCCGGAGAATGGTTATCATATTGTAATAATACCACCCGGCTTAGTCGTTACTAGGGTATTAGAGGGTCAGCGGATGTCACGCAGTGGAGCGGTGGGGCGTGGCAGGAAGAAAGCGGTTAGCCTGGGTTTTTTACGGCCACCATACGGCAAAAAGGTCATACATCATCTTTCTCCAGAGTCCTCATTAGCTTTCTTCTTCTTCTTCTTCTTCTTCTCTTCTCCCTCTGAGATGCTCTCTCATCCCCTGTGATCGCCATTCGATCCTCCACTCTGCCTCCATTTGACTCCATTCAAACTCTTGTTTTTGGGACATTGTTGACCTTTGCCAAGTCCCTTCAATTGTCGAATCCTCGTCTCTTTTTAGGATTCGTTCGTTGTAGCTCTCCTCAGTCTCCCCGTTCAACTACTGACGTCTATCAAATTTACCACCTCCTGTGACACCCCGCCTCTGGCTTTCTTACAATCTGGCCACCATCAAGTTGGTAAGCACATCTTAATGATTCCTTTTTGCTCTGTCTATCCCGAAATCGTGCTTTTACTGCGTCATTTTGGTGGGAAAATGCGAGGGTTGTCGTCAGAGCTGGAGGGGCGGTGAAACCTTCCATCTAGTTATCAGCTTCATGTGGTGTCATCGCATCTCTTAACGCCAGCTTTGTCCTCTCCCCATCTCATTGATCCTATACTTTTCCCTTTTGAACGAGCGATGTAGCTCAGTCTGTTCCCCTTAATCTACCTCCGTGGTTCACCTTGCACTCGCTGGCGATGCGGGGCTCCAGTATCCCCTGGACCTTGCCTCTCTCCTAGCCCCCCCCCCCTCAAAAAGCCTTCCAATCCATGTGTCTGTTATATCATATCTCTCCAGAAGTAGCTGACATTGTGGGTCTATTGATATCTAGTCTTTTATTAATTGGTATCATACCATAATCCACCCATTATGACGGCACAGACGGTCCCTGCAATCCCTCCGCGGCCATCAAGGTCACCGCACCAGCAGAACCTTGCACCGACGGGCAATGCGCCCAAGATTCCTCCACGTCCTTCTCGGCATATCGAACGGTCAATGTCCCCGCTCCGAGATAGCTTTGCGCCATCACCGTTGAACGAGCCCCCTCATGGCTCGGCCCTGAATCGCACGGTCTCTAGTGAGACTCCACAACGTCCACCGAGCGTCACGATACCGTCCCTGGGCGAAGAAGGCATCGAATATGAAGACCTGGGCGTCAGTGATACCCCCGAGAATCATCCTGCCGCCCCGACGGAAACACGGAACGTGGGGAGCGATCTCAAACTCCATGCGCCAAGACCGTCCTTGCCGACCTCGAGCGCCAAAGCCCAAGTACAGGCGGTCACACGCACGGATTCTCGCCAGGTTGCCGCGGCGGGACTTGCTGGAATGACGTCTCCTTCCCACGAGGAGCGCCCTGAACGTCCGGGTCGTTCGCTGCACTCCGGAGCAAGCGGCTCGCGAGCAGACTCATCGACGGCCTCGACCGACCGACGGCTGCAATATGAAGAAGAGCAGGGCATCCCCGAAATTGGACAGCGGGTCCCCATGTACCCCAATGGTGGCGATGTGCAGGCGCCGTCCCCGAGTCCCTATCAGGTGGAACACGCGGCCAATCAGCGCCCGAGCCGGGGCCATAACCGAAGCCGTAGTGGTCGCGAATCTTCCCTACCCCCCGGTAGTTACGGTCTCCACGGTCATGGCGTGGACCCCAGTGACAAGTTCGAGAAGGCTTGGTATGAGAAGCATCCGGATCAATACGTGAAGGAGGAGAAAGGGCAATATGGCTCCGGCGTTGGCACTCCCAAGCCCGACTGGGCTCTGAGTAGCGATGACTTGAATAAGCTTGTTCGCGGTTCTGCGGTAACCGGTTCTGGCCTTGGTAAGCCCCTATCTATCATGGATGATGTGTGGGAGTCGTGGGTGACTAACCCCCGTTGAAGGGACCTCTCCTGCTGTGAGCGGCACCCCAGAAGAGGAGATTGGCTACATCGCTTCTGATGAGTACCAGCACCGCCTGGTGTCGCCCCCACCGCCGGGATCGCACCACGACTCGCGTCCAGCGGTTGCCTCGTCTCTGAAACAATCGGAAGTGCCCGATCCGGAGCCCGAGCCTGTGACCGAGGAGACATCGGGCGGAAAATCCAGAGACTCTGGCTTAATTCACGTTAATGAACCCTACCACCATCTGCACCATCCAGATGGTTTTGCTCCGACCCCCGATCCGGATGAGCTGGCCCATGGACACGGTGACGACGACGCTGAGAAGGAAGAGCCCATCCTGGCTGCGGATGAAGTGCGCCCGGAGTCTGCGTACCAACACCCCGCCATCTCCCCGACATTCGGTCGGAGGAGCAGTCAGGACCATGAGAGGAGCCGGCCTTCCAGTGTCTCCCATAGTCGTCCGACCAGCAGAAGCACCAGCCATCACGGCAGTATGCCCAATCTGGCACGACTCAACTCACGCGATGAACGCGAGGATGCGCACACGCCGCTCGAGGATGTCGAGGAGTATGAGCCTTTGTTCCCCGAAGATGCGTCCAAGGACAAGAAGCCGGTCTCCACTGTGGAGCGCTTCAAGCAGCGTCCCGACCTGCTTAAGCATCGATTTCCGAGTCAGGACATCTGGGAGGATTCCCCCAACAGTCTGCAGCTCCATACCACCGTGTCCACCCCCGACGCGGCCAAGGATGAAGTCTACGAGACCCCGGAACAGGAATCCTTCCGCAGAAGCCAGACGACCCGCACTGATCCCCACCGGATCGCCACACAGATATTGGAGGCCGAAGACCAGGAACATGAGGAGCAGGCCTCTTCGCGTCAGGGTATCGCCAAGCAAAGGTTTCCAAGCCGTGATATTTGGGAGGACGTCCCAGAAAGCCAGAGACTGGTGACCACGATAGAGCCCTCAGAAGCGCAAGAACTCCAAAGCCCAGTGGTACCCACGAAACCACACCTTCCGTCCCGACCTCAAAAGCAGGCTCCCCCTGTAAACACTTCTACCAAGCCTGTCACGTCACCCACCAATCCAGTCACGTCGCCCACCAAGCCTGTCACGTCGCCCACCGAGAAGAAACAGCCCCCCATGATTCCAGATCGGCCTAAGCCGCAGATCCCTATCCGGCCTGCCCGACTTGCCCGCGGATCCACGGATGAGAACAAGGATGCTCCAGCGGCCAAGGATGTTGCAGCTAAACCAAAACCTGCGGTGCCATCGCGTCCGGGGGGAAGCAAAATTGCGGCTCTCAAGGCAGGATTCCTGACCGACTTGAACTCACGGTTACAAGTTGGTCCCCAAGTGGCCAAGCCGCCGCCGAAGGAGGAACCTCCGGCCGAGAAAGTACCGCTGAGTGATGCTCGCAAGGGACGGGCTCGTGGACCGGCACGACGGAAGCCTGCAGCCGAACCCGCCCCCTCACGTCTGCCCACGATACCCGAGGTCCGGATCACTGAGACTTGGAATGTGTGGCAGGTGGACGCAGACGGCCACGTGGTCGTGGGTGACAGCGGGAAAGCCGAGTCGCCCAAGGTGAAAGCCGAGTCGCCCAAAGCTGCTGCTGCGGCCCCCGACACTACACTCGAGAGCGCCCCAATGGCCCCGCCGATATCCGAGAACGCTGCCGGCGAGTCGACCGATCCCCAGCCGTCGTCATCCCCAGCGAAGGAGTCATCCCCGGTCAAGGAGTCACCTCCAGTCAAGGAGTCACCTCCAGTCAAGGAGTCATCTCCAGTCAAGGAGTCATCTCCAGTCAAGGAGTCATCCCCAACCGAGGAGTCATTCCCAGCTGAGGAGAAGGCCCAGTCGCCGGAAGCCACCTCTCCCCCAGCCGCGGAACCCAAGACACTGCCGGTCTTCACCGACGCAGCCCACAAGGCCCCGGACACGGAAGATACTGATACCAAGGACGGACCCGCTCCCGCCGTAGAACCGGTAGTGAAAGAAGACGAGCCGGAAGCAGCCTCGGCCACAGCCCCAGCCGCAGCCCGAATTCAATCCCCTGAGGAAGAAGCAGTAGATACCATCGCGGAGGGCCTAGCCGCCGTCGCCGACGGCAAGGAAAACCAAGAAATCCAACACCACGTTTAGTGAAGTGTTTAATATCTTGTTGCTCTCCTTTCTGTTCCAGCGGGACGGGCAATCTTCAGTGTGTGTCTAGCATATTCCATTCATTCATTCATCCATTCACTCCTTCCTTCCTTCCATATCGCTTGATGTCCATATCTTGTGACTGCTTCCCTCACTCTCCTTAGGAGAATATAACGCTGCGAGTACCTACTAGTACTAGTACACTTATGTCTATTTCCTTGCTTGGACATGCATGCATCTGTCGCCCACGTTGGGTATTATCTTATTATATGTGTACAGTCGTTGATTGTTGAGTTCTAGCTGTGGTAATCTTTTATTACGGTGTGGGTTGTGATTACTATTGATATGGTTAGTAGTACTATTGTAGGAGTTTACTACCTGCCAGGTAGAGTATGTGATTTTTCTTTTTAGCATCGCATCTCAGAGAGATCCAAGGTATCAAATAGGTATACGACCAACCTAGTGGTCACTTACTACCTATTACTAGCACAAGGCAGGTAGGCAGGCAGGCATGTACTCCGCAGAAACTCTACCTCTACCATAAGCAATACAATAAATACAATACAATACCATCAAATTAATACTTCCTACAAAGTAGATAGATAGATAGATAGGTAGGTAGGTATGATTATTCGCAAAAACAACGACATACGTACGTCACTAATTGGAAGGAAGAAGCAAGCCAGCCGATTCAACTTTCAACTTCCAAAAGACACAAAGATGGATGGATGGGAAAGAGGAAATTAAGGGATCCTTTTCTTTTCTTTCTTTTTTTTTTGTTCTTTTCTTCTTTTCTTATGTTTTTCTAGGTGTTTGCTTCTTTGGGTGGTGCTAAGTTTTGCCCGTTGTCGGGTTGGGGGGAGGGAGGAAAGACGGACAAACAAGCAGGGAAGTGAAGTAACAATCCAGTAGCAGTAGTAGAAAGGTAGAAAGGCCAGTCACACTAGTGTCTAGGTACTTGTTCCACTAAGGGAACCTACAATCTGCCCCAAGCAAGTACCCTCAATTCTCAAGAAAAAAAAAAAAAAAAAAAAAAAAAACGCTCAGAGGTATAGAAACATGGCAAGGCAGTAAGTAATCAACTAGCAGGCAGGTTCTTCAAATCACCTTTTCCTTCCTTGGTCCACTCGGGATCAATGAGACGCTCGCGTTCAGCATACAGCTGCTTGTAGGCACCGCGGATCGTACCGTCGCTGACGTGCGCCACCTGGGAGATCTCCTTGGCGGACTTGCCATGGCCCATCAGGTACGATGCCATGTAGATGCACGCGGCCACGATAGACAACGGCGAGCGCCCGGCCAGGTCGCCCATGGTCGTGACGCGGTCCGACAGAGCGGAGGAAACGCTGGTAACCTGAAAGGGCAGGTCGAGGAGATTGCAGAACCGGTTGCACAAATCGCTGGGCTTGGTCGAGGTGGTGGCCGTGTAGGCGGAGTTGGGGTCGGGAACCCCGCCCCGCGAGAGGGTGTCGTTCATGCGTTCCAGGTTCTGTGCCGTGAAGAATTTCTCCAGAGCTTTGTAGATCCGCCCGATCTCTTTCCGGGTCACCTTGGTGACGGCGAAGATCTCGGTGAACGTTCGGGGCACCTTGCATTGTCGGCAAGCGATGAAGATGCAGCCTGCGATGATCACATCCTGGGACTTGCCCTTGAATGCCTTGGCGTCATCCACGACCTTGAACAGGTACTTGGCGGTATCGGCGACATTCTTCTGGATGTTGAAGCCATCGCAAAGCGCGCCAATCTCCTTGTACGCGGCAAGCAGCTGCTTGTTGGCCTTTTCGCTGGACTGTTTGTTCTGCGCACGGTACAAGTCGCGGACTCGGCCTGAGCCACCGCTGGCGATCTGGGTCTCGAGCTGATCGCCGTTGAGGAGGGGGTTGGAGGCATCTCCAACACGGGAGGGATCGTCGTTGTTTTGATCGTCGTTCGAGAAGGTCCGCCATTCGGAGTGCATGTCGATTTCTCGGTCGGCCAGCACTAGACCGCACGAACCGCACACCGTTTCATGGGACCCGGGGAATTCCAAATTGGGCGGAACCTCCTTGCACTCGGGGCAGATGACATGGACCGACAGATTCTTCGTCCACGCATTCGGGTCATTCTTCGCAGCGGGAGAGATGGCAGCCATTCTCACGGTGGTTAGCTCGGGCTTAACAGGCGATATATATTGGCGATCACGAGAACGAGAGAGTTGACCCCAGAGAAACGATCGCGATGAACACTCGATAGCGATCGGACAGGCAGTTGTGGCGCAAATCGCCTAAATCACGACTCTGCGTCACTGCCATTTCCGAGTCATGTTAGCCTGGGCTTCCGCACGCAATATCAAGACGAGTCCACGCCGGGAAAACGCAACAGCCCAAGAAACACAGGTCTGACAGATAACCAGTCGTCAAGATCCAACAAGACCTTGGCCACTGCCCGTACTCTGCGACTCTCGAGGGAGAACCAGGATCTGTGGGCTGATGTTTTACCTTTTCCAGGCAGACAGACTGGCCCTCCAACAAAGAAACTCAACCACGGAATCACCCGTTTCGGTTTCTCAAAGTCCTCACAAATCTCCAAGCCAACGGTTGTCCGACCGCGATAAACCAGTCAAGGTCTCCGTGAGAGGCGGGGTTCTCACGGAAAAGGGGCGACAGAACCTGACAGGAAGCCGCTGCTGACGAGATCGGGGATAGATCGACCGGGAGCAACGTCGAGTGTCGAGTTCTCGGACAAGTAGGCCGCGCGAAACGAAGGACGGGGAGGGTGATCGGGAGATTGGGGGGGGGGAGGACAGGGGGCGAGGTGAGAGTGAACGAGGGAGCGACAGAGGTGATTCAACGACCAAGAAGAATCAGAGTCAAGTCAGGTGGCGCGGAGGGAGCGGCTTAGTCAGGGCACGAGAAAGAGCCGCGATGCATCATGTGATGCCATGTGACCTCAAAACGACGCTAGTGAAACCTCGAGACGGCCGAAATCCCAGATTCCCACCAAAACCAGGCCAATCAGCTTCCGAGGTGGGCGATCTCGAAAGTGATCATTTTTTGGTCATTGCACAAAGTATCTCAGAATTAAGATTTAAGACAAACATTAGAATCCCCTAAACTCGCTGATTACAATGGTCCCATTCTTCTTGTCTATCTCCCAAACGCCGTAGAGATATGAAATCATCCAATGTAAGGCAGGCGTTCGAGTCACGTGGCACCACCGCCGCTATACCGGCTGAGTCATGCGCCAAGCCGAAGGGACCCGAAAGTGCAAGTTCAACTTCCAACGCTTCTTTCCGACCAGACTGAAAGCGAACGCCCTTTCTCACTCTCCCTCCTCTACCCCAACTTTCCCCTCATCGACCACCCCGTCGCGATGATGTCCCAGTCTCTCAGAGCGTCGGTAAGTCCTGCCATTGGGGGTCCTGTGACTCTCCTGTTGCGACTACGTGGGTGCATGCTGACCTTCCCCTCCCCTTTCGTAGCGCTCGCTCCTCTCCCGCGTCTCTCGGCAGCAGGTTTCTTCTGCTGGCCGCCGCACTTTCCTGACCTCCGCCGTCCGTCAGGGTACGTCAACCGCTCTCTTTTCACCGAATTTCCTCCGCCCAGAGTGCCCCAGTAAATGGGGCCTCTATCCTGTTGAGGAGCATCGCAAATTCTAACATCTGATATAGCCGACCCCGTTCAGGAGCTGTACCTCCGTGAACTCCGTGCCTACAAGCCCACCCCCATCAAGGCCGGCGACGCCGACGCTCACGTCCAGAAGTTCCAACTGCCCGCCGCGCCCCAGTCTCCCGAGGAGGCCGACCTGGCCAACCAGCTCAAGTCCTACGAGACCCAGGAAGTCGAGGTCGAGGGCCAGGCTGCCGCTGGCGAGGCCGCCCCCGTCGAGGAGAGCTGGTTCGAGGAGGAGGAGGAGGCTCCCGCCGCCCACTAGGTTTGATGAACTTTCGCCCATGATCAATGTTCCGGTTTTAGGGAAAACCGTGGGGACGATTTTGGAGAACGTTATTGTTCTCAAGTCCTGAGAGGCATTTTGTAAATTAAACCTACTCGGAGCATATGAGTTTCTTCATCTTCAAGCAGTATCTGCCTTACGAATCCATATTCCTTCTGTTGCAAGATGAAAGTAGTGTAAGGAATTGATCCATATAGACGGATCCGTGTGGCCTGAGGCCGGCCGGACGGGAGTCACGGGAGTCATATACCCGACCGACATTTATCCAACAACGTCATAAAAGTAACAGTTCAGATACATGCACCACACAGTATAAATAGCCCGTCCTGCAAGGATGACCAACCGTACAACCTGGACGTTTCATCCGCAGCATGGTTAGGATTTTGGCGCACGGGACTCCCTGTGCTTGATTTGAGCCGTGTGAGATTGTCACGATCGAAACCCAAATAGTTCACACCATTTTGACCGGTAATTGATACGGGATTCTACACTACTTTGTCACAAAACTTTGTCCAGTCCACGCTGGGAGGAACGACTAAGACAAGGTTATGTGTTTTGATTAAATTGGCCATAAAATGCAAGGGTGTAGACCGTAGAGACCGATCAAGATATGACAGCTCCAGGACCAACATCCAGACCGCTAGAATATTGACTTTGTTGGATGAGATGGGAACATTTCTCGGGTCTTCTTTCCGTTTCTTCTGCTTGGAGGGCGAAGAGCCAAGGAAGAAAACCAACGCTGGTCTAAATCCGTGAGTGAAGTGGAATGTGGTTACGGAAAGAGATATGAATGTATGTATGTACGCCTGCGACATCCAGGCGACGAGAGTGAGAGTCAGAGTGGGGATTCTCCCTGCGACGCACCCTGCAGAGGCAGTCCATCTGGTAAGAAACTATTAGTATTAGTTATTAGGAGCGGAGGCCGAACATCTGTAGTCAATTACTATATGGTTGTCAAGGGTTCGTTGGTACGGACACCGAAGGGGATTGATTGATCTGTACTACATGCCGGAGACCGGGTGGAAGGAGGGAAGGGATTTGCCACCGCTGGGAAAGCTGGAAAGACAGCGTTCCTGGGGGTGTTTCCCGCCTCGGTGTGCTACTACTGTCTTTTGTACGACGAGGTGTGTAGTTCGATCATTGGGATACAGGAGGAGGGTTGTATCGGTTCGGATGGGGGGTCAAAGGCTGGCATAACCATATACATACAAACACACTTCGACTGATGCTCACCGACATGATGTGTCAGAAAGAGTCAAACCCATGCAATGTCCGAGACGAGTTTCCAGGATTCGTCCGGAAAGAGACGCCGTCCAGATGGGGGAAATATGTATGTAAGTCGGTGCTGGTCGTGGCGTCATCGTCGTCTTGATGATTCGAGGGATGAAGCGCCGTCTGCACACCGACCACACAAGGTCGCTTAGGGCTATGGACGGGATGTTCAGCCTCTTTTTTTGCTCTGTTGTTCTTTTAGATTAATCGGTGATGATGATGTTGGTTATCCCCTGTGGAACCAAGACCATTGGCTTCGTCAGACGAACAGAAAGTTAGGAAGACGGAGGCATTGCTCAGCCTAGTTAGTTCCTGCAAGCTTCGATATGCACTGCAGAGGCCTCCACTGCGGCCACTGGAAGAGACCGGGGACCTCGAACGTATCAATACGGGTGATTTGGACTGGCACGAGATATCCATATAGGTTTGTTGACTGGGATCTGAGAACCAAATCAGCCTTGTAATTCAATCCAGATCAAATAATCAATACGAGATGGAGGAATCCATGGTTCGGGCTGATCCGTATTAATATCTCCGTTATCAGTTTGGTTCTTGTGTACATAACGGTGTCTGGATTAATGCAACTCAAAGTCACACTTTCAGGCTTTCAGGCTTCTCTTGATTCTTTCTTTCTCTTTCTGAAACTCTTCTTCTTCTTCTCTTCTCTTCTCTTCTCCTCTCTTTCTCTTCTCTTGTCTCCTCCTCATCCTCGATCCTGTCTTCTGCTTCTCATTGACTACTTCGATTTTGTCAAGAATCATTCAGAGAAGAAGATACACCTACTCCTTTTGACTTCGGACCTCCACTTTATTTTACTAGTCGAGGTCCCTGATCGGTATTGGGAATTACCCACCTTTCTTTCTTTGCGGCTGCCTTTCCCTCTTGCTCCGTCCTTTTCTCCCCGCCTGCAACCTCTCCTTCCTCGATTACCTCGAGATTTCTTCTCTCAATACCGTCAGTGGTAGAGATTGCAGGATCATCCGTCCAAAGTGGTGGAATTAAGAGAGGTATGTGGATTTCCTTCAACTTCCAACCGACCGTCTCCAATACATCGGATTTCTTCCCGTCGGTCGATCTACCGCGCGCACCTTTCTTCATTCGTTGCTGCTGTACCCTGACCCGGTCGGTTGGCGTGGCTGCGCTGCATATCGCTGGGGTCCTCCCTCTAACGTTTCCTAGGGTGCTACACTCAACGCCAGCATACTTGGGGGTGAATTGGATTCACCTTTGCTTCCGTCTCGTCTTTGGAAGCGATTGGGCTGTACAACCTACCGGACACGCAGACACGACCGTCATAATACTGCAGGCTTGACCTGACTCCTTTCGAATCCGCCGTCCGCCGTCCGCCCTACCCCCTCCCCCTCTTCTCGCAACACTACCCCCCTCCTCCTCCCTCTCCTTCGTCGCTTTTTCTTCTCCCTCAATTTCCTGGTCTTTACAACCTCAAATGCGGTTCACGGCTTTTCTCTCGCACATGGTCTGACTGGATTGCCCGTGGATCCCTGGTGCGTGGAGGAGCTGGTCTCCCCAACGTCGACAACAAGTTATCCGGCTATCCCGTCCCGTTGGGGGGAGGAGATGTTCACCTCGACAAGGTGCCCCTTTCTCGTGGATCTCTAGTCCGCAATTGACTCCTTTTCGACTATGTCTGCTTCCGATATCGCCAGTAATCGAACGGCCGAAGAACATGCCTTCTTGTCGCGCGCCGCCAGCTACAACCACCTTCCCGATCTGATCCAGTCCGATACCCCTTCACCCACCCTGCGGAGGACCTTCTCGGACTTGGCCTCCCAGAGCCAGACTGAATCGCCCCCGACCCCCTCCAAAGAGGATGTCGCTGCTGGCAAGGATATCCTGCGCCGAACCTCCCTCCAGTCCAAGAACAAGTCCACCATTGCGGTCTCGCGATTTACCGTCTCCGCCGAGGATGTGGCCGATGCGCCGGCGAGCGCGGACCCTCCGGAACCCCCTCCCAAGGTCCCGGTGACGAGGGCTCCGGAACCCGTGGCTCGCCCGTCCAAGGCCCGCGCGATGTCGGGCCGCCTGGTCAGCTTTGCGCGGAAACCCTGGGCGTCCAATTCGGCCGATCGACCGCCATCCCCATCCGCCAAAAATTCCCGGCTACGACCGCTCCGGACGGAGGACTCCCCGCCCACCGCGCCCATGCCGCCGTCCCGGACGAGCCTCCAGCAAGATTCAGCCGCGGAGCAATCGGCGGGTAGCCCCGTCCGCAAGCGAACCATCTTGAGCAAACGACCGCGCCGGCCCGTCGTGGCCGTTGTCACGCAGAGCCGCGATGATAGCTCCAGCTCCCCCAGCAGTCCCTCCCAGCAGTCCCTCCGCGCTCATCCGTCGCTGGAAAAGCTCCCCTCGTCGCTCAATGTGTCGACACCGGTTCTCCCCCCGGTCCCCAAGGGCGCTACCACCGTTAGTGTGGATCCCCCGCGGAAGAAGGATGAGCTCTGGAACGCCTTTCGGGCCCTGGAGGCGGATTTTCAAAAGTGAGTACACCGTTGGAATCCCACGGGATTTTCCTACTGACGACCCACAGGTTCCAATCCAAATCCAGCGCCTTCAAAGCCAACGTCGTTCGCGCGTCACTGATCCCATTCTTGTCCCGTCATCAATCCCATCCGTCCTTGAAGGGCTTGCGACCCGAGGATCTGGATCGTCGCGTCAACATCTTGAACAAGTGGTGGATCGGTCTCTTGGAGATGCTCAACGGGAAGCACAATCAATCCATCTCCGGCACCGATCGGCCCACCTATTTCGACGCCGTGGTCGGGATCATGACGCGGCCGGAATGGCGGGTCCCCTTCCCCAGCCCGCCGTCGGCCGAGGCGTCCTCCTGGCCGTTGCAGCCGTCGGCCACCTCCGTCTCCGAGAGCTCCGCCTCCTCGGGCTCAGATTTTCTGGTGGAGTCCATCCACCACAACGTCCGGAATATCTTCACGCAGAACCTGTTGTCGCAGATGGCCTTCGTCGTAGACCGGATGTCCATGCGACACGCGCCGGCCAGCCTGGTGGCCTTTTGCGGGAAGGCGTGTGCGTATGCTTTCTTTTACTGCCCGGGCGTAGCCGACATCTTGGTTCGACTCTGGAACACATCCCCGAATACCTTCCGACAGGTCCTCGCCCAGTCCCGGGTGGACCGGCGTCTCGATGTGCGGACACTCACCCAGGATCTGGCGCTGGGCTTTCCCCCGGCCCTGCGGACGTTGTCCTGCCACACGCACACGGCCCTGGTGCGGTATCTCCGCCAAAAGCCCGATGTCCCACTGAACACGGCGCAGATCCCCTGGCAGAGTCCGTGGGTTTCGCGATGGTGTGGTCGGGATACGGATCTCTTCTTTGTCTTTGTCAAATACGTCCATATTCTCTACGCCGACACGTTCGCCCCGGATCTTGCGAAAGACCGACGGATCTTGGCGCCGGGGTTGCTGCCGATCCACGCCCAGGTCCTCGTTGTCCTGGAGGATACCCTGTACAAACAGTCGACCCCCCAGGCGCCCGACAACGCCCACACGGCGGCTGCGATCACCTTCGACGATTTCATCGAAGGGGCCGACGCGGCGGTATCGGCGCTCCCTCTGGGAGCCGCCAACAGTCACCGGTCCATGGCGGAAAACCGGCTCATCATCCTGCTCCGAGACTTCCTGTCCGAATCCTCGCAGGAGCCCAATCACGCTCGACTGTTCTTCGCCGAGTCGTTCTGCTCCGTCATGAAGTCGGCCGCGCAGAAGATTTCGCTCTTCGATCACAACGCGTGCTTCTTACTCTGCGACTTGGTCGAGGAGGTCATCCCCATCATCACCCGCTACTCCCAGTCGGTGGATCATGACCTGTTTGATTGGGATTTTTGGCTCGAGGCCAGTCGGTACATGATGCAGAGCCACAATTCGCTCACCGAGGTCCGGGTGTTTTCGTTTTTATTTGCTGTCTGGAGTACATGGACGGCCTGCGAAGAACGAAAAGCTCGATTGTGTCTGGGTGTCCTCCTGAATGAGTCGTTGTTTTTCCACTACTTCAGCCACTGGAGTCCCATGGTTCGCGCTTATTTCCAGCGTCTTTTGTGCTGGCGCCTAGGCCGGTTCAGCGGTGACCCGTCCCCTCTTGACTCGTATGTATCCCAGCTGCTGAATTCCTTCTCCCTGATACTGATCCCATCGCTTTACAGAACCATCTATGAGACACTCTCCCATCGGTTGCACCGTGTATGGAAGTACTATCTCGCCTTTCAGAATCAGGCGGAGGATCAGTTTTCGGCACCTTTGTCCTCCGCCCCTTGCACACCAGCCCCGGGACGTAGGATCATCATCATCCGGTGTGACAACCCCCTCTCGCCGGCCAATTTATTCGTGTCGTTCGATCGCGTCGTCCCTCCCGTCCCGGCCGACCCGGCAAGTTCCACTGGGGCCAGCTCTGATAAATCCGATCCCTCGACCGACGCCCCATCTTCTGGGAGGAAGAAGTGGGAGATGATTAAATCCATGTTCGGCGGGTCTAGTTCTCGATCCGGCGATAATTCCCCGACGAGCAGCTCCGACGAGTCCGAGACCACCGTTCCCGACACCACGGTGACCGCCGATAAATGCTTGGATGACCATGGGCGCGCGCCCAACTCGGGTGACTTGCCTCGGCCCCGAACGGCCCACCAGCCTTACTCATTCAAGTTTTCCCTCGAGTGGATGGACCGACCTCAATGGCCCAGCAAGAACAAGCGTCTTTTCACGCCGTGCCTTCCCGTAGGTGCGCAGCTGCACGTCCAGTATCGGCGATCTACATCCAAGGCAGACGGGGACGACATGGACACGGCGTCTGAAAGCACGACGACTACCGAGACCGACGATGAAGACGACGGTACAGAAGAGGGATATGACGAGCAAACGTCGGCAGATCCGTCCCGCGCGACCCGCGCGACGGCCCCCGGGGCGTTGGTCAGCGCCAAGAAGCAGGCTATCTTACAAGAAACCCAAATCATTCTGAAGGACACTATAGTGGCCAGCAAATATGCGGGTCGTGGACTCGCCGAATGGGCGCAGATCGTGTCCGAGTGCGACAGTTTCTTCGCTCGGAGACGTGACGAGGGAGTTCCTTGCGATCGATACGTCGAAACCCCAACGCTGGGCGTTGAGAGCTTCAGGAAGTAGTCAGGAAGTATGTCCAGAAGTAATGTCTATTGAGGAAACCGAGAGGCGTCTCTTTTTGCGGTCTTTTTATCGATCTGGAAACCACCCTTTACTAGGCCCGACAGATTATAGGGCCATGTATGACCACCCACCACCCATCCATGAAATCAGATCAGATCACCACATCGATCTAATAATGCACCTGCATTGTCTCATCCCGGAGAAAAGGTATCACATTTTCATATACCTCACCAATAGCCTACCACGAGGGCAAACAAATAACAGTTCATTCTAATATTGTTTATTTTTCTTTCCTTTCCTTCTTTCGTTCCTCCTTTCTTTCTTTTTTATTTTCTTTTTTATTCTTCCTTTGTGGCCCTTACACTCGCATTTAACTTGTATTTGTATATAAAAATTTTTGGGCTAATACATACCGGCGGCGCACAGAACAGACAAACACAAACGGGCCTGTCTTTCTTCTTTTTATCTATTTCTTCTTTCCTTCTTTCCTTCTACTGTCCGTTTCATATTTTGTCTAAAGGATTACGCTCATGCTCTATATACTCTCTATCCTTCACCCTTGTTTCTATTTCTTAAGAGGGTGTTCTTGGAGTTTTCTTTTCTTTGTTAGGACTTTTTTCTTCTTTAGTCTGATTTACCTGTCCGTCTGAACAATGCAGTTGCTGTTCGGGAGAGGGAGCTGAGGATTGTATGATAGTGGGTAAGATTTGACTATTCAAATTGTTACTTGGTTGATTGGTTGGTTGGTTGATGGATGCTACCTAGTCGAGTCGAGTAGGCCTAAAAAAAAAAAAGGCAATGAATGAAATGGACATTTTACTTCCTACCTTTCTACCTTCTTTCTACCTTAGTTTTTGTGTTGAACCTGAGTTATTGGCTCGAAAGTATATATACTCATTACAAACGAATCAATCAATACCTCAAGCAAGAAAATAAACAATATAGTGGATTTTTAAGATAACACGCTTGATTGTGACGAAAAGATAGTACATATTAAATCCCGTTTCGGGAGACCAGACCAGACCTAAGAAATTGTGTGTATATGTGATGTGTATGGATATGTACTTCGGTAGGTAGTAGGTAGAATGTAGATAGGAGATGGGAGGTAGGAGGTAGAAGGTAGGTAGAAGGTAGGAGTAGACAGGAGGAGATGCTAACGGGCCGCGAGGAACATGCACATGTATACAAACGAACAAGAATAAAAAGACGCTAATAGAGACAAGATCCTAGGTATGTATGATAACCTCGTATACCCAAGGATCAGAGTGGATAAGGATGAGAAGCCGTCTTTTGGTGGTGGGATGGGGCGGCGTTGTGATAGTTATCCTGGTGGTGGGTAGGAGGACGTATGATGGGATCAAACAGGAGCAGGAGGGTTACTTTTCCAATAACTTGTCGCTTGCAGTGCGGATGATGCCTGATACCCGATCTACCCACTCCTGGGTTAAGGTCCAGTTACCGGAGTCGATGCTGTCGCGGATGGCCGGGAAGGTGGAGGCGTCGTAGCCGGACCAGAGCTCGGGTCCGAAAACGACGTGTTTGAATTGAGTGCGGTTGGGGATCTATAATCAATTAGTACCTTCGTTACACATGAAATTTGTAGAGTGGAGGGGGGGTTGTCTAGGGACTAAAGGGAGGGGAAACGTACTCCACCGTCTATACGATCATCCAGCAAGTGAGTTTCAAAGCTGGCCATTCGGGAATTATACGCCAACCGCTGAATACCCATCATGTTGGTTTCCAGTCCGCCGGCGCCCCAGAAGGTATCGTGCCACAGCTTGCCCCATTTCTGAAACTGTGCGGCATCCGCGCTGAGCTTGGCCGCGGCGTCGCGCAGTGGTTTGAAGGAGACGGTGGTGTCTCGCGCAGCCTTGGGTTTCGAGGCGACGGGCACCTTCTTCGATGAGGCGTACTTTTCCAAATCACCCACGTACTCGCCCAGGCGTTTGGCGTATCCTTCCAGGTCAAAGGGCAGGAGGAATCCCTGCGCGAATTGGAGGAGAAGCAAACCCCAGAACTGGCCGAGAACCTTGTGGTACTGGAAGTCCGGGTCGCCGTACTGGGTCATCCAGTCCCAGTTCTCGTGGCAGCTGTGGTAGGGGAAAGGGTCGCCGACGAACCCAAAGTCCACGCTCGAGGTTCCCGCAATGTCCTGGAAGGCGACGTAGTCACTTCCAGAGCCCAACGGGCCAAACTTTTGCTTCTTCTTATCCCAGATTTCTTTCAGCGTCTCGTTTGTCTCCGGGTCTGCGACGCGTCCGAGTACCTGTTCGACTATGGCCTCGGCCGCCGGGCTTCCGCTCGCTTCGAAATTCTTGCCGCTGACGGCGCCGTCTACGTTGAGATAGACGTATCCGTTGTCACGGAGGCTCTGGATTTCTTTCTCCACGTGCTCGGTCGATCCGATGAGGTTGTATTCCTCTGCGTCCCAGCTGATGAATTCGATGGTGCGCTTCGGGCGCCAGCCGTAGGTGAGTAGCTCGCCGAAGACACGGACCAGCTCGAGGAAGACGGCGGTACCGCTTCCCGGGTCTGAACTCCCCAAGCACCATGAATCGCGATGGTTGCCGACGATGATCTTCTTCTCCGGTTGCTCGTATCCCATGATCGTTCCAATGACGTTATAAATGGGCTGTCTCTCCACCTCGTCCAGCAAGTTCACCAGGTTCACAACGGGGGACTTCTCATCCCCCGTCCACCAGTTTTTCACGTCGGGAACACCACCAACCCACTTCCGCGGGACCTTAGAGCCATGCCCCTTGAGGCCCTTCAGAAGTTTCTGCGCATTGAGCCAGGAAATGGGCATACTGGGGATACCCGGCAACCCCTTGCTCTCTTCGAGCGTGAGTCGCTTCTTCTCCTCTGGTGTCGAAGCGAAGCCCGGTGAGAGGACATCCCCTACCACCCACGACATCAAGCTCACCCCGCCTCGTTGGACGCCGTCGCTAGGCATGTAGCGTCCTTCGGGGAACACAGGGCCCCGGAGGAAACCGTCTTCGGCGGGATCGGAGTAGATGATACACCCCGCCGCCCCGGCCATCTCTGCCGCCTTGATTTTCAGGGCGCGATCAGACTCCGAGCCGTAGTAGCGGACCAACGCTATGGAGCCTTCTACCTTGACGCCTTTGTCCGCAAGGTATTTGAAGTCTTCGCGAGAGCCGTAGTTCGCGTAGACAAGGTGGCCCGTGACGTTTCCGGACTTCGAATGGCCGTGGAAAACTGGTGTTTCTGCTTCCTTCTCCTCCAAATCCGCCTCCCATCTCAAATCTGGCGGATCCACGATTGCCACTTTCCTCCCATCGTCCCTCGGGTAGTTCAAATATACCTGAAACTCCTCGATATCAATCTGATCGAAATTAGCGTTCTTGAACGCATGCTCCACCGACTTTGCCAGCACAAAGCTCCCTTCCGTCCCAGCAATGTGGGAGTAGCTCGTGATCCTCCGCAAATTCTCTGCAATATTGGTCTCGTTGATGTGGCCTTGCACAAAGTTCTCCACCGACGCCGCCGTGTAAGACTGCGGGCCCATGACCAGTTTTCCATTCAGGTTGAACAAGTCCGAAACGAAGAAGATATAGACCACCGAGACGACGAGGAACAGGCCGAACAGGCGCAGGAGGATCAAACACCCGTGCGCCCTCACCCCCGAACGGGCATCATCCAGGTTGATGGTGAATCGGAAACTGGGCATGAAACGACGGAGAGGTAGGTGCATCGACGAGAGGGTCCGCGTCAGGTTCGTGAATCGTTTCGAGAATTGCGAACGTAACCGGGAGCGTTGAGAGTGTTGCGTGCCGTCCTCGACGTCCATCTGGGCGAGTTCCCGCTGCAACTCTTCGAGCGATTCCCTCTCGGAGTGGGAACCGGACGAGTCCAGGTCGTCCAAACTGTTGCGGACCGACTCGACGGTCGGCGGGTGATAGCCATGGGGACGGGATGCGGAGGCCGGGGTTCCGTGATCGCGAAGCAGGCCTTGTCTCTCGGGTTCATCCCCCTGTTCGTCGGAGCGGGAGGAGCCCGGACGAGCGGCGACGGCCTCTTCGTAGGTCGGGATTGGAAGGGACTCATAATTAAATTTGTTGTCGTTTCCCATGATGGCGGTTATGGGAGGTCGCGAATATCGGACTAAGTGGGATCATGATCTGGACAGGAAAGGAGTGACCGATGGAGACATACTCCGTGTTTGCGAGAGGATATCAAAGAGCAAGGAGAAGAAAGAGGGAGAAAAATTACAAAAGACTGGAAGGGGAAGAAGTACAGAACAAAGAAAGGAATCGAAAAAAAGAAGGAATGATGAGATAGAGATGGGGATGAAGTCCAAAGGATGGAGGATCAAACGTTCCAGGCACGGAGAAAGGAGGAGTTGAAATCTAAGTCAAAGACAGATAGTGGAGGTGCCGCCTGAGGCCCTCATTTCCCCAGACCTCCGACGCCGAGGCGTGGCGCCAACCGTGTAAAATTAACCCGCCAGGCAGATGGATTTGGGAATAAGGACCACCAGTGACTGTCATAAATTGCTATGATTTATTCTTGATAATCAAGGTCTATAGTGAACAAATTTACAACTATAATTCAAAAGACCATAAACAGTAGTACGACTTGGGTGAGGATGGTGGCGTGGTGCAGTATTGTCATGACCATTACTAAACATAACAGTATAATAGATGTATGCATGGCACGTAATCGCCCACCATTGCCCGTGTCTTGTATATAACGTAATGTATATACGCATACATACATACGGATTAGCCACAGCAGGATCCTGGCTAATGAGGATGGAGGGCAGCAATCCGTCTACTATAACTGATCTAAGCATGGAAGAGGACAAGGGAATTGTTGTATGTTTTGTGGCCTCTCACCCGAATACTCACTCAGGAAGTAGTCTGATGCTGTAGGGTGATGCGGTAGGGTTGTGGAGTATAGGCCATCTGGCCACTGGTTGAAGCCGAAAAATATATATATCCACAACCGAATATTGAAATGAGCCTCCACGACACAGGTCAACTTGAAGTGGTGCATAGATTCTATAAAGACACCACTATCTGTGACAATACACATTACAACTTGCAGATAAAATGTGGAACCACTCGAGAATTCTTACTAGAGCTTACTGTGTCGTATGACTGGACTGGTGTCAAACAGCAGTGGCCGCCAAAAGCGCAGACATCTTCTATTATCCGACCCAGAGCCATTCACGAAAGATGATGGTAGCGACCCGGGCATTGAGAGGGGCCAGATCCATACCTAGGAAGTCGAACCCCACTCGGGTCCTTGTTTTCGAAACACTTGAGGGTTCGGCAACGTTGGGAAATTAAGGAACATACAGAACAAACTTGACCAGAGATCCACCAGATAAGATTGATTGTCCACGGAATTCGCTCACTGCTATATGCTTGCCAAGAAGAGATATATCTCTAGTTTGGAATCAGATAGGAAATAAAAGAACCCCCAATATAACAGCTGGTGTGATTTCCGACGGCGTTATAACAGAGACGAAGGATAAGTAGGTTAAAGATATGGAGGTGGAAAATGGGTAGGGGAAGCACCACCGTGCTTATTTACCCGGACCAACGCTGTCGGTTTCTAAAACTGACCAAAGAGGGCGAAATCGGTCTCTGAATCCTCTCTGACCGGACTAGAGTGATTCGAGTGACTTGATTGACCACATATCAGAATGACCCCGGGGCGAGAAACCGGGATGTAGTTGGAGGAAGGCGAAGCGAGGAGGCTACCAGTCAGACCTTTGGTATAATGGCCGAGAGTACATATGTACCCAAGACTAGTAGTTCGTGGTACGGAAGAATAGCGCAATAAGCTGGGTTAGTTTCGACCCGCTGTGACTAGAGTGCTAAGATATGACCGACACCGGGATGGACTCCGGAGTGAGGCTATGTATACCTCTTATCAATAAGGGATGCATGTCTCAACTGACCATCCACTAGAACCTAGTAGTTCATGTGCTTGTGTACTCCGTACTTGAGAGACTATCAATCGTCTTTCATGTCGAGTTAAGCATGATTAAGCGTGGATATGGTTCTAGTCATGTACTCTACAGAGGGAAGTCTTATAGATCCGCCCGGAACCGGTCGAAACGAGTGACACCGAAAAAAAGTCGGTGAGACGGGGAGAAAAAGAGGGGGGAAATGTTGAAGATCAGGCAGACGAATTGGACGATTCGAATCCAGTTTCTGCTGGGGCATTCCCCTGTCCAGAAGAGAAAATTATCTCATGGAAAGGAGATGGTAGTATGGTGAGTACCGTGTACATTATATCCTGGAGATATTTGGGATGCTGTATTGTGCTTGTTTTAGGTAATGGGCTTGTCGATCGGGGGTGCACTTTACTTGAGAATTACCAGAAATACCGTTCCACAGGTATTATGCTGTAGCTGAGGTAAGCCACCAGTCTAGCTTATTACAGTAATAACTAACACCTCAGGCATATATTTCCCGAGAAGAACCAATCAGAATGCTACACCAACCCAAACAAGTTAGCTTAAATACGGACATGCGGATCCAGACCCAGGGTCTCCCGTATTTCCATCTGTCTCCATCTCCATTTTAATTTTTTTTTCTTCGATTTTCTGAAGTTACCACTAGGGAAACTGATCAGTGGTCGAGGTTGGGTCTGGTTCTTATAGATACAACTCATCGTCCTCTCTTGCTCCCCTCCTTTCTCTCTCTCTTTTCTTTCTTTCTCTCCAGTCCTCCTACTCTTCATTCCCTCTTAACTTCTACCTCCTGCCTTGTCCTTTTTGTGTACCGGTGTTTTGCCTGTACAACTCTATTCCTTCACTCCTAATCTTATCGCCCCATCCCACTTCCCCCCCCTTCAGTCTCCCTCCCCCCCCATACACCGCCACCATGTCTGCCCGTCCTCAGAATATTGGTATCAAGGCCATTGAGGTCTACTTCCCTAGCCAGGTACGTCGTGTCATTCGTAACTTTTCCTTTTGGACATTCTTTGTCAAAAGACAGCTGGTTCTGTCTGTATTGATCATCGGGTACTAACCAGATGTATAGTGTGTTGACCAGGCCGAGCTCGAGAAGTTCGATGGCGTCAGCCAGGGCAAATATACCATTGGTCTCGGCCAGACCAAGATGAGCTTCTGTGATGACCGTGAGGGTAGGTCAAATCCTCTCTAGTTTCTCATACTACTGGAAGTAGTGCTAACTATCCCCGCTTGATAGATATCTACTCTATGGCTCTCACCACCCTGTCCTCCCTTCTGAAGAAGTACGAGATCGACACCAAGTCGATTGGCCGCCTCGAGGTCGGTACCGAGACTCTGCTGGACAAGTCCAAGTCCGTCAAGTCCGTCTTGATGCAGCTGTTCAAGGACAACACCAACGTCGAGGGTGTCGATACCGTCAACGCCTGCTACGGCGGTACCAATGCCGTCTTCAACAGCATCAACTGGGTCGAGTCCTCGGCCTGGGATGGCCGTGACGCCGTCGTCGTGTGCGGTGACATTGCCCTGTACGCCAAGGGCGCCGCTCGCCCCACCGGTGGTGCCGGCTGTGTGGCCATGGTCATCGGTCCCGATGCCCCCATTGTGTTTGAGCCCGGTCTCCGTGGCAGCTACATCACCCACGCCTATGACTTCTTCAAGCCCGACCTTTCCAGCGAGTACCCCGTCGTGGACGGTCACTTCTCCCTCCAGTGCTACACTGAAGCTGTCGATGCTTGCTACAAGGCCTACGCTGCCCGTGAGCAGACCCTGAAGGGTCAGAATGGCATCAACGGTGCCAAGGACGACGAGTCCATGACCGCCCTGGATCGCTTTGACCACATCCTGTTCCATGCCCCTACCTGCAAGCTGGTCCAGAAGTCCTACGGCCGCATGCTGTACAACGACTACCTGGCCAACCCGACCCACCCCGCATTCGCTGAGGTTGCCCCTGAGCTGCGGGAGGTGGGCTACAGCGCCTCCCTGACCGATAAGAACGTGGAGAAGACCTTCATGGCCCTGACCAAGAAGCGCTTCGCGGACCGTGTCCGCCCCAGTCTGGACGTTCCCACCCTGTGTGGTAACATGTACACGGCCACCGTCTACGCGGGTCTGGCGAGCTTGATCACCAATGTCAAGTTTGACCCGAGCGAGCAGAAGCGCGTCGCGCTCTTCTCCTACGGCAGTGGTCTCGCTGCTTCCATGTACAGCGCCAAGGTCGTCGGTGACATCTCTTACATGGCCGAGAAGCTCGACCTGCATAACCGTCTCAACGCCCGTAACGTCCTCGAGCCCCAGGCTTATGACGATGTAAGTCATTTCCCCTTTAGAGACCTATACTAGGGGAAATTGAAACTGACATTTACTTTCTCAGATGTGCCAACTCCGTGAGCATGCTCACCTCAAGAAGAACTTCCAGCCTGCCGGTAGCGTTGACACGCTGGTTCCGGGAACCTACTACCTGACCAACATTGATGACATGTTCCGTCGCCACTACGCCATCAAGGAATAGATCAATCCTCTGGACATGATCGACCATCTCCTTTTCCTCTTCTCTTCTCTTCTCTTCTCTTTTCTTATATTCCCTTTTTCCTCTTTCTAGACGGCTCACTAGATTCCCTACCCGTTACGACTCTTTTTTTTTTTTTTTTTTTTTCCGCTTACCCACATAGACCTCATTGCAAAATAGCATGTGTCTGGTTCTTTATGATTGTTTTGATGTGATACTGGTTTGCTGCCAGAGACGATTGCGATCTGTTCACGCGGAGCTGGAATGCATTCGGATTCATGAAATCTCAAGATATCTATTAATTTATTTAATCATTCAACGATTTGTTTATTTTCATCATATATATATTGATTTTCATACAAATACAAGTGTGCATTTGCTTCATACACTAGTGAAAAGTAGTAGTTACAGACATGCAATGACGGATCACGCGTAAACAAATTATGCAGTAACCGAACGATGGTTTACACCGACCTAATCAATGGCGGTGGAAAGTATATATTTCTTGTCACAAAATTGGTCCCTGAGCAGTTTAGAACAAAAGAATCAAAAGCAACAGCTTGACGGCTAACTTGGTCGCTAACTTAAGCAGTTCTCCGGGTGACACCATTCCCATCCATCGCCTCCGGTCACACTTCTAGGCTTTCGTCCCTCCCCTTGCCTGACTAAACCCTGAAGACTATACTAAAGATTTCAAGTTAAAACAATTTATCCACCTCCATATTTCAAAGATGAATTAAGGAAAAATAGAAATAAGGTCAACCTGGTGCAGAGTCGATGAGGGAAACCACTCAGCGAGCCGAACGCCCACTAGGAACTATGGGCCCGGCGCGTACTGCAACCCCACTCGCAGACAGTTGATTTATCGACCTCGTGCCTGATAAATGCCATAATTTTTCCTAAAATAGGTTTTGGTCCTGACGCTACCGCTCCAGATGCTGGGCGTTCCTGAACGGGCTGGCTGGTGTAGCCATCTTGATGCTGATCCACTGGTAACTAATATCAGAAGTTCAAAACCCTAAGCGCCTCGAGCTGTGATCATCCTCCCCCTCTTTGAAGAACCAGCATACCAGTCATTCAATGTCTGTTTGCCGCCCACAACTAAGCGCCAACCATCAGGAATGTTTCAATCTATTGTATGATCATGATTTGCCGCCATTCGGATTAATTTAGCTACCTATACCCCAGAATAGCACGAAACACCAATGTTGCCGTTTATAGATTCTCCCCCTGGGACGAGAACGTACCATCCTCAGAGGGGAATAGCGGATGATCAAGATCGGATCTGAAGATCTGAAGAAGATGCAAAATTTAGCAACATTTGACGCGCGACTACAACATGAAACACTCGTGCCTGGTTGAGATCCCCCGAACATGCGCGCCTTTTGCGTGTCCACCCTCCTAGGAGTTATCGGATGGCACCATGAGTTTGGATCTCCTGGCAAGCACAGAATATCCGACCCGACTAGCCGATTGGCGTCAAGATGGAGCTTCCTCCATGTTTCATGTTGACCTATTCTGGTCCTGTCCGTCGGCTACTGGGCCTGTTCCTGGATGCCGCAGGTCCCCTGCCCGAGGAGCATTTAATATCCAAACGTTTCCCCTCGAAACGAATATCAGACTCATCGTGGTTTCTTCCAGCCTGGAACGAGTGGACTGTGATACCCTTGTTTCGTCGTTGCATACGCGCTCGCTTTATGTCTTCTTTTCTTCATCTATCCTTCGTCTAGATCGATTGATTGGCAACGACCGTCCTTGGACTCGTCACGGGAAGCTGGTTTTCCTGATATCGCCTGGGTCACCTCATCCCTATCTTGCTTGACAGTGAACCAGTCTCGCCTTAATGTCTTTTGAATATTGCTATTACCGCCCTAGCACGCCTCCCCGCGTGCCACTGGGAGAGCTGCTTGGGACGGGGCACAGTCGACACGCCTCCGACTCATCGATATACTCCAACGACTCTTCCCCCTGGTCTGCGGTCACCGCGACGACGAGCCCCGGCGGCGAGTCTCCTCCTCGACACCACCACGGGCCCGCCCTCTTGCCCAAGATCCGCTCACAGGACGTGGTGATTGAGCCGGTGTCCGCTGGTGGACCGCAACGGCAACGCCTGGTGCTGTCGAACACCAGGAACCCGCCAGGATTCCTGCAGTACCCGCCGAGTCGTCCATCGAACCAGCATACCGGCATCGAGACCGGGGACTGCTTCCCGGACGGCGTGCCGCTGGTGTCTCCTGTATCCGTCCCGTCGCCCATGTACGGGCCCCAGAAGGGCTCGACACTGTCGTCCCCAGTGAGCATCACGTCGTCTCACAAGCGCAGGGCTACCTCCAGTGGGCATTCTCGTTCCCGCTCGAGCCCCAGCGTTGATGAGGAGACTCTCAAACGATACGGCTACCCGACGTATCGGCAGCTCCCCCACTACACGGACCAAGCGCAGAGCTCCCCTACCACTCCAGCCACCCCAGTGACTCCCAACATCGTGGTTTACCCACCCTACCAACAACCCTGCGGAGGGGAACTGCAAGCCCCAAGGGTTCGACCAAGACGCCATGTGCCGCTCGTCCTCCCAGGCTCCCCCTACAGCTACAACCACATCTCCAGCGCCCAATGCTCCCCTGTCGGCATCACCCAACCAGTCGAAGCAATAAGCCCGCACTCCACAACCCTCCTCTCCTACCTAACGGGCCCAACCCAAGCAATCAACCTCGTCCGCAACGTCAGCGTCGTCCCAACCCGCGGCATGCACGACTACTTCTGGTGGGACATCCGCAACCTGCGTAGCTGGACCTCCTTCTCGCTCTCCACATTCAACGAAATCAGCGGCCTCATGAAGCTCCTCACAACAACCATCCCCTCCCACCTGACCCCGCACATCCCCGTCCCCAGCACCCGCCTCTCACCAGACTCCGAACCCTCCCTCATAAACCTCATCCAAGACATCTACGCGCCCCGCGTAAACGCCGCCCTAGCAGTCTCCCAGGGCCCAGACCACCTCCGCCTCTACGCAGCCCCTATACCCCGCACAATGGCCAACAGAAACTACGGCGGCCCGCACTTCCTCGCTAATTACGCCTCGGACACCGAGCAGACGCTTGCGGGCCTCCCCCGCGGCCGTCTCGTCGGTATCGCCAAGAGCTTCGATCGCTGGAATACTGGCATGCGCAATGAGGGACCCCACCGCCGCGTCGAGTACCTCAAGGGCCTCGCCCACCTCCAGCGCTGCATGCGCGAGCACTCCTGCCGCTACGGCTTCATCATCACCGAGATCGAGCTCGTCTGCGTCCGCGCTGGCTGTGACGCCGGCGACGACGTGCCCTACTTCGGCTTCCTGGAGATCTCCGCCCCGATCCCCACCAACACTGCTGCAGCCACACATAACGCCGGCGCACCACCCAGAGGAAGCAGAGGCGGAAGTACACCTCCCCCGTACCACAGCTCACCAACCCCCTCAAGTGAGGACAGCTCCCTAGCCAGCCAATCGCCCCTCCTCGACAACTACCAAGATAACACATCAGGTCTCCCCGTCCCAATGACAGCCAGCTTCGCACTGTACTTCCTCCTAATGCTCTCCAAGTCGGTGCCGCTGCCGTCGCAGCCATCGTCGCATCTCAACGTCGGCGGGCCGGGCGCGCTCACCCGCCAGCGTATCCTCCCAGACGGGAAGGACAAGTGGATTCCGGAGCCGCAGATTGGGGAGCGTAGGGATGCGAAGCGCGTTCGCGGGTGGGTGTGGCCGCAGGATGCGTGGCATCGGCGGGAGGGGGGTGGTGTGCCGCGGTCGAGGGCGGGTGTGAGTGCGAATGCGAATGGGACGAATGCGGCGGGGACGCCGAGGGTGAAGAAGTGGCATAAGTAATGGCCTTCTTTTTGGGTGGGGAGGTTGGGTTTGAGTGTTAGCCTGTTTTTTTGTTGCTGAGTTTATTGGGTGGTAATGAATGTAATTCCAATGTGTCTTATTGTTGAAGATTCTCGTCACAGTATTGGTAGGGCTAGTTTTGTGGGTGAAGTTGAGATTAGGGGGTATTAAGAATGAGAATACACAATCGGAGCAGGAGCAGTGGAGCATACATTGAGTACAGTCAAACAAGATAAATTTAGAGTAGAGTACTTATCAACCATACCTAGTAACCCTGGAGTAGGGGCCGTTATAGTAGAAAAGCCACGCACTCCAATACAGGCCAGGTTCACAAGGTCGATAAACCACCTAATACTGATACTCATTAATCTTCGAGAAATAACTAAAGTGTGGATCCTGACTTACATTACTTTATAAAAAAGTAATGATCGCTGATAATCAAAGCGACTTCATTCCCCCAGGGTCCCCATGATGCAAACAATCCACCACATCCACTGACAAGACACTGACTTACCCGTTTAGAAAGAAAGACAAGGACCTTGGGACGAGTACCCTGGGGTTAACCATCACTCTATGAATGAGTATGACTGACAAGATGTCCCTCGACAGGCATATAAAGGGTCTATCCTCGATCTATCCCTCGCAAAACACACTCAATTCCACATAACATATACTAAACTCATATATCCCACAACAGCGCACCGCACTCATACACCACTACAAACCAGCGGCTGGTACAAATCATGGTAGACAAAAAACCTACCTCCCCTTCCTACCCCCCCATCGTCGATGTCCTCATCGTCGGCGCCGGCCCCTGCGGCCTAGCAGCAGCAGCCCGCCTACGCGAAGAAACCCCCTCGGCGATCTTCACCGACGACGAACACCAGCGCTACCACTGGATCAACAAGCACAGCGGGCGAATGCCACTCGTACAGGCTCACAACCGGCGCGTCAAGGGCGTGCGCGCCGAAAAGTGGAAGACGTACAACTCGCGTTCACGACAGAGGACATACTCAACAGCCTCATCGTCGTCCAACGAGTCCGAGGCGCCGTCGCTATCATCGTCCGTCGACTCCGCACCGGATACCGAAGAAGCAATAATGGGCGAGGGGTCACTTTCCACGATCGTGCTAGACGGCACGGGACAGCGGTGGATGGAGCGGTGGAATCGTGCGTTCAAGACGCTGGAGATTGAGCAGCTGCGCAGTCCGATGTTCTTTCATGTGGATCCGGGGGATCGCGATGGGTTGTTGGCTTATACGGGGGAGACGGGCCGGGAGGGGGATTTGTGGGAGATTACGGGGTGTGTGGGGAAGGAAATGAGCAAGCATAAGAAGAAGAAGAAGATGATGAGGTCGAGAGCGCAGTATGTTTTTCTATTTTCTTTTCTTTTCTTCTCTCCTTTTGTGGGATTGTTTATATGTTTGTGGATTGGTACTAATGTCCTGAAGAGCAGTGGGAGAAGTTGAGATCGACGAGCGAGACCGCAAAGATTACTTCTCCCCCTCGACTGGCCTCTTCGCTGACTACTGCGAGAGTATCATCTCGCGGTACGGACTCGACGCCCCCGGCACGATCCAGCAGCGCGAAGCCTGCGATATCAAATACGACTACCATGTGGATCTATCGCCCACGGAGAAGATCTTCACGGTGACGAATACGGACGGGACGCAGCTCTACAGTCGCACGATGGTGTTGGCTATTGGACCTGGTCACAGGAAGATCTTCCCGTTCCCACTTTCTGCGGAGGAAACGAATGGCGCGTGCCACAGTACGGAGATCCGCTCATTCCCGAGTCCCAACGTCAGGCAGAAGATTCAGCAGCGGCGGGAGACGAACGTCGTAGTCGTCGGAGGCGGGCTATCGTCAGCACAGCTAGTCGACATGGCTGTGCGAAAGGGAGTGACTAAAGTTTGGTTTATAATGCGGTCTGACCTTAAAGGTGAGTGAGCCGGCGAATTTCCCAAAGAGGCTGACGCCGTACTGCCACCGTCAGGATCAACCCGATCCACAGTCAGAACTAAGCTGACAAGACAACCCCCCCCCGCAGTTAAACATTTCGACATCGACCTAAGCTGGATGGGCAAATTCAAAAACTTCGAAAAAGCAGCCTTCTGGTCTGCCGACACCGACGAAGAACGCCTCAAGATGATCCAAGCCGCGCGCAACGGAGGCTCCGTCACGCCACGATACCAGAAGGTCTTGAGGCAGCACGCCGCGCGCCACCGGGTCTCGATGCACACTCGCACGGTCATCACAGGCCGGGAGTACAGCCCGGAGACGCAGACGTGGCGTCTCACCACGGAGCCGCCGATCGCCGACCTGCCGGCCATCGACTACATCTACTTTGCCACGGGGATGGGCCTGGACGTGCGGGAGCTGCCCCTGTTGCAGACTATGAGCCGCGATTACCCGATTGAGACGAAGGGGGGGCTGCCTTGTGTGACGGATGATTTGATGTGGGACCGTGAGGTCCCGCTCTTCGTGACGGGGAGGCTGGGGGCATTGCGTCTGGGGCCTGGAGCCGCGAACCTTGAGGGAGCGAGACTGGGTGCTGAGAGGATTGCTTGGGGTATGGATGAGGTGTTGGGACGGGGGGAGACTGAGGATACGACGGCGCAGCGGTCGAAGGAGTGCTTCTGCGGTTTGGGGAATCGATACGCGGGGCTAGCGGATGTGAGTTGGTGAGCCTCAGCCTCGACTGCCACTGTCCCGGACACGTGGGGCTATCTTTAGTCCTGGTCCGTGTATCTTGAGTCTAGTGGTTGCTATGGGTGGCTCTCTAGGAGGGATGATACTACACCGTGGACACTGTATATACATAGGCCCATAATACAGCACTGTACATATTATATCTGATCTGGTATCTATCGTCCAATATACCCGGGACTCGGTCGGTAATACCGATACCATGCTATAGCACACTAAAGCCTTGACTGCCCAAAAACGATGTTGCCTATCTGACAAAACATCACTATCAATCGCTGGAGCACATTTCTTCCTCTTCCTTCATCTTTCCATCTATCTAATCAAGCTACCTACCGACAGACTGGCTGTCATATTCCCTCGTGGCTACAGTCTACGACAGCCTACCAGCCTACCAGGGAACCGACGTCTAAGCCACACTTAGGGTTGCGCAACCACACCAGCCACACTGCGCCACATCCATACATCATTCTTCCCGATCGGCTGCCAATTCCCGTCACTCACAGTCGACATTCTTGTTTCTGATCCATCCTCAGCCACCATTCACAAGAGACAAGTCAATTAGCTTCTTGTGTCCACAATGTGGAAATGATCAATGTGACATTGCCACTTTAATGAACTGACATCGCCATGGCGTATCTTCCTGGTTCACGTGTCACCCAAGATGGCTGCGCATTCTAGATCTGGGAAACATACCCCGTGTGTACCTTGGTAGTATACCCAGGTTGAAACCAACTACCTTGACGTCAATGGAAGGGAATCCGCAAATCGCAGCGTCCAAGCCCAGGGGGGCCCAGGCCAAGTGATGTTGACAAAGCGGAGGGGAAGACTGACTGGCCACCCCCTGGGCGGCAAATTCGATCACAAAGTCCCGGTCCACACTAACGAGCTAACTTAATGCTATGATGCTATGCGCCCGCCCAGAGATCGTCTGGAATAGCTCCATTCGCGCGATTCGTCGCTTCTTGACGCCGAGTCTGGCCAGTCAGAAACGCAGAGAGCGACGGCGCCAGCGTCATCTCATCTATGCGATGCAAACGCTGGCGCTAAGCGGGGGGCTTTCCAAAGGAGTTGCCGCTGCCGCTGTGAAAGCAGGGCACCATGATTCTTTTTTTTTTCATGGAAGAAGGGGCAAGAGGCGCCTAGAACTACACAGACAATTGCTCATTGCTGGGTATGCAACTCTTAATCAATCACGTCTGGACTATTACCTGGGTTATTACCCCACTTGGGGATTAAAGTGGCCACTGTTTCCACTCACTACCCCCTTTTTACTGGAACCGCGGGAGATTGACCACGCAAGAGGGAGGCTGTGCAAAAAATAATAATGGGAAAAAAAAGAAAAGTAATGCAACGTGATATTCAATTAATGGAATTACACCCTTGGCGGGCTTAGGTCACTCGTCTTTTACTCCGGAGTCGCCAGCAGAGATTGATTCGAGAGACATATCGCGCCTTGTCTTTGATCTCTCCCATCGTGTGTCGTCAAAGTCAGCATCTGCTATAGAGTTGGCTTCATCATCACTTCACCCACTTCTGCCTGTTTAGACCGGGCTATGAGGAGGCGTTGAAAGGCAAGAAACGCTAGAATCAGAAAGGAACCGACACTTTATTGAATTTACTTTTTTCATTTTTCTCAAGTGTCCCGATCTGACTTGCGGCTATCAGCACTGCCTCGTTGAAGAAACCCCTCGTTAACCCGCTCATCTACGGAGTATATGTGAACGCCATTTCCAGTACCATACCCATATCTACATGCTCAATATCTTTGTGCTCATAACATCTGTCGGTCGCATTCATGCCGACTCCAAACGAGAGCCGTCGCGACCAGTTTCTGGACCCCTTTGCAGGGATTCCAGCTAGTCAGGTGCGTGAAGAAAGAATAACACTAAAAATAAAAATCAAAAAGCACCCCTAATCCTGCACATTCCACCCGTTCTGGCTGAGATGGATCCGTATGTTGATATCTCACAACAGCCGTCTCGGTCGCCCGCTTCAGGGCCTGCGGATACCATATCCACATCACCACCACCACCATCATCATCGTCATCCTCAGCGATGTCACCACCACCACCGCTAGATACTAACCTTCTTATGGTACAGAATGGGCCTCCTCGCACGTCTCACTCCATGGATGAGGAGACTCTACGCCCGAGGTCTGACTCGACTATCTCCAACGCCAACACCTATGTAAGATCGAGAACCAACTCCGAGGCCACCACCGCCGTCACCAAGTTCGCCAGTGCGGCACCCAGCGCATCGGACTATGACGATGTGCATGAGGCCGATGCCCTGAATCCGGACCCGCGGAATCAGCAGGATTTCGTGGTCCAGGACAACCGATTCGCCTTTTCGCCCGGCCAGCTCAACAAGATGCAGAACCCTAAGTCTCTAGCAGCCTTCCGCGCGCTTGGTGGTCTGAATGGTCTGCAACGGGGCCTGCGGACGGACTTGACGTCGGGATTATCAGTGGATGAGACCCATCTCGATGGGACGGTCGCCTTCGAGGACGCGACTTCAACCTCTTCCCCGGAGCACGCAAAGCAGCAACAGCACTCGCCGCCTCCCGACGTACCGGCCGCCGATGCCGCCACACAGTTCCACGATCGAATCCGCGTTTTTAGCCAGAACCGACTACCCGCTCGCAAATCGACCGGCTTCTTCAAGCTGCTGTGGATGGCTTACAACGATAAGATCATCATTCTCTTAACGATCGCCGCCGTCGTGTCCCTCTCACTTGGCGTCTACGAGACCGTGAGCGCCGGCCACGGCGTCGACTGGATCGAGGGCGTCGCCATCTGCGTGGCTATCATCATCGTGACTGTCGTGACCGCCGCCAACGACTGGCAGAAGGAACGCCAGTTTGCCAAATTAAACAAACGGGTAAACATCACTCTATCTCCCAGCCTGATAATTGCCCACTAACCCATCCTAGAACAACGACCGAGAAGTCAAAGCCATCCGCTCCGGCAAAGTCGCCATGATCTCCATCTACGACATTACCGTCGGAGACGTCCTCCACCTAGAGCCCGGCGACTCCATCCCAGCCGACGGCATCCTCGTCTCAGGGCACGGCGTCAAATGCGACGAGTCGTCCGCGACGGGCGAGTCGGACCAGATGAAGAAGACGAACGGCCACGACGTCTGGCGGCAGCTTTCCGACGGCTCCGCCAAGAAGAATCTCGATCCGTTTATGATTTCCGGGGCTAAAGTGCTCGAGGGTGTCGGCACTTATGTCGTGACTAGTGTTGGTCCGTATTCGACTTATGGCCGTATCTTGCTGTCGTTGCAGGAGGCGAATGATCCGACGCCTCTTCAGGTTAAGCTGGGGGGCTTGGCTAATTGGATTGGATGGTTGGGTTCTGGGTATGTATTCCTTTTTTTTTTTTTTCGTCTTTTATGTCATTCCTGCTAACGAGATCAGTGCCGCCATCCTCTTGTTCTTCATTTTGCTCTTCCGCTTCTGCGCTGAGCTTTCTAATAATCCGGCATCCCCCGCTGTTAAAGGAAAGCAGTTCGTAGATATTCTTATTGTTGCCGTCACGGTCATTGTTGTCGCCATTCCCGGTAAGTTAAATCTACACACTATGTCCGAGAAGAAAAATCTAACCTGCCATAGAGGGCCTTCCATTGGCTGTCACCCTGGCCCTTGCCTTTGCTACCACGCGCATGGTCAAAGAGAACAACCTTGTTCGTGTGCTCCGGGCCTGCGAGACAATGGGCAACGCAACAGTGATCTGCTCCGACAAGACGGGAACGTTGACCCAGAACAAAATGACGGTGGTGGCGGGGACTCTGGGTCCTCATCGATTCAACCAGATCCCACTGGAGGACTCCCCTGAAGCTTCGATGAGCGTGACTGAGATCTCCAAGCAATGCTCGCCACGCGTGCGCGATCTGATCATCAAAAGCATTGCACTGAACTCCACCGCGTTCGAAGGCGAGCAGGATGGCGCGAAGGAGTTCATCGGGAGCAAGACAGAAGTGGCCCTGCTGCAGTTGGCGCGAGACTATCTCGGCATGGATGTCACGACAGAGCGTGCGTCTGCGGATATCGTCCAGCTGATCCCCTTCGATTCGGCGCGCAAGTGCATGGGTGTGGTGTACCGCGACCCGGTCGTCGGCTACCGCCTGCTCGTCAAGGGCGCCGCCGAGATCATGGCTGGTGCATGCTCGACAAAGGTAGCTCATATGGACCAGGAAGGCATCGCTGTCGACCAAGTCTCGAGTGAGGACCGACGCGCGATGCTCGATCAGATCGAGTCGTACGCCGGACAGTCTCTGCGAACAATTGGCTTGGTGTATCGGGATTTCCCCAAGGTCTCGAGCTGGCCGCCTCAGGATATGCAGCGGATGGAAGACGACGCGTCCTCGGCTGATTTCACCGATCTCTTCCGCGAGATGACCTGGGTCGGCGTCGTCGGGATCCAGGATCCCCTGCGGCCTGAGGTGCCGGCGGCCATCAAGAGATGCCACGGAGCCGGGGTGCAGGTGAAGATGGTCACGGGCGACAATATCGCGACCGCCACTGCCATTGCTTCGTCGTGTGGCATCAAGACGGAGGACGGCGTCGTCATGGAGGGCCCCAAGTTCCGGCAGCTGACGGACGAGGAGATGGACCAGGTCATTCCGCGGCTTCAGGTGCTGGCTCGTTCGTCACCTGAGGACAAGCGTATACTGGTCGCGCGGCTGAAGCATCTGGGCGAGACCGTTGCCGTCACGGGCGACGGAACCAACGACGGCCCGGCGCTGAGAACCGCTGATGTGGGATTCTCCATGGGCATTGCTGGAACCGAGGTGGCCAAGGAAGCCAGCTCGATCATTCTGCTGGACGACAACTTCAAGTCGATCGTCACGGCCATCTCCTGGGGTCGCGCTGTCAACGACGCCGTGGCCAAGTTCCTCCAGTTCCAAATCACAGTCAACATCACCGCCGTGCTCCTGACCTTTGTTTCGTCACTGTACAGCAGCGACAACCAGAGTGTGCTCAACGCAGTGCAACTCCTCTGGGTCAACCTGATCATGGACACCTTCGCGGCTCTCGCCCTAGCAACAGACGCCCCAACCGAGCAAATCCTCGACCGCAAGCCCGTCCCCAAAAGCGCCTCACTCTTCACCGTGCCAATGTGGAAAATGATCCTAGGCCAAGCCGTGTACCAACTCGCCTTGACCTTCATGCTCTACTTCGCCGGCGAGCGCCTCCTCGCCCCCCTATTCTACGCCTCAAACGGCCAGTCCACCCCCAGCGCAAACGACATTCAAATACAGCTCGCAACAATCGTATTCAACTCCTTCGTCTGGATGCAGATCTTCAACGAGTTCAACAACCGCCGCCTGGACAACAAGTTCAACATCTTCGAGGGCATGTTCCGCAACTACTGGTTCTTGGGAATCAACTGCGTTATGATCGGCGGCCAAGTCCTGATCATCTTCGTCGGCAGCACCGCCTTCGGCATCACCCCGCTCAGCGGCGCCCAGTGGGGCGTTTGCCTCGTCTGCGCCGTCGGTTGTCTCCCCTGGGCGATCGTCCTGCGCATCATCCCAGATGGACCCTGCGGCGTCGCGCTGGACTACTTCGTCCGCGGCATGCGGATCTTCATGAAGCCTGTTAACAAGAGCGGTCGCTTCATCGCCGATACTACGAAGGCTACTTTCCGACCTATCAACCGCGCACTCCGTCGCAACAAGAAGGACGAATCTGCGACTCCCCAGGACGAGGAGCAAACCGTTGCTCTTTCTGACATCAAGCCGGCCCCGAGTCCGACCCCTGAGACAGCAACAGCCCCATCGGTCACTGTCCCACCGATCACTATTACGACCTCTTAACGATTTCTTTTTCTTTTTTTTTTGTCTTACATACGGTTTAGTCACTTTGCTCATGCGGGACGACTCAACGTCGGACCTGCTGCCTCGCGCTGTGCACTGTATTTTTAGAATAGACTCACGACGATTTCTGCATATGGGATTTGGGCGGTGGGTTGGCGGTTTCGGTAGGGTGGTTTTTTGATTATTTTTTCCTTGTTTCTGAGCGGATTTTGTATGATATGTTTAGCGATTTAGAACATAGTCTTCTTAATAACCTATTTATTTACATGATTTTCCCATACTTGTACCGTGACTCCATACCTAGTAGCCATATCCATAGTCAAATACATCCGGAGAATCAGTCTTGGCATAGTGAGAGGAGGGAAGACACCTCAGGCACAACTATCCCCGTGCTCCGCACCCGCACCGCCGCATCATCACCGCCCACCTCATCATCATTCCAGTCCAGCTCCATTCACCCCTCCCCTTATACACTCCACCGACTCCGCAAACACTAACTAGACTCTGTCTTTTTCTCTGCCTACCTTCAGTCAGTTTTTTTTGCAGGAAGCCAGGGACTATACGCTGCGTGTCACCGACACCACCGACTGGTACACTCGTCTCCCCGCTCAGGTCAGTAAAGCTGTCAGTGGCATGGCATGGCTTAGTTAGGAGAGTTATGCACTGATCTAACATTTCAGAAATAGTCAGTGTTTCTCAATACCCCATTAAAACTCCACACTTCCTCCGACGAGTCAACCAATCCATCAATCGAACAACCCAACCCAAACCAACCAACTCAACCCCCTAACACACCCCACCATCCCAACCAACAACCCAACCCAAACAAGTCAAAGAACAAACCAACCAAAATGGCCCAAATCAACTACCGCACAATCAACGTCGACGCCTTCGACCCCGACTCCTCCGTCAACTTCCCCATGGACAGCCTCCTGCCCGCGACGCTCCCCGCACCCAGCAACGCCAGCGAAGCCGCCAACGTCGCGACCCAAGTCCGCCAGGTCCTCCGCAGCGGCGATGCAGAGGGCGCCCTGCGCTACGTGCTGGACACGGCGCCGCTGGCAGGCGACGACCGCGCCAAGGAAGTCCACATGGCGACCGTCGTCGATGTCCTCCAGGGGATCCGGCAGGGGGAGATGACGCGCGTGCTGGACGCTGTGTGCACCGGTGAGGGAGGGTCGGAGAGGGCGGATTGCTTGATGAAGTATTTGTATGTCCCATACCCTTCCTTCTCCTACTTGGTTTGGTGTTTTGTGTTAGAGATGCCAGGTGGGGTGATGATGCTAATTGTTGTATAGGTACAAAGGAATGGGTGGCTCCCAGGCACCCGGCAGCGGAACGCAGACTCCCAAAACCCCCGGCTCGCCGCAAGTGTCGGGAGGGTTCTCGCAGATCCAGGCGCGCAATTTCGGCGAGGGCGGCAGTGCGCAGCAGATGAGCGTTTTGCTGAGTTGGCATGAGAAGCTGGTGGAGGTTGCTGGGATGGGGACTGTCATGCGGGTTATGACTGATCGGAGGACTGTTTAACTTTATTTCATTCTTCATTTCACCTCTTCATTTCATAAATCTGTAAGTAGTGAGTCGATGGTGGTATACATATTGTGATAGAAGGACGGCTAAGGTAGTTGTCTGCGAGTGAATGATATGATATCCTATCTCTACTTACTTACTATATGCTATATACTATACACCCTCTATCCATAGATTAATTATTCTGTTTAAAATCCCCACCACCCAACAAATCCTTCAAATTCAACTCCCCACTCCCCCTCTGCAACGGCTTCGCCTGCCCAGTCCCCTCCTTCCACCCAATCATGAAGATCAACCGAAACGTAGCCGGCAGACCCCTCGCCCCCTCCTCCATATGCAACTGTCTATAGATGGCCTCATTGGCAAGCAGCACATCCCGCGACAGGGGCCCAAACTCCCTATGCAAGATGGCGTTGTTCTCGCCCATGGCCTGCAAATCGCGCATCAGCGCAAACGTATCGGGATACTCGACGACAATGTCCTCCACGTCAACAGTCTGCATCTTGAAGCCCGCCTTGGTGAGCAGGCCGCCGACGTCGCGCACGTCAGCGAGGGGCGACACGTGCGGGCTGACGCCGCCGCGGCGTTCGAGGTCAGCGAGCTGCAGCGACGTGCGCAGCTCGAAGAGCGTGTCGCCGCCGAACATGGCGGCTATGAAGGGGGCGTCGGGCTTGAGAATGGAGTTGACTTGGGCGAGGAGGGACGGGAGGTCGTTGATCCAGTGGATGGAGAGGGAGGAGAGCACGGCGTCGAAGGTGGAGGGTTCGAAGGGGAGGGTTTCGAGGTCGGGGACGACTTGGCGGGTTAGGGAGAGCTCGCTGTTGAAGGGCTCGTCGGCGTCGCGGTTGAGGAGCGCTTCCGAGGTGTCGATGCAGGTTAGGTGCCGGATTTTGTTGGAGAGGGGGGGAGAGGTCGGGGTCGCGGGGTCCGGGTTGGGCATTGTGAGGGCTCGGGCGATGTTGCAGCTGTTGGCGCCGAGGTCGAGGACGCTGGGGAAGTCCCGTTTGATGTCCTATATTGATTGATTATTCCTTCTTGTTCTCTTCCATCTACTATAATGATAAGTGAGGAGGAACCCACCAGTAATCGCTCACACAACCGTATCGCTACCTCATCCTTGATGTAATCCACCTTGCGACTCTCCTCGACATTCCGCGCCGCGCGGTCCTTCTGCAAGTGCTTCGTCTTGCGATTGAAGACCTCAAAGACCGGACTGCCTGGTGTCTGACTGGCGAAGGTTCTGGCCGTCTGATATGCATGGCTTGTGGAGGTTGGTCGCGATGCGCGGAGGACCGCCGGGCGGAAGATCCGGAGGGAGAGGGACATGGTGATGTCCCGTCAACGCGCAGCGGTGATGACTCAGAAACAATAAACAAATTTTAGACGTGTACTCAATCGTCTAACTAGATGTATGCCATTGTCGTGGGGGGAGAAGAGATTGGTTGATTGCGGGGAGGAAGGCAAGAAAAAAGTGTGACGTCGATTGGAGGTCGAAGGCGGAAGGAATTGTCAGATTGGTTTTGTCCGCTCCGCTGGTGGCCTTGGCTTGCCTAGTATCATACTCTACATTTCTAGTTAGTTTCTTTGCTCATTGTCGCTGAGATCTGGTTAAGGAGGTCTAGGTATTCTGCAGCATCTTGCGAACATCCCCTGTCAAAGCATTGTCGACACGCGACAGTGGCCGTTGACGAGGGTATGGGTAAATATATATATTGAGTCTCCGCACTGCTAATATTATAGCCCCTACAGCTGCAAGTGACATCCGCCAAACTTTGACGAACTCAAATGTCAAAATCAGTCAAGTCATTTAATTGAATGGTCTATGTGAGTTAACTCGCGAATATTAGTAGATCCGACAAGTACTGTTCATACATTTGTTCCTCAAAACTGCGATTGGATGCTCAGTATCGTATCAGTCTACGGAGTACAAGAGTAGCCCACAACAGCTTCTCACGCATCACAGCTATTATTGGCTCAATGGATCATTCCAGTCCTTGCATTGACCAGACAATAGAACAGCCATCAATGGCCAGATAGTCATCCAGGAGACAATTCGCCCCATTCCACCGACCCATTTTCAGCGCTCGAACCCCCCAAGCATCTAGGGATGAGTTACTGCCAAACCTTGTCTATATCGAGGACCCAGGTGGACGGACGGACCCACGTCTCTCCTGTACAGAAGGTGAGGAGGCGTCTTTTGCCTCCGACGGCAGTCGGCCGATAGATAGAGAACAGACAGATCGAGACCAAACAATTGACAGTGAACAAAGTCCAGCAAGCAACATCGAAGAGATGGATAGATCAAGTGATCACCACTACTTTGCGGCTGTCTCAGTCGCGCGACATGGATGATGGAACCAGAGTCTGAACCAGAAACCTGGAAAAAAACCCGCCCTGGCCGATCGACGGGTTGCATCCGGGCGAATGGAGAGCCGCCGGGCTCCACTGCGGAAGGGATGCTGCAGCCTGCCGCGCGATACCTTTTGATTTCCCACGGAAGTGTCCGTGCAATGTACTTTTGCTCCAACTTTTGCATTTCCCTTCCTTCCTTGAACTGTATTTTCATCGAGAGGGGTGAAGACACGGAAGGGGCTGACTCCTCGCGTCAGGACGATATATTCAGCTCTTCGTGGAAGGACCTGCAGAACCTTAGGAGATGATCTCCCCGAAGGAGATAATGACTTGTCTATTGTATCTGTTTGCAATGAAAATCAAGTTGGACCGGAAGCAAGGGTAGCGCACCGATCGGATTCGACTTGTCGATGGTTGGACCCCGTCCTTTTCCCAGACACAACGTATCTGTATCACATTCGAGGATATTCAATTGGTCATGATTGATGGATCAAGCGTACCATGCTCTGATTCTATCAATCTCAGACCAGCAGGATGCCCTCGCCCCGACTCCATGGTCCACACCTGATCCAGTGTCTTTTCTTGACCTGTTTATCGGCGTCGTCGGCCACTCGGTGAGACGCATGGTTCCCCTGCAATGCTGCAGCTGCACGATTATCATCGCACGATCGGCGCTAACTTCAGGATTCCCGAAAAGCTGAAAGACAATCGCCCCCGATACGCCTCGCATTGATTGCGTCGTGAGGTCGTGAGGTAGATCAACTGTGTCGCCCAGAGTCTAGACACTGATTGATACTTTGATTGATGCTTGTTCCTGGATCTCTGGACCCACATCTCATCCAAGGGATCGTGCTGAAGAGCTGAAGCATTCCAATGACACTCATGTTGTCATCGTAATCAAACATGTTTAAGGTAGAGGTTGGATCTGTCTCCCTTGCCACCGGCCAGGGGATCCAGGTCAGTTACACGGTCCTCCGCAGCATGCCATGGCCGTCCTTGACGTAGGGGGAATGGACAATCTACGGGAGGAGTGATTCCTGGGCAAACCCCCCAAAGGATATTGAACGGAATATGGTCGCCGTCTCCTCCGTCTTCCGTCCTCCGTCCTCCGTACTGCGACGGAGTTCGAGTTGATAGATGTAATAGTGGGCTGACGGGCCGAGGTGGCTGACGAGACAAAGAAAAAGGAAGGAAGGGAGGATCGGGTTCCAGAACCGCGGGTGGATGCGTTAGTGGTTTTTTCCGGGGAACAGTATTTTACTGCACTATAGGGACTAACTTGGGTATCTGGTACTTACTCTCTAGCAGGCAATCTATGCATTACATGTACTCCATACTCCATAATGGACAATAAGGCGCTCGAGGAATGTCCCCTTTTGATCGACTGATTACTCCATTCCAAAGAGAACCACCGTGGCAAATCCATCCAAGACATCCCCAGGATTAAACATACATCATAATCATCATCATCATCGAACTAGGGATCCTCTGGTAACGGATCATCTCCCCATCTAGAACGCCATCCCGTGGCTTCAACGCTAAACAAGACCGGCCCCATTTCCGCGTCCCTAGTGGGCGTTCTTCGCATGTGAGCCTCCTCCTTTTCTTCCCTTTCTTTATTATTTCTTTTGTCTTTGTCTAGGAATTTCCGGCCCTTTTCTTCCCATTCCAGGTGGCCTGTTAGTTTCTACTTAGTTAGTTATGAGTCGACAGGGTCTTCCGACACCGGTGAATCATCGGAAGACGGTCTATCGTTTCCGTCCTTAATTCTGGAAGGATTGTCGCTCAATTCCTCCGGATCAGAAGCTGAACTGGTGAATCTCCGCTGGAACAGAACAGGAACAGGAACTGATGCCCGGAGATTGTGGTGGATCCTACTAGAATCTAGTACTCTGGATGTATGATGGAGTACGTGTCTAAGGATTATTGACTGGGATCCCAATCCCGGGAACCAGGATGGGACGGCATTGAAGGGAGAGCACGTGTACTTTTGATATTGATATTAATTAATTCCACCTCTCACGACCTGGATTCATCTCACGATTATTACTGTATGGACTAGGAGATTAAGTCCTGTCCAGAGTTGATTCTCCTACATACAATTGAAGAATGATTAAGATGATGGGTCAACCCATTAGATGCCTGGGAGTAGTGTACTTTGTATAACACAATGGATGCTATACCTGCCTATCTTTCAGTAAACATGTTCACCAAGTGGCGTAGAAGTCCTTAAAATGATGGCGTTGAGCATACATACATCATGCATTCCATTCCTATGTACATACCTAACAAAGCACCCAGGGATTCAAATTATAGACAAAACAATCAGCCCACTCCAATCAAACACCGGTTCATTTCCTACCTCCCATCCAATAATAAATGGCTACCTCCCGGCAGTACAACATAACCCGCTCTGGCTAGACAAAAAGCAAGTCAGAAACCAGGAAGGAAGTAAGTACCTAGTAAGGTGTCAGCCGCAGGGTCACACCCGCCTTGCATTGCATTGCATTGCATCTGCATCTGCAATTCCAGCCAGCTAGCCAACCAACCAGCCAACCAGCCCAGCCTGCGGTCGGATCCCCCCTAGGGCTTCTTAGGTTGTACGCCCTCTCCCCTCCTTCCGATCCATTGATCTCCTGTCGATTTGAGGAGGATCGCTGCAGAACCCGCGGAGCCGGGTACAGGCGAGCACCCTGCGTCCGATTCTTTTTTTATTTGCTTTTGGGGCTGATCTGAGCCCCTGCTCAGCGCTGGCTGCTTTTATTTGTTATTTTTTTCAATCTTAAACTTGTTTGTTTCACTGGTTGTCCATGCGCGAGATGTGGCTGATGCGGCGGCCCGACAGGATGGGAAGGCTGCGTTAGTTGCTAGGGTTGAGGCATGATGAGAATATGTGTATGGAGTTTGGTTGGTTGGTTGGTTGTTTTGAATTTTCTTTTGTATGAGGATCTGGTTGTGTGTGTCATGTTGGAGAGGGCAACCTGTCTGAGAGATTAGTTGGTATGAGAATATCAGACAGTTTGATATCATCCACTTGGTAGGTACCTGTCCAGATTTCTAAGGTAGATACCCTGTATATTCGAATCATAAACGGCAGCAGACAAATACCGATGTGACTGGTTCCGATCAGTGGCGGTGATGAATAAATGATTGCTAGATGAGGCGTAGTGATTGACTCCTCAAATGACAGGAACCGGCACAATGAGATAGACAGATCACCGGAAAAAACATACCAGTATCCATGGTTGCTGTAGTTGCTGGTTGAGACAGATCAACCGGCGACATCCTTCTATTCCCCGACGACCTTATTGAAACCCCCTGCTTGCATCCGCCGCACATTTTCAACATCCTGCACTAACTATGTGTCAATCAATCAATCAATCAATCAATCAACCAATACTCCAAACCCATAGTTCATCCACAGCAACGCTCCCCTGTCCAAGATTTCGGTGCGGACGCGGAACCGGAACCGGAAGCCTGTCGTTGAGGCGGTCTACAGGGATCATCCCCTAACGCCAACGGTCCCATCCCACTCCACTGTTCCCCAGCTTCTAGTGCGCTTCTAGCTTCTAGTCTGTTTGTCGGTGTCTACTTTCTTGCGGTGTACTACGTTCACCGTTTGGGTTGGATCGATTGATTAGGTTGGGACGGAATGAATGGGGGGGTGGGCGTCACCTGGTGTCGGTAGTCCTGGTGGAGTATTCTGTTTAGAGTGTAGGTGTAAGGCAGGCTTGTCATGTCATGTCGGTAGACGGTAGATAATCTGGTTTATTACATACTAGTGCTTTGTTTTGGGATTTAGTGATATTTCATATTTTTTATATTGTTTATTGATTGATTATATTATTTATGTATATTATCACATTTATTTCAGTATTCAATACTCCGTACATACGGGACCCCTTATTGAATATTGATTCGATAAAAATAACCGTATCGGCGAAGATCAATGGTACGATCCGCACCTGAACCACGGTTGACTCTCCCTCACCAGGTCGACGGGTCTTCTAGAAGAATTCTGGAATCATCACCCAGCTCCGCTCAGGTCTGGAACAGGGTTTAGATTCAGTTTCTCGCTTGCATTCATTCATTCATTCCCTCCTGAATATACGGGTACCTGCCAAAATCATGGGCTGATTCGGTGTTCAGTTTGTCCAAGTTCCGCCCTCCGTTGTCGTCGTCACAAAGAAAGGAAAAATCAGATACCAAGGTAGAGACAAAGGACGGCCAACTACCTTAGTACATAGATTGGTTGGCTAGTTTACCTATCATTTTTCGTTAACCAGGTGTCCATGTAAGATCGGACCATCTCCTCAAGTCGTTTCAACTTGATAGCTGGCTTACTAACCACCAGGCTCACTTGACCACACTTGATATATTGACAGACACGTAATACTACCTTACCTTACGAATGAATCAATCATGTCCATGTTAGTAATGTAAACAGGCGTAGTGTCTCCAGATGAAACGCACTATTCGCTACGTCCCCGAGCAAACCTTGTCCCCCAGCCCCAGTAGCGGCCTCCCTACCCGTCAGGGTGTAAACGTGGCGTCGGTCCGACATAACACATAACACAGCGAGTGACACTTGTCCAGACTCTCAGGCTCTCAACAAAGAAAAAGAAAAGTGTGGCTGGAGCAGACACCCCGGTCCGCCTTGCCGCGCTCTTCCGCCGCCCGTTTCATCCGGAACGGACAGAAGTCTCCGGACGGTCTATCCATACATAACCATACCCACTCGTCCTCAGTGGCGAGAGTTAGTCGTGAAGGTGGTGTCCACCTCAGGAGGACAAGAGAGATGGAACGGGTATGGTAAAATTACTGGTATCTATTTTAAAAATACTGGGTGCGAAAACGCAAACGCCGATGGATCATTCCTGTCTATCAGGTCGATCAAGACGTCATTCTAGAAGGTCCATCGAAGCCAATAGCTCCAATCCCACCGCCACGCCGGCCGTTAATCGTTGGAGAAGGAAGAGTCTAGAAAGCCGGTGGGCTCAGGAGTCCTTTAGAAGGAAGGGTTCGTCGGATCCACATGAGGTAGTTATGTTGATGGCGAGTAGAGAGAGATGCCTGGATGAAGAAGGAATAAAAATGGAATTCTGCCCAGCGGAGCAGGGAACGGGACCACAACACGCTAGAACAACTAGAAGCTCGCGAGAAGAATGCCGGTCGACTTAATACGTAACGGAGGCGGGTAGCAGTGGGTTTGGCCGGATCATTGATCGTTATTAGGGGGCCCCACTGCCCCCTAATCGCCAGCCCGATTTCCCCGGCGACCAGTTGGAAGTGCTTAACCGTAGGAAACCAAGCCAAGCGATCATCTTTGCTTATCTGTGGTCATCTGGTTCTGTCTGCTTCTTGTCTCTTCCATTTTGTCTTTGTCATTTGAAGTAACTAACTGACCTGAGTATTTTCCCAATCTCGATTTGATACGGCAGGTCGGGTGGACGTTGGGACAACGATATGAATCATTTAGCAGCCCGGGTGGGGCCCTCCCAGCCAGCAGAGTCGAATCAAGTCCAAGAAAACAGAGTCATTTGGGTCGCGATAGTCTCCCGAGACTAGGTTAGTACCTCCAGACTACCGCAGGTACCGGACGGGAAGCTTCTGGATTGGTTCCAATCCACACCCATCCTGTCTGGGTACCTTGTGGCTTTCCTGGGATGTTCTGGAGCTTCTCTCAGGCGGGAGGTGCTTGCGAAAGGACCGGAGCTGTTTACTATTGAACCTGCACCAGACAAACATGATCTACTGTACATCAGAAACAAACAAGAATGATTGTAGATTATTACTTATGTTTATTATTATTATCTAGAAAATAAAGAAATGATTCAGAAGAAGGGGAAAAAAAAAGCCCCCGAAGAACGGTCAGAGATCAGCAGCGGTTATTTATTGTTCTGTGTCGGGTAGGGAGTCCAAGGACCAGGGTACCTGTCCTTATCCATTAGCAATCGCCGCCGCGGAACGATATAACAGTGCCCCGGTGGTCCCGAACCTGTCAATCCATCAAATCAAAGATGGATTTTCAATACATCCACCGATTACGTCGCTGGGATAGAGAAAAAGATGAACTTCGTCCCAAGATCCGTCCCAAACGATCATACGGGATGGGGTTAAGGGGCAGTTGAACCGATGATTTAGGAGGGGAGCTTTTACGGGGATCCCTACTCCATAAAGGGGGCCGGCCATCTTTTCTGGGAATGGCCTGGTGAGTGAGTCGTGGACTCCCGAAAGGAAGACCACGCGAGTGAAATAATAGTAACAGTAATTAAAAAAGTAAGAAAAAAAAAACCCAGACCTGGTCAATCGGGAGTGAGCCTAGTTAACCAACCACCCCGGCAGATGGAGAGAGTGGAAGATGGATGGATAATGCAATGAAATAGATGGGTCCATTTTTCCATGTATTGGATTTCGGATCCATCCGTTGTTCCTGAGTCGCCCACCGGTTGGCTTTCCCCACTCCTCCCCCCCCATGCAACCACGCCGAAAGTTGGTTTCCTCTTAGCTTCAACTATATGCATTATTGTTCTGTACCTGCTTCTTTTTTTCTTTTTCTGTTTCTTAGTCTTTTTTTATTTTCTTTTTTACCTCCTGTGGGGTGGCTCAAATTATCTTCCCTACCTATCAAATTTTCCCATGAGACCGGCCAGTACTACTATTTTACAGTTATCCTTTTTGATAGGACGGCTCTCAACATTTATTATTTATTAACTATTTTATTACTTTATTTTTCTCTCGTCTACGGAGTGCTCGCACCAGTTCGCCCCAACCAAGGTACGTTTGTATGGATACCGATTGCCCTTGTCGGGTGCCGATCCAGATCACATGGGCGCTGAACTGGAGCTTTCTCTTATGATATGTGTTCCACCTATTAGGCCTACAAGGTCTCTAAGGCCTCTAACCCTGGACTGTAATCCTGATATTGACCACTCGTATCAATGACCAAGGGGAAGGGAAGAAAAAAAGTGATAGGGCCTAGTGAGACCAGTCTATAATCTAGTCTAAGACGACCAGGATAATGAACACCTAGGCCAACCGACCTCGGGAAAAGGAGATTGAAAGAACTGGTTTCATAGCCAGATACGCCGGGAAATAACACATTGTAATTGAATACCTGTTCAGCTACAGAGTACAGAATACCTATCAGGGCATTGGGGGAGTGGAATTTACCTCACATCATAGGTAGACTACAAATTCCACAGAAGATCAGGCTTGACATCATTTGTCTGACAATGGAGTGACATGGGCTGGACCATGATATGATCCAAAAAGTCCTCTCGGGGATCAAGCGTTGATACTCTAGGGTGGTTCCTATTGGAATGGTGACGATGACGGCGGTGATGGTGATTATTATTATTATTATTATTAGGCAGTCAGTACGGGTAACGTACGGCAATTCTGGGCGTCAAACGGCTGGAGTGGATAAGTGACTGGGGGCAAAGAAGCCTCCTAGAAAAGAATCGAAAAAAAGAAAGGGGTAGCAGTAGCAGGAGTGGGAATGGAGCATCCACACTACTGTATCTTACCTTCCCGTCGGGACAGAACTGAGCGACTGAGCCGCTCCAGAGTGCAGTAGTACGACGTCTAAAAACCGGAAGGTGGCTAGTAGTATGCAATGGAGTATAGTCAGAGATATCTTGTTTTGAATGTATCATTTTGCTTGGAACAAGACAAGACATGAAAATAAAAATCAGAAATAAAAATATCGATTGAAAAAAAAAAGAAGGAAATGAAAATGGAAAACAAACATTGTGATAAAATAAATGAAATGAAAATAAAATAAAATATAAACTAAAACAAATAGATAAAGCCAAATAGTTATTTTCTCCCTTCCGTTTTTATTTTTATTTTCTATTTACTATTCTATTTTATTTATTTTTAATTTCTACCCCTTCTATTTTATTTCTAAATTACGGATGAGAGGATTGCTCTGATGATCGTTGCTCTCATAGTCAAGCAGATTGGGAACGCTTATATCTACATGAATCCCCTACGATCAGAGGTCCTGAAATTCTTCAAATTATCCAGTTCATTCCTCACCTCACTCCTCGCCCTCCTTCCTCCTCTCCTTCCTCCCAACCTACTGAGTCCTGACGGTTGGATCTCTCGGCCCTTTCGACAACTTTCATTCTCCTCCCTCTCCAACAGTCTCCGTACTACCGTCCACTCTACCCGTGACGTTTACCTGCCACGCTCGCCCTGTTTGGCTCTCCCTTGCGATACATCCAGTTGGGCCTGTTTTCGCTGCCCCCGGAGCCTACTTCCGCTGTTCCTTTCCAGGATCACCCTCCTTACGGGCTGCATTAGTCTCGTCCGCATTGTCGGTCTTTGATTCTCGATCGGATTCTGATTGCGCGATTGATTCAAATATCACCTGTCGGGCCGTCCCTGCGGTTTCGCGCGCCGGATTGCTACCTACGAAGTGCCTAAACAGAAACGATCCGATCCCCCGCCAGTGCTTTTGACGGACGAAAAGACAAAAAGTAAAAAAAAAAAAAGAACATTCAAAACACAACAAGACTCTGCGCCCAACTAAAAAGCAAAAATAACCACAAGTGAGATCGAAAAGAGAGAACAAAAAAAAAGGAAAGGGAAAACCGATCTATCGATCCACTGTTTCCCGGGCGCCACTCTGTGACTCGTTGCTGCATTCCTACCTACAGATCGACTTGTTGCTGCTGCTCTTTCGCGGCACCGGGATTGCGCCCTTAATAACGATCGATTCCCGATCTTCATTGCAGCTGCATCTTAACCGTCTGCGTCAATACCGCCTGTCCTTGCCTGAGAAGCTTGGGTACCTTGCTACTCGCTACACTCGCTTTGTTATCAGACCGCACATTGGTTTTATAATCGGCCTTTTTTCGATTATTATTTTTATTTGAGCCTTTTTATTTTTATTTTCATTTATTTTCTGAGAGGCTGCTCCTTGTGTTTATTTAATACCTCAGTGAGTCCTCTCATACTCCCTTCCATCCTCCCCGCCATTCCATCGTCCACCTATCTTCGCACCGTGCCAATTCCCAGCAACGCTAAATTCTAACCATGGCTGTTTGTGCAGAATCCACCATGATTCTCCGAGATCTCTCTGCTTTCAACATGGGACGCGGTGCCTACGACACGACCGGTGTGAAGAAGCCTGGTGCACCACCACCGCCTCCCTCCAAATGAAATCTTCAATTGTTTCAGCCAACCACAGCGATTCTTCTATTGCGAGCGAACGTTTGATTGTGGTCTCTTGTTTATTGGCGCCATAACCCTTGAGGTTTACGTTCTTGTTACGAAGTCGACACTTTTTTCTTTTTGGTAAGTGTGTCCCTGTGGCAAAATTCGTTGGTTTCGCAGAACTAACGTGAATCTCAGTACCTGTAACACTACTTCCAACATCTTTTTTCACTTCGGTGGCCACTCGTGGTTTCGGTCCTATACTTTCTTAATACCGTTCGTCATCGGCATCCGGATGGCATTTCTTCTTCGACGCGCCATTCTTTTTCACCCGACTTATATCTTTAATCTCTCATCGACACGATTCGCCGGCAGATCTACGATCTGTTCACCCAAAAAGTGATTTCTTTCTTTTTATTTCATTGGACTTGCTATTTTGGATTTGAGTTATTCGGGCGTTTGGCATAGACGGCATGGTTTGATTTTGGGATACATGGGTTGATACCAAGACTAGAACTTAAGACCTCGCGGTCAGCAGTTATCGATTTTATTTTCACACTCGCTTTTTTAACCTGATTATTATTATTATTATTACCGTTATCAATCTTACTTGACTACAGACCTCTAGTTGTGTTGTTCCCTTGGTTTGTATGTTTGTCAGCGCGGGGATTTCGCAATGGCTTTTGTGCGTGTACATCACCTTGACAACGTGCGTTCCGAATGGAAGCAGGTGTGCCTTGCGTTCACTGCCCTAACCTTGCTGCACATTTATTCTACCATGGTTTTCTTATTTTTATTTATTTTTATATTTTGCTGGTTTCATATAATTTTGGGACGCCGTTAGAATTTTGGGTATGTTCCCCAAAGTCCAGACCCGCCAATCATGCTTGGGTAGAATGAGGGTCAGGTAGAACCCAGTGCCAACGAGTCATGGGCCCACGGTCCCCCTCCCCCATCCCGCCGTTTTACAGATGTGTCCCTGGAATCCATCAATGACGGGAGCACACAGGCGGAGTCGGACGTGATTTGCCAGCTTTAATTCCAAGACAACTAAAACATTATCTCGAAGTGGATCCGCCTTCCGGGGTTAGGATTCCAGGCGTTCGACGGGTAGACATGGGTGGTCTTGTGTTTGGGCAGCGATGAGACGACCTGCGCAAATCACGCTGTGCTACGTTGACAAGTGTAACCCGATTGCCAGAGAAAATCGATGGGTGACTATTATCACGATGTGTGGGCAGATGTCGGGGGGGCACGTCATGGCTCAACAGAGGAAGAAGTATACTGGTCTTGGCTTTTGCCGCGTGCCAGGACCGTGGAGGGGTGGTTTTTGTATGGGTCTTTGTCACCGGCCGAGTGTATGTCCTGTACCAATCATACACACCGTGATTTGGGCCATTGGGTCCTTGGTCACTCTATTTATTGTTGAGGATTTGGGTCTGCAGTTACTTATTCTTCCGATGGTACTTTTTTTCTTAATCATGGTTGATGACGACCTCTGGGCAGTTGTGAGTTGGAATGGCGGTATTCCCACTTGCCGCAGTAGCCAACATAAAAGGTGCTATAGATTTCGGTGGATTCTGAAGAATGGAAAGAGATACAATTTCAGAGACAGCGCCGTCACAATGCTCTACTTTTCTACCAGAACGACCATCAGCACGATCATCTCTGTCATGGCGTTGCTATTGTTTTGACTTTTGCGGTCCTCAACCCCTCGTTCCTCCAAGGCTCTGCTGAACCGTTGATGATATCAGGGCAGGACATCCCGTGACTGGGGCTGTTCGGGCTGGGCCACGCTAGTCGGCTTTAGGCTGCCTCAACTACCGTCACCACCGAGAGAGAGAGAGACTACCTTACGTACTACCGAACTACCTCCTCCTTCGACATCCCCCATTACTACCTCCGATTACTACCACTACCAACTATTACTGCTACTACCTAACGCCTCCAGACCGACATACAGAGTCCAGAGCCAATTTACTGGAATCGCTCCAACCATCTTGCTAAGACTCCGCCTCACTGGGTATCCATCCTCCACTTCCTTGCGACGGTGTACTTCCCCGTTCATACGTCCACCGCTATTTTCCATCTTACTGGTCTGTTGTCACCTCATTGATTTGTCTGCGCTCAAACCCCCCCCCCATCCCCCCCCCGCAACCCCTGTCCCTTGCCGTCTCGCTCGCTCCCTCGTGTTCTCGCTGACGTCGTCTGGTTCATCAGGCCCCCTCGAAAGCCCTACGACGGGGTCTACTTGCCGACCCGATCTGCCCCTCACGAGCTGAATACGCCCGCGCTGTTAGTCCCTGCAAAACGACCTAAGTTTGTCTCTGGCTAGTCCCTCGAGTTGGGCCCCCCCCGCCGTCATGTCTGAGTCAACTAGCGCAAATACGCCGAAGCCCAGCAGTAGTGTCAAACTGGTACTTTTGGGTGAGGCCGCCGTGGGAAAGGTATGTCTCTTCCATCTCTGCTCGGGTGGTACACGGGATGATCGGGGAGATATTGACACCGGCTGTGATTACCTAGTCGTCGCTCGTCCTACGATTCGTCAACAACGACTTCCAAGAGAATAAGGAGCCGACCATTGGAGGTAAGCCGGAGTCCACTTCCATATGGAGACCTTGTGATGAGGTGATAGTGTGTGACAGAGGACCGATCCGCTGACGTTTTCGCCTTGTAGCGGCCTTCCTCACTCAAAAATGTTCTCTCCCCACCCGCACGATTAAGTTCGAGATCTGGGATACCGCCGGTCAGGAGCGCTTCGCCTCGCTCGCCCCCATGTACTACCGTAACGCCCAGGCGGCCCTGGTGGTCTACGACGTGACCAAGCCGTCGTCGCTGACCAAGGCCAAGCACTGGGTCGCCGAGCTGCAGCGCCAAGCGAGTCCCGGGATCGTGATCGCCCTCGTGGGCAACAAGCTGGACTTGACCAACGACGGGAGCGAGACGCCCGGTGAGTCTGCGGCCACCGACGAGGGCGCGACCCCCACCGGAGAGGGAGAAGGTACCGATGGCGAGAACCAGGCGGACGACGAGGAGGAAGAGGAGCAGGAGGCTGCCCCGGGGGATGCCCGCAAGGTGTCGACTCAGGAGGCGGGTACCTACGCGGAGGAGGAGGGCCTGCTGTTCTTCGAGACCAGCGCCAAGACGGGAGTCAATGTCGTCGATGTCTTCACCGCCATCGCCAATGCCATCCCAGAGAGCAGCCTGAAGAGCGGCCGTGGGCCCGGTGCTGGAACGGGACAGACCACCCTTGGGGGTGCGCGGCCGGCGGAGGATTCGCGGGTCAACCTGGGCGAACGATCCGCGGCGACGGCGAAAGAAGGCTGTGCCTGTTGATCCTGGTGGGATAGTCTGGTTGTTTTGTAAAGTTTTTTCTTTTTTATTTTTTTTTGTTTTTTTTATATTCTCTCTCTTATGTTATTTGCTTGCTCCGTTCTGTTCTCTTTCGTTCATCGTGTCCCTGAACCCGGTTGATTACAGGGCATGGGGAATGATATCGTATAGTGTAAGTACTCGTTGCTGCTTTTTTTGAGGCGCGTGGCATGGGTCAAATTCTTTCGGCGTTGCCGTATTATTTATGATTTATATTTCTTCCAGATTTATTCATTTACACTGTCTTTAAGATATCGGATTATTTATTGAATAGTATAGTTTCGATCTCGACTCGATCTAGCATAGTCACATGATAGGAGTAAGCCTTGGGAACAGTCATGTTCACCCTGTGCGGATGTCTGGGGTTATGATCCACTGGATAGTTGGATTAGTAGCATACATTGAACGACTCGAGCATTGTACTTAAAAGGCGTCTATAACATCACTCGTAGGCCAAGTCAAGAGGTGAATGATTAGTCATAAGGGCAGCGGAGTCACGGGACCCAAGCGTCCCCTAGCCGGGCTTTACCCACGCTAACCCCGAAGTGGCATAGGCTAAGCGAGAGGCCGAGTCTCCGATCCCACACGGGCAGAACTGACTGATCGAATTACTGCTGGGCGGCCTGACCGACTAGGACGAGAATAATTAATCGAATCTTCACGACCGTCAACCACCAGGACAACCTCAACCCGCCTCCCCTCCCCCCACCAGCAGGACAGCCAGCTCCCCGTCGCTCGTCTGCAATAATGGCTGCCATCAACAAGATCGCCCTGAACTCGCCGTCGCGGCAGAACCCCTCCGAGCTGGAGACCGCGATCGCCGGCGCTCTCTATGACCTCGAGAACAACACAACCGATCTGAAGGCCACCCTCAGGCCTTTGCAGTTTGTGTCTGCCCGTGAGGTAGGTTATCCTTTATCTTTTCTTGGAGTTCCCGTGTGGTTGCTGTTGCTGTTGCTTTTTTGTCAATGCCATTGCTGTTGGACTGGATGTCGTCGCGGGTTAAACGTGGATTTTGGGGATCTGTTGAACTTGGTGGGATGGGATCAACATCTGGCTGTGTGTGCGGATACACAATGAGAGACAGTGTCGGGATACTGGAGGACGACCAGAACGACGTCGACATACGATGGATTATGGACATGGACTGGACAAGAAATTTTGATCTCGACAAAGACAGCAGCGGTGGCATTGGAGGGGCTCCCACACAGCACGGCTCTACTGCACAACTCTACTACCTATAACTATGCGCGATTCTAACACACTTTTCACAGGTTGAGGTTGGCCAGGGCAAGAAGGCCGTCATCGTCTTCGTCCCCGTCCCTCTGCTCCAGGCCTTCCACAAGATCCAGCAGCGGTACGCCTACGACTTCCCTTGATTGACAAAAAATGACGACAAAAACTAACAAACAATAGCCTGACCCGTGAGCTCGAGAAGAAGTTCTCCGACCGCCACGTCCTCTTCGTCGCTCAGCGCCGCATCCTGTCGCGCCCCAAGCGCTCCGTCAACTCGCGCACCAACCAGAAGCAGAAGCGCCCCCGCTCGCGCACTCTGACCGCCGTGCACGACAACATCCTGACCGACCTCGTCTACCCCGTCGAGATCGTCGGCAAGCGCGTCCGCACCAAGGAGGACGGCAGCAAGACCCTCAAGGTTATCCTGGACGAGAAGGAGCGCGGCGGCGTTGACCACCGCCTGGACGCCTACGGCGAGGTCTACCGCCGACTCACCGGCCGCAACGTTGTCTTCGAGTTCCCCCAGAGCAGCTCCGAGTACTAGATGGATCTTTTTTTTATTCTTCCTCTTTTTTCTTCTTGATTCTGTGTTCTGTGTGTGGGGAATTCCCGGGAGAAGTCAAAAAAATCCAAAACCAAAAATGGACCACTTTTTTTTATCATCATCTCTTGTCATAATCCAACAACCTGTTTCATGAAATCTTTTTTTCAAATGTCTTCTCTTCCCCCCCGGCTACGATCCTGTTGGCGGTTAGACAAGGAAGAGGAGAGAGAAAAAGTGGGACACTCACGGGAATTTTTGAGGGAAACAAGGCATATTCAAAAGGAAAAAAAGAAGAAAATCAAAATGGATCTAGTTGGACTTTCTTCCCTTATCTTTCGAGATCGATACAATCAAATGACAGATGGGGAGGGGTGGTTTGTAGTGCCCTGTTGATACCTTTTTTCTCTTCTCTTTTGTATATCTCGTTGCTACCTAGGTACTTACCTATCTACCCACCTACCCCCGCCGGACCAGTTGAGGGAGGACAGGACAGAGGTTACCCCAGATGAATGACAAGAAATGGACGTGATAACAACTCGGATCTTGACCTGGTCTGGGCTTCTTTCAGTCCTGTTGATCGCTTCTCCACTTGTCTCGTAGATATATCATCTATTTAAGGTAACGGGTCTGGTTATGGAGACTTATGGTCTTGTTTCATTATTGAATATTTCAATTAGGTACCTGATGGTATGTATATACTATCGATATTGATACCATCCACGTAGTCTTCTGTACCTGATGGAGATTGTTTACTGTCCGGAAATACAACCTAGATTTTGTCCCCGTATGTCTGGATACAGTTGTATGCCATTTCGAACTATGTCACGTCAGCACACACCACTCATATCCAAAGAGAAACAGATAAGAAGTGAAGAGGAGGAAAAAAAAGACTCACCTGCTCATCCGTCTGACAAACCAACACCTTCGGACCCTTCCCACCACTCCCTGAAACATCAATCACATTCCCATCTCCATCCCCATTCCCAAACCCCCGTTCATTAGCCGCCTCATCAACAGGCGCCACCCCCAAACACCGCACCTTGTCAACAATAGCCTTCCTCAACATAGCGCTCCGCTCGCCAATGCCACCCGCGAAGACAATCGCGTCGACGGCCCCGTCCAGCTTGACGAAGTAGTTGCCCACGAAGCCGACGATGCGGTCGACGAAGATGTCGAAGGCGAGTTTGTGGGCTGCGCTGGGGGGGTTGGGCACCGCGATTTGCGAGAAGTCGGTGGTGCCTGTTAGGGCTTTCCAGCCGGATTGTTTGTTGAGGATTTCTTCGGCCTTTTGGTTTATTAGCTTGTATATATATGTATCTATATACTGAGTAGCGTACCGTGCTGATGTGCATATTTCTTGTGCTTCCCGGGGTGCGTTTCCCTGCATCGCTGGTGTAGTGGAAGACCAGGCTAGGTAATAGGTTAGCTGTGTAGAACAACATTGGTAGGGGTGTAGATAAGGTAAGTATACATACGAAGGATCGATACTCCCACTCCTCGTCGCCCCGGGCAAGCCCGCCAAAGGCGTAAGACCCATCCTACACAACATCCATTAGTTCCCTCTCTATCCCACTCACTATTCCCTCCCCTTACATACAAATAACAAAGGGAGAACTCACGAAGTATCAACCGACTCCCCATCTTTGATAGCACAAATCGAAGCCCCACTCCCCGCATGCAACGCAATAACACTCGTCTTCTCCGGCGGCTTATTCAAGAACTCGGCCACAGCGCGGAGGATATACGAGTAGCTGATGCCGTGGAAGCCGTACTTCTGGAGACGCTTCTCGCGCGCGATGCGCTGGTCGATGGGGTACGTGCGGACGCACTCGGGCATCGTTTGGTGGAAGGCCGAGTCGAAGAAGGTGATGCTTTTCACGCTGGGCATTTCTTGTTTGCAGACGCGGATGATTTCGAGGGCGGAGAAGTTGTGTCTATTCACTTTTAGAAAAAGGTGCTTTTTCAATAGGATGAAGGGAAAGTGAGGGACTATGGATAATACGTACAGCGGGGCTAGATCCTCTAACTCCTCGAGGTGGTGGTACGTCTCGTCTGTGATGACCGTACTGGTTTTGTAGTTCCCGCCATGGACGACGCGGTGGCAGATATACGCTAGGTCGTCGCTGCTGGTGACCTCCAGCTCGGGGTCCGAGAAGCAGTGCTGGAGGAGGAATTTGAAGGCATCCTGCGGCGTGCTGATGGATTGATCGACCTTTTCTTTGCGCTCGGTCGTCCCGTGGATGTATTTCAGCTTGGGCGGCGGAGCTGTGATGCCGGAGACTTCTGCGTTGGCGATGGGCTTGGGGTTCTTTTCGAGGGTGTAGAAGGTTACTTTGACGGAGGAGGAGCCTGCGTTGACGGAGAGGATGGTTTTGTTGGGCATTTTGGTGATGGCGGTGTTTTTTGGGGAAGCTATTCTTACAGTGACGATGATAGATGATTAAATTAGGAATTATACATTTAATTTCTTAGCATATGGATCCTAGACTGAATATACCCAGTAGCTATGCAGGGTGTAGCTGTCTGCCGTTCCTGTTAACGTCATGATGTCAGACGGTCCATAGTGACGTATTGCAGACGTCTTGTCAGACCTACTGCTGCGACCGGATACTATTTGAATAGCCACTTGACTTCAGGCACGCGCCCAATCCATTATCTCATGTCGTTGACTTCTACTAGATCCAAAGATTTTCGAGTCATTTACGTGGTCCTTGAAAGCGGCAGTTTTTCCGTCTCGTAACCCTAATCGGACCCGATCCGGAAGTATCCAAATACCACCTCACCTCACCCCACCTCCCACTTGAGATTGAACCACATCTCTCGGACAAGTATAATATAGAATAGATCATCATGCCTGGAGAAGTCATTGACCGACCGAATCCTCGGCCATTGCCGTCGCACCTCCCCGATGCTGTGGAGCAGCTTGGGGTCAAACTACAACATGTTGCCCTGGACCAACATGCGTACGATGCGCTGTACAAGTTCCGCCGGGCGGCGGCCTACATTGCTGCTGGTGGGTTGAATCGCACCCTGGTGCGCGATAGACACTGACATTCTTAGCTATGATCTTTCTTCGAGACAATGTGCGATTAGATCGCGACTTGACACACGACGATATCAAACCACGGTTACTCGGTGAGATCCCTGTTGCAGACACAGTAGAGGCCATAGCTAACGGGACTAGGTCACTGGGGAACATGTCCCGGATTAATCTTGATATACTCGCACCTGAACTACTGTATTCGGAGACATCATTTGGACATGCTCTATGTGGTTGGACCGGGGCATGGAGCGCCGGCTATTCTAGCTTCCCTGTGGATTGAAGGGTCGTTGGAGAAGTTCTACCCCGAATATTCCAGGGACAACGAGGGCTTGAAACAGTTGATTTCGTCTTTCAGTACGACCGCCGGTCTCCCGAGGTTTGTCTGACTTGAAGCTGCCATTTTGCTAGACGCCGCTGACATGCTCTCCAGTCATATCAATGTTGAAACCCCAGGAGCAATCCACGAAGGGGGTGAATTGGGCTATGCCCTGGCCGTGTCCTTCGGTGCGGTCATGGATAATCCGAACCTGATCGTTACCTGTGTCGTTGGCGACGGCGAAGCAGAGACTGGTCCCACAGCGACGTGAGTTCTGGCAATGTCTCCTGCGAGACTGGCCCTGACTAAAGATGTTTAGATCATGGCACGCGATCAAATACCTCGACCCTGCTGAGTCCGGCGCGGTCCTGCCCATACTGCACGTCAACGGTTTCAAGATCAGCGAGCGCACCGTCTTCGGCTGCATGGATAACAAAGAGCTCATTGCCCTCTTTACCGGGTACGGGTATCAGGTTCGCATCGTCGAGGACATACGCGATATCGATACCGATCTGCATACCTCTTTGGTCTGGGCGATCAATGAGATCCATAGAATCCAATCGGCTGCACGATCTGGCGAGCCGATCATGAAGCCTAGATGGCCTATGATTGTCTTGCGCACGCCCAAGGTTTGTCAACAGTTGTTTGACGCGTTTTCTTGACTAACATGTATCAAGGGATGGTCAGGGCCGAAGGAGCTGCATGGAAAATTCATTGAAGGATCTTTCCATTCGCACCAAGTCCCTCTCCCCAAAGCCAAGTCTGACAAGGAAGAGCTCCATGCTCTGCAGAAGTGGCTATCGTCTTACAACCCCAAGGAGCTTTTTACCGAGAGCGGAGACATCACCGATGAGATCAAGTCCATAATCCCCACGACGGACTCCAAGAAACTTGGGCAGCGCCCCGAGGCGTACAAGATCTACCTCAAACCCGACCTCCCCGACTGGAAACAGTTCGCGGTGAAGAACTCGGGACAGGAAAGCTCGATGAAGGTCGCCGGGACGCTGATCGACCAAACCTTAGTTCAGAATCCGCACAACGTTCGGATGTTCTCGCCCGATGAGCTGGAGAGCAATAAGTTGGACGCCGCTCTCAACCACACGGGAAGAAATTTCCAGTGGGATCAGTTCTCCAACGCCAAGGGCGGGCGAGTTATCGAGGTCTTGAGCGAACACCTGTGTCAAGGTTTCATGCAGGGATACACCCTGACCGGCCGCACGGGCATCTTCCCCTCATACGAGAGTTTCTTGGGCATTGTGCACACGATGATGGTGCAGTACGCCAAGTTCGTGAAAATGGTAGGCATCCCACCCGCACTGAGAGGTCAACCCCGCTGACGATAGGCAGGCGCGAGAAACAACATGGCACCAAGGCGTCAGCAGCATCAACTACATCGAGACGAGCACCTGGACTCGACAGGAGCACAACGGGTTCTCGCACCAGAACCCGTCCTTCATCGGCGCCGTCCTGAACCTCAAACCCACCGCCGCCCGAGTCTACCTGCCCCCAGACGCCAACACATTCCTAACCACCCTCCACCACTGCCTGAAGTCAAAGAACTACGTCAACCTGATGGTGGGCTCCAAGCAGCCGACGCCGGTGTACCTGAGCGCTGAAGAAGCCGACAACCACTGCCGAGCGGGAGCCTCAATCTGGCGATTCTGCAGCACCGACGAAGGGCTCGACCCCGACGTAGTCCTGGTCGGCATCGGCACGGAGCTCACCTTCGAGGTGGTCGCCGCGGCGGCGCTCCTCCGCCAGCGGTGTCCCGAGCTCCGCGTGCGGGTCGTCAACGTGACGGACCTGATGATCTTGGAGAACGAAGGGCGGCATCCGCACGCGCTGGGCACCGAGGTTTTTGATAGCTTGTTCACGTCCGACAGGCCCATCCACTTCAACTACCATGGGTACACGACGGAGTTGCAAGGTTTGCTCTTCGGACGGCCCCGTCTGGAGCGTGTGAGTGTCAACGGGTACATGGAGGAGGGAACCACCACGACTCCGTTCGATATGATGCTTAACAATCGCGTGTCGCGGTATCATGTGGCGCTGGCGGCTCTCAGTGGGGCGGCCAAGCGCAACGAGAGGGTCCAGGCGCGGCAGCAAGAGCTGGCTGCTGAGTTCGATCAGACCATGGTCTTGACGCGGAAGTACATTCTTGCTCATGGGAAAGGTACCACGATATTTCCTCTTTAACTGTTCACAACATATGCTAACTGGAGACAGATCCCGATGATACCTACGACATGCCTTCGTTTGACTAGTGGATTAGCCCGGTAGAATTGACGGGAAATGGAGAAGTTGCTTCTTGTTTGCAGTACTATTGCTAGAGATCGAGAGCGACGGATCAAAACTAAGCTTCATGAGTGTCATAGTAGAGTTAAATATCCGTCCTATAGAAAACACCACTTCACTGGAGCAGTGGAAGCGTTGAACCCGTATGAAGATTGACAGTCGAGCGTAGACGGCGGTTGATAAATCACGTGATTGTTATCTTATCAGCCCCACTGATTACTCATTTAGTCAGGTGACCCCGATGAAGAAACTTGAAGTCTAGCCACCAGCAGCCATCGGAAATCCCAGACGACAGCATATTCCCAACCAGACGTCGCCATGCCCCAGAACGAGTATATTGAGAGGTGGCAGAAGCTTCACGGCAAGCGGTAAGCTCAACACCCTTTTTGCCCCCAAAATTCAAACGAAAGAGAAAAAAAAAAAAAGAAGAAAAAAAAAGAGGGAAAAGGAAAAAATTTCGGCGGAGATGCTAATTCCCCGCCCGTCCTTATCAGACTCGACCACGATGAACGGAGTCGCAAGAAGACCGCGCGTGAAGGCCACCAGCGCTCCAAGGATGCTCAGAACCTTCGCGGCCTGAGGGCCAAGCTGCTCCAGCAGCAGCGCCACAAGGAGAAGATCCAGATGCGGAAGCGCATCAAGGCCCAGGAAGAGAAGAACGTCAAGTCCAGCACGGAAGAACAGTCCAAGAACCCTGTGCCGGCTTACCTGCTCGACCGATCGAATGCCACGAACGCCAAGGCGCTGTCGTCTGCTATCAAGGACCGTCGCAATGAGAAGGCCGCTAAGTTCGCCGTGCCCGTGCCTAAGGTGCGCGGTATCTCTGAGGAGGAGATGTTCAAGGTTGTCCATACGGGCAAGAAGACCAAGAAGAAGGGGTGGAAGCGTGTTATCACCAAGCCGACGTTCGTCGGGCCTGACTTTACGAGAAAGCCCGTCAAGTACGAGCGATTCATTCGGTAAGACTCCCATCTTCATCTTCGATGGCACTAGACACGGATGGTGTTGCTAACGCTGCGATCCTTTCTAGTCCCATGGGTCTGCGTCAGAAGAAGGCCAATGTCACCCATCCCGAACTCGGTGTCACCGTGCAGCTGCCGATCCTCAGTGTGAAGAAGAACCCGCAGAACCCTCTCTACACGCAATTAGGAGTGTTGACCAAGGGTACCGTTCTCGAGGTCAACGTCAGTGAATTGGGTTTGGTCACCACAACAGGCAAGGTCGTCTGGGGTAAATGGGCACAGATTACGAGTAAGATTGACCCCCATCTAACGATATGACAACGAAGCTGACTCGTCTAGATAACCCCGAGAACGATGGGTGTGTCAATGCTGTTCTTCTTGTTTAATATATCAACTTCCATTGGGACGTGTTAAAAGGATTTTTGCGTTTTATTGATCAGTCTTTATGTTATTCCCTTTTTTTTTTTTTTTTTCCTTTTCTTAGCGGAGGATTGATTGGGGACTGAAACTCGTCGGTATCACATTGATGTTCAAGCACTTTTATGATGGGCTCGCCATGGGACTTTTCTTTATCTTTTCCCTTTTCCTTTTTCCGAATTTCACATAGACTAGCTATTTGACTAGCACAGGTATTATGAACACGGCGCTACAAATGAACTCCAACTACCGTCTAGATTACTGATGTAGTTACACCGAAGGGGACCGCTAACATTATCTCTCTCCTTTGGAACCTTGGCCCCTAGAGATTTGCGTAGACTACTGGCTTTCTGAGAAGAGAAGTAAGTAGGCACGGGTGCTCCCCATATAAATTTGTGTGTACTGCAGTGGTGCCTCCCATAGTTGGCGACCAGTCGGCGATCCCAGATCCGAGGTGCCAGCAGCATGTAGTAACAAATTTCCTCTGGACGGGATAATCCGGTAAGGGGTAAGGGCACGGAATCCGCAGAGGTAAAGCGGAACTGCAGGATACGGTTCTCCCCTTTCTCGTTCATTTGCTGCTGTAATCCAGCAGTTTTGTTGTTCTCTCTGCTTGGTTCACAGAACGAATAAACATCACATAATTATTTAGGATCCACTCTTGTGCTGCTGCAACTTCACCGGTCAAAACATAGGTAATAACTTCTATACACATCGAACCGTGTCTTATTGTGGGCATGCGCACTTGGTACAGTGGGTTTCCTACAGAAACCCGACTCTGTTTCAGGTTTCCATTGGCATACAAATCCGCTTGGTATCTCTTGTACTGTTCTTTGGTGCTTGGGAATTTGACTCAAAGACAGACCCAATAATCGCTTGGGCGAACATTGGCAGGAGGCCATTTCATTGACACATGGATACATGGACTTATTCCTCTTCTTCTAGAGAGGTGACGCACCAGGTGTAGTACCTAGTTCCTAACCCTGACTGCTCCTATTGGTCCGCTTCTGACAATATGACAGGCTCGGTAGTACAAGACAAGTCGATGGAAAAGAGGCCAAGGGGTGAACCTCCCAAGTAAGCAAATCAAAGGGTGTAAAAGCCCCTTCGGCATCCCGGTTGGCCGCCCTACGGGCCGCGACCTGCAGAATAGCCCCACCAGCGGGTTGTGGAAGAAAAGAAAATCGAGCAAGCTGTTTGGTTGGAGAATGGGAAAGAAGACAATTCAGTGAAAGGGAATGCGTGCATTAGTGATACCAAATATTTTGGTCCTGTCAATTACTATACCGCAGTGATAAAGGTTTTGGCCTTGCAGACGCATTATTTACTAGTGAGTTGATAGAGACTGATATGGAATTTTTCACTAATTCACTATATATGCAGGGTCACTTGAAGGAATACTGGTTATGCCCTTTTAATTGCCTTTGGATCTATTCATCAGATATTACTCCATCAACTGACAATATGTAGACTTCCAGGTTGGCTCAGCCTTGTTCAATCAGAGATTTTCACCCTAGTAGAATGTCTAGTCAACACGAAGAATAGTAGTAATGTTGACTCCATGTATGGGAGTGCTATTTGAAATTAGAAGAGTTCATACCAAGCTTTTATATGAGACGAGTGAGTCTTTGGATAAAGTCAATCAGACTATAAAGAGTAACCTTATCCTGGTTTATTCACTCTGTTTACATTTTTTTACCAAGCTTAATATAGTAAGTATCACTTGAACTTCTACTATGTCTTATGGAGATTGTCAAGTAGAATAGCTGGAACGTTTAACCTTTCGTGAAATATTTTTTTTAGATTATTACATGTTCTCCCAGTGTATGAGTATTCAACTTTTGTAGATACAGTTCAAGAGTTGCTTTTCAGAGTTGCTTTGTAGTAGGAGAGAGGTACTACGTTTATTACATATACCAGCCATGTGCGGGATATATTTCCCTCTGGAGTTTAGTCTGATTTGCGCTATTATATTTTACACTCTTTTCTAGGGTGTAGATAATCAATCAGTAATTAAATGTGAAAACTATCTACAATCTAAAGGATACTCAATTCAGCCCTGAGAGATGACTCGCTGCGGGCTAGAACTTCCATAAACGCAAGAATAATGAGGATTGTCCTGTTATATACGGGTTGAGTTCTATAGTACCAAAGTCTTCGAACCCACTCTGATAGGGACCCACTCTGTTCCCATGTGTATATCCTTCCGATGAATCTGAATCTTTAGTACTTTCTGTCTTCCTTCAAGCACAATGCTACTTCATATGACACACAATGACACAATGATGTCCGAACAAGCATAGGGCCGGACAGAAATTGAACCGACCTAGCGGCGGGAGTTGCAGAATAGTCCTGTATTATAGGAGGGGAAATGCTCCAAGCGTCCTAACTAGAGGGGAAACTCGGGAACGTCGGATCGGCCTGAACGTGCCCTAAACCCGAATAGGCGGACTTTGCGAGCAGGAACTGGTTCGTGATTTGCAAATGAGCTTCTCTACCTAGTAGTATGATTGCCGAGTATGTTAATTACCTATGGATAACCCGGCTTCAACCTCTGTGTCGGAGTTTCATGGCCCCTGATCGTTGTTCCACTGTAGGCTTGTGAGGGTGCACTGTCACACGTTGTGTATCATGCAGATTGCTCTCCTACATCACCTAGGACTTGCCTATGTACTTACCTAGGTAAACGACATCCTGCAGTAGTCGATCCGTTCAATCACTCTAGATTTGGAGGTTAGAGAACCAGTCATTGGATAAGACCCATAGTCCATTAGTGCCTTCTGCCAGATACTTACCTAGGTCCTACAAGACTGCCGTGGTGGAGATACTTCCCACGCCCCGCAACACGCAGTATGTAAATTAAGTCGACGTAGTAAAAAATGTTTTTAATTTTTGATCTTTCGCTTTTTCTCTCTTTTATTCCCTCCCCCTCATGTATAGAGCCGTTTTTCCGTTATGAGGATTGTTTGATCTCAGGAAGCCCACTGTCCCTTAATCCCTAGACTAGGGGAGTTCAGGTTTGATACATAGCTTTCTGTTCTCCTGCAGATATCCTTTTTCATCCTCAATTGTTTGGTTCACTGTTACTTAACACCATCATTCATTCATTGCACAAATCATACCATCCTACGTTGATGGACTAGACGGTTGGAATTCGAGAGTGGGCTTCCTTGTCTGCTTGTCTGCTCATATTGATAGTCTCTGATTCTCTCTTTGACTCCCTCCCCCTCTTCTTTCTCCTCCATTGAATAGATATTCTGCGTCTTTTAAAACCCAAAAATGTCCGACTTCAGAAAGCAGCTCCAAACAGGCTGCTACGCCCTCATCGAAGGCCATGGCACCGCATACGGCTACCAACCCTCGCTAGCAGCAGGCATCGTGTTCCTCGCGCTCTTCGGGCTCTCACTGCTTGCCCACACGGTGCAAATGACGTGGACGCGGACTTGGTGGTGTGCTGTTTTTTCTGTGGGGTGTCTTAGTATGTCCCTCTTCTGCCTTCCACTTCCAGGAGACACTTGCAGTCTGAAGAGATGAGCTGATATCTTCTCTGTTATACAGCGGAAATCCTCGGCTGGGTAGGACGCACCTGGTCAGCGCAATGTCCATACAACATGAACGCATTCCTCATGCAGATTTCCACTCTCATTATCGGTGAGTTTCCAAACTTCCAAGTCAACTGCTTCCCCAGATCGATTGGTGTGTGGGGCCGGGTCTCGGTTGCGACGCCATGTGATAGACATCACCCCCCCCCCCCCCCCCCCCCCCCAGCCCTATACTTCGCTCTAAGCAGACCTACCTACGTTACAATCATACTAACAGTAAAATAAAACAGCCCCCACATTCTTCACAGCCGGAATCTACATCCTCCTCGGCCAATTCATCCACCTCCTCGGCCGGCAATCCTCCATCCTCTCACCCAGCCTCTACCTCTGGATCTTCTGCACCTGCGACGTCATCTCGCTCATCGTCCAAGCAATCGGCGGCGGCATGGCCTCCGCCGAAACCGGCAAACCCAACGGCAACACCGACCCGGGCACACACATAATGGTCGCGGGGATCGTCTTCCAAATGTTCTCCATAACAGTTTTCGTCGCCTGCGCCGCCGATTTCGTCCGCCGCTGTCTGCGATACAGGCTGCTGAAGACTGTGTCAGGGAGTCTCGTGCCGCTGTTCGCGGCGATGATCTTTTCCGTGCTGTGCATCTACACGAGGAGTATATACCGCACGATTGAGCTGTCGGAGGGGTGGAGTGGGTATTTGATTACCAATGAGAGGTACTTTGTGGCGCTTGATGGGGCGATGATGGTTGCCGCTGTTGTGGTGTTCAATGTTTTTCATCCGGGGATGTTGATGCCGAGGGGGAAGGGGAGTGAGGGTGAGATGAGGAGTGGGGAATCGAGTTCTTGTGGGTTGAATGGGGTGGGGATGGATCAATATTGATAATTTTTTCTTGCTTCTGGTTTCTTGATTTCTTTCTCTCTTCTTTTTCTCTCGTTGCCTCTTTCTTGTCTTGCTTTCTTTGGCGCGTCTGGCGTTTACCAAATCTTAGATTACCCGCTTGTTTAGCTGGCATAGACTCTCCGGTGGTCTGCCTCTGTTTGTACGGTACTATTTGGTGGTCGTGTCAGTTCAGCGATGTATAATGATAATGACCGCGCAATCCATTCAACCATCAACCATTCCATTTTGTTGCCTATTATTATACATTTTGTGATGTTACACTAAGGGTCTGTGATAGTGACGAACAAGCTGAAGTGAAGAACAGAAAAGATGAAGATAAGAAAGCAAAAATGAGATAGAGAAAAGAAAAAAAGAACGCCAATCACAACCAGACGAGAATAAATTATACAAGTAAAGAAAGATACCCTTTTATGTTCAGCCCACTTCCCCAGTCCCCACTTCCCAGTCAATCAATTACACCCCATCAACAGCCTCAATCCACGCATAAGTCGCACCCACTGCCCCAGCAGCAGTAGCCCAGATAGCGCCCCAAGCAGCAGCGCCCTCGACATCAGCTCCCCGCACCGTGCCCGCGACCTGGACAACGGTGTTCAGCACCAGCATACCAGCGAGGGTCGCCGTGCGCGTAACGAGCACCCGCGTCTTTGGCGACAGCTGCCCACACAGCTTGTGGCACACCGTACAGGCGAGATACTCGCCTTCCTTCTTGTCCTTGCCCGCCTTGTCGTTAGTGTCGTCTTCGTCGTTGTCGCTGTCATCATCGTCCGTTGTAGAACCCGTGGAGCTCACGAAGAGAAAGTCTCGCGCGGCCCAGCCGGCGGGGAGCAGCGCCACGAAAAGTACAGGGAGACGCGCGGGCCCGGCGTGCACGACGGAGATGTCGGGGAGGTAGTCGAAGTGGACGACTAGATGGGCGGGGAGCCAGGTTGCGTAGCTGAGGGAGAGCGCGACGGTGAAGATGGAGGTTGCGGCGAGGGTGGTGTAGATTGTTGTAGCGCAGTCTTGGACGATGGCGCGGTTACTGGAGGTCCCGCCGGGGGATTCTTTCTCAGTGGATGATTTGCGGAGGAGGGTGAATGGCGCGGCGGTGGAGATGACTGTTATCGCGTAGGCGAGGAGCATGGTTGTTGGACGGATGTTGTAGAATGAGGCTAGGAGCGCGTAGGTCGGGAGATGCGCGAGGAAGGCGAGGGACCAGACATCTCGGCCTTGATTACTTGCGTTAGCTTAGAGCGAAACAATCCATTGTTTAGAGAAAGAGGAAGATCGCACCTTCGAACCCCAAAATCCACATCAATCCAACTTCAACGGCCCTCCACGCGACCAATCCCCCCACCTGCCACCAGCCCTCGAAGTGCTTGCTCACGCGGCCCAGTTCTCCGGTGATGTGCGACGAGAGTGTGAATAGCGCGGAGCTGAGATACAGACTGCTGAGAACGACGAGAGCATAGCGGACTGGTGGAGGGACTCTTTCCAGGTGAGTCTTCCTGACGAGCTTGCGCACCTCAGTTTGTGCGGCTTCCTTGCCGGTCTCGGCGGATTGGGTGACGGCTACGAATATATCCTCTTTTGGAGGTGCCATGATGGAGATTGGATTGGGAGTTGACCTCTTGTGCTCAATAAATTGAATTGAAGAATACAAAGAAGAGAGTCTGAAGCGATATTATATTGCGAGAGATGCAGATGATGTAGAGAGAAGAAGGGAGAGAGAAGTAAAGCAGGTTGGATGTCGTACGTGTGATGACGTGATGATGTCACCAAGCGCCATCGACTGAGTCTATCTTGTGCAGAAGCCACTCCGCGCCCCACTCCATTCAAGGCATACCGAGTGAATGGGATAGTTAGGATGTGTCCCGAGTGAACTTAATTGTAATGCTTAAAACGTGGGTTTATGGAAGCTTGATGCGGGTGTATGAATGAAACCCTAGCACATTGTCGCGTTCATATCTATAAGAGAAGGATCTACAAATGAACATCAAGAGATGGATATCCACAAATAATTATTTCTAAAGAAAAAGATCTATATGAAAAGACCTAACACAGAAACAGAACAGTGCTAATCGTACGGACAAGTTGGTTATTTCGTGCCCTTACTTCGTCATAGGTATTGGCTTCGATGACATATGTACGTCTGGGGCAGGCTGATGTCATAAGATCTCCATGTAGTGCCCATGCACGGGGTATAGCAACACCATGATGCGATAACTGATCGAACAACTAATGGAATTTCGAATTGAGATACTCGGATCTACTCGTCTGCAACAAATCTATTTGACAATGTCGTACAAATCGTACAAATGGTGAGCTATAAGACAAAGGGTATACACAAATCCGCCTAGGTACTGTACAAGAGCCCTCAGCCGAAGTAGCTACTAATCAAAATGGGTATGTATCAAGCCCCCGAACACTTGGACACCTCTACCGGAACTTTCACCTCGGTCTCGTCTCCATCATCCTCATCCTCTTTCCCCTCCACCACCGAAAATTCAGCCGAGCCGCTGCTGCGGCCCTTGTTGTCCAACAGGGCCAAATTGTATTTCCCACCATTCCACAGATCCTTGATCGTCAGCTCTCGAGTCCGGCCCAAGCTTTCGATATCGCCAATGCGCGTGAGTGTCCCCTCCAGGTGCTCGTCGAATCCGGGGCGCGAGCAGATCTCGCGGAAAGCATTCTGCATGGGGACTGAATCGGCGCGGACCATGGCCCGCGAATCTATCGTGAAGATGTTTTCGTGATCGTACATTTGAATGAAGTCGGCTCGTGTCATGATCTCGCGCGCCTCATGGAGAGGGATCTGCGGGAGGACATGGCCCTCCTTCGGGTCATAGTTTTTCATTTCTTTTTCCATTTCCTTTTCGCGATCGACAAGGGCCTTGGCTAGAACCATCGCAGCGGACTAGCGTCGGGTCTGATCAGTAAAGGCCGCGGCAATATGTGGAGAGACCGGGAGCTTACCGAGAATTTCTGCTCATCCATGACATCGTCATCCATCTCCTCACCCAGGATCCAGCACTTGTTAAGGAACCACGTCTTCTCCGCTTTGCAGATCTCCCTGCAGAGCTTCAAGGGGCTATCAGCCTTGGCGATCCGGTTCAAGAAAGACAGCCGTCCACCGATCTTATTGTATATCTCCTCAAGGACCTCCTGGGAGAGCTCCTCGCGGTAATACTGCTTCCGGTATTTCTTCAAGGCGTCCATGGCTGTTGTCTTGGGAAGGTCCGTCACGGGGATGACTTCCATGCGGGTCGCATACCGCTTCAGGCGCTCGTAGACCCAGTAATCGTCGCTATTCATGACTGGTCCAAAGTCAGCTACTTGCAACTCGCGGGTATCGTTGGCCGGATCCAACACCTACTCGTGGTGACCAGATTACTGGCGGCCCATTGTTCGGCCCGTTGCTGGATCATTTCCAGGAGATCCTGTCCATCATGGTCATCCCGGACCAAGTGGGTGCTGTTGATGATGAGGATCAGAGGAGGCTTGCCCTCACGTCTCCGCGTGAGAGCGACCTTCTCCAACTTGTTGAACGCTCGCTCGATATCCAAAAGGGCCGTGGTGTCGCGCGGACCCTTGATACTGAACAGGCTTCCGATGTAACTGAGAAGAAGGGTCAGTTCGACAGGCCGCACGCACGAACGAATGGGGGTTGACTCACTCTTCATGGAATTCGAAATCCAATGCCTTCCCTAATCTGATCCGGAAAATCTCTAGGTCCCCATGGGCGTCAAACATGGCGCAGCCCTCCCCATTAATCTTGCGCATGGCTTCGAGTAGCATGGAGGTCTTCCCCGTGCCCTTCTCGCCGATGAACAAAAAGTAGCGGCCAGTAACGTCGCCCGAAATGATTTTATCGACCTCGGGCTGTTGATCGCGGGCAATCCAATGCTCTTCGTGGTGATAATCATGCTTATCCGACCCCACCCCGGCTACTTCCAAGGCGGGATCGCCCGGTTTGAAGGCGTTCTCCATCTTGTCCAAGATGATATATTTATAGTACCGGTGGTATGAGTACCCCGCCAACCTGATCCCCAGTCAGTCACAGAACGCACCCTGTATAGAGTCATGAGCTTACCCCAGCACAGCAATAGAGGCAAACGTGGTCGCCGCTGCTTCGAACATCTTATACATGGTAGATTTGAACGAGTGATCCGAGTCGTTACCCCGTTTGTCGTCCTCCTCGAAATTCTGATCTAGAGGATCGGGGGCACCCACCGGGGGGCCTCCAGAAAACGGCCGTCCCGAATGGATTATGGCCGCTCGGGGGGTTCTGGGTGACCGGTATAAACCCAGCCGCATCTGGGACGCGACTGACATGGGACGCCGAACATGGAGATATAATCGCATTTTCCCTGGGAAATATGTGATTGGCCAGGAGAGATGGAGCCAAAGGCTCGGTATTTGCTTGGCCTACAGTTGGAGAAAAAAAACGGAAAGGAAACGAGAGAGGAAACCTGAAAAATCAGGAAAACAAAGAGGGCAGGAAGGATTAACGAAACAGGACAAAGCCAATCAGACGCGGAAAGTTTTGAAAGAGTGTGGTAAAGTTTCCCGAGTCGACCGTAAATTGGTTCAGGTGAGAGTGACGTAGTGGCTGAAATTGTAAGGGGAATTGAGCGAAGTGGGTGAACTCCAGGGGCTGTCGATCAACAACGGCAACTCGCGTTCAGAGAGTGAGGGGGAAAGATGAAACAAAAAACAAAAACAGATGGAAGTAGAAAACAAAGGAGTGACAAGAAGAAAGAACACCGCCAGCTGTCCAGAGGCAAAAGAAGGTGAAGAGACGTCAACAGTTGTTGTTGTGGTGGTTGTGGTTGGGGATAATTCTCCGGGTTTGCTGCGCCTCGGATCGCTAAACTGGGTTCAATGACTGGAGATCGGCGCGTCTTGGCGATTCCCGATGTTGCGAAATGTGGCTGAAGCTTCATTTGATTCATGTGCGCTGACTTTCTGTGCATTTCTATAATTATTCATCGACTCAACAGGGTCATACATAGAGTATCATTCAATTAAGTAGATTGTTCGAACTGGCCTCATCACAATCCCCATTGTATCGACTATAACTGTATGGGCCTATGGGGTGGGTCAATATCATACCGCACATCTCGATTTCTCGATCTATTTATATACCGCGCTTTTCGGATGAATTGTCAAGGAGAATCGAAGCTAAGAGTCATGTCCAGTTCTGCGGTTCTTCTGTGTTGGCATCCGACGTGTTTCCTGAGTCTCCCCATATATACATTCCGGAGGTACCTAGTCCTAGAAGTCCGTCGTTTGGTACGGACACGCGGAGAACCCAATAGGGTATGCCCCATGGATCGGACCGTCAACTTCTATTCAGTATACAGACGGGTGTCCTATCGACAAGATAGTATGACACACAGAGGTATCATGACGGAATAGATATAAATCAATTGAACAAATAAATACAAAGATCAAATCCTCTTGATTCTGTGGGGGACGAAGGATCAATCCACTTTCTCCATGGTGACGATGTGTGGACTGTGGGCCAAGACTGGTGTGGGTTAATTTTTTTTTGCTGGTTTTCTCCCACCGCCCGAGCACTTCCGAGGGTATTCCGCATCCGCCGCGAAATTTTCTGTCTTGCCCGGTTTCGCCGAAACGGACCTTTCTCCAGCTTCAACCTTTCTGCATCCATCTGATTCATTTCTTTTTCTCCTTCCCTTCATTCGGTTTGGGTACGGGGTTGTTTCATGACTTTCAATTGCCCTTTTGTATCATATCACCTTTGATTTTCTTCTCTTTTCTATCCTTTTTCTTTTTTTTTCTCTCTTCCTCACACCTACGGTTTCGTCCTTCCCGCTGGTCGAAGTCGGAAAGCTGTCGAATGACAGCTTAGGTTATAGATCTTATCTTTTCTATATAAATATCTTTGGTCCTTGTTGATCCACCCCATCGGTCAGAATGGCGCAGTCCAATGGCCAGAAGGAGGTCTCGAAAGGTACGCCAATCACCCACCAAACCAGAATGCGGAGGCCCAACACTAACTTGAATGGTAGAGTCTCCGGAGCAGCTCACCAATGGAAATCATGAGGCTGGTGCTCAGGAGGAGGAGATGAACGGTGGTATGTCTCTGCGCATGTCCGATGGGATTGTTGTTGTCTTCCGAATCTAACCGTCGATAGGCCTTTTCCAGGTCACCGTCAAGCTCCCTCACGAGCCCTACAAGATCCAGGTGATGGTAGGTTGTCAAACAAAAAGGTGTCACTTGGGGCACTAGGTTAATTGATCTCTCTTCAGGTTTCCAGCCAGGAACAGGTCCAGGATGTCCGGCAATCCATTGTCGAGCTTCCCAGCACCTTCCAGTACACCTGTTTCCACCTCGAGTTCAACGGTGAACGCATCAATGACTTTTTCGAATTGTCCGAGGTCCCCGACCTGAAGGCCGACTCCGAAATCGTTCTGGTCGAGGACGCCTACACCGAGAAGGAGGCCCGCATGCACGTCGTGCGCATGCGGGAACTGGTCGGTGCCGCCGGTGACCGTGTGGACAACCTGCAGGGTGTCGAGGCCGGGTTGTCGCTACATGACTCCATCGCCGCCGATGCCGCCTCCGAGAAACCGGATGCGCAGAAGGAGCACGCCCTCTCCAAGTACGAGATCGCCGGCACCTCGGCGCTCAAGACCATCCTGCCCCGGGCCGAAGCTCCCCTCCCCAAGACCATCAAGGGTATCTCGCTCTCGGCCTGGAACCCGGTCCCGTATCATCTGCGCCAGAAGGGCCACTTGCTCTACCTGCAGGTGACCACCAACGAGGGTGAGCAGTTCCAGATCACCGCCCACGTGTCTGGATTCTTCGTGAACAAGTGCTCGAACGCCAAGTTCGATCCGTTCCCCAAGGCCATCCCGAATAAGAAGGGCAGCGCCCACTCCCTGCTGACCTTGATCTCGCACCTGTCGCCGTCGTTCAACTCCGCCTTCGAGGCTCTCCAGGAGTACAACAACCAGAAGGATCTCCTGACCACCTTCCCCTTCCAAAACGCCATCCCCCACAGCCCCTGGGTCGTCCCCCCGCCGTCGACCAACATCAACGCCCACCAACCGGACATCACCCGCTCGCAAGAGAACTACCTCATCTCCGGTGTGGACAACGCCGAGACCCTGCGGGACTGGAACGAGGAGTTCCAGACCACCCGTGAGCTGCCCCGCGACACCGTGCAGGACCGCGTCTTCCGCGAGCGCCTCACGTCCAAGCTGTTTGCCGATTACAACGAGGCGGCGGCCCGGGGCGCCGTCCTGGTTGCCAAGGGTGAGGTCGCTCCTCTGAACCCCACCGAGGGTCGGGATGCCCAGATCTTCGTGTACAACAACATCTTCTACTCGTTCGGTGCCGACGGTGTCGGGACCTTCGCTTCCGAGGGTGGTGATGAGGCCGCCCGCGTGGCGGTGGGCAAGGACGTCCTGGGTATCAAGGCGGTCAACCAGCTCGACATTGACGGCCTCTTCACCCCCGGAACCGTCGTGGTCGATTATATGGGCAAGCGTATTGTCGGCCAGAGCATCGTTCCCGGTATCTTCAAGCAGCGCGAGCCCGGTGAGCACCAGATCGATTACGGTGGAGTTGAGGGCAAGGATGTCGTCGCGACCCACCCTGACTTCGTGCCCGTGTTCGAGAAGCTGTCCAAGGCGCTCCGCATCAAGAACCACCCCGTCTGGGACAAGGAGGGCCAGCGCCACGACTTGGAAGGCAGTGTCGAAACCAAGGGCCTCCTTGGCACCGACGGCCGGAAGTACGTGCTCGACCTCTACCGGGTGACTCCTCTGGATGTCGCCTGGCAGGAGGAGCAGGCCAACACCGACTATCCTCATCGGATGTCGGTCCTGCGGTTGGAGCTGATCGAGTCCTACTGGAGACATAACATGAGCCAGTACGTGAAGGGTGAGGTTGAGCGCCGCCGCGCCGCCAAGGCCGAGCAAGACGCTAAGAAGACCTCCGAATCCGAATCGAAGGAGCAGGGCTCCGAGGAGAAGAGCGAGGAGGAGCTGAACCAGGAGCGCGTTGATATCTCCGGCTTCTCCCTCACTCTGAACCCCGACGTCTGCAGCGGCCAGGTCCCCCAGACGGCCGAAGAGAAGGAGGCGTGGGCCAGCGACGAGAAGGAGGTCCGTCAGACCTGCGACTTCCTGCGGACCAAGGTCATGCCTGAGCTCGTCCAGGACCTGCACGATGGGGACGTCGGCTTCCCCATGGACGGCCGGTCTCTCAGCCAGCTTCTGCACAAGCGCGGTATCAACATCCGTTATCTGGGCAAGCTGGCCCAGATGTCCCAGGAGAAGGGCTCTCGCCTTGATGCTCTGTCCACTCTCTTGGTGCAGGAGATGATCGCGCGTGCGTTCAAGCACACCGCCAACAAGTACCTGCGCAACGTCGCTGCTCCCTTCACCGGATCCTGTCTCGCCCACCTGCTGAACTGCCTGCTGGGTGCGGATGTGAACCCGGCTCCCCGCGCCGAGGTTGACGACTCCCTGCGCGAGATCTACCCCGAGTCTGACTTCTCCTTCGAGAAGGTCAGCCCGCAGACCCTGCGTGAGGAGATCGAGAAGCAGGTCACCCTCCGATATGCCTTCACCCTGGAGGCGGGATGGTTCAACACCCTGCGCCATCTGCAGCTGCTCCGTGACATCTCCCTCAAGCTTGGTATCCAGCTCGGCGCCCGTGATTTCGCTTTCGCCAAGTCCCAGGTGCCCGCCAAGGCGCCCGCTGCCAATGGCAACGGGCCTGAGGAGGCCCCTAAGAAGAACAAGAAGAAGAAGGGCGGTGAGACGAAAGCCCCGGCCCGCGTTGTCGTGGAGGACAAGACCGCCGTGTCGATTGTCCCCGACGACATCATCAACGTTGTGCCTCTCGTGAGGGATGCCTCGCCTCGGAGCTCTCTGGCCGAGGAAGCCCTGGAGGCTGGTCGTATCTCGCTCATGCAGAACCAGAAGGAACTGGGCCAGGAGCTGATCCTGGAGTCTCTGTCCCTGCACGAACAGATCTACGGCATCCTGCACCCCGAGGTCGCCAAGCTCTACCACCAGCTGTCCATGCTCTACTACCAGACCGACGAGAAGGAGGCTGCCGTGGAGCTGGCCCGCAAGGCCGTCATCGTCACCGAGCGTACTCTTGGTGTGGACTCGGCCGACACCATCCTGAGCTACCTCAACCTCAGTCTGTTTGAGCACGCCTCGGGCAACACCAAGATCGCCCTGGCTTACATCAAGCACGCCATGGATCTGTGGAAGATCATCTACGGCGCCAACCATCCCGACTCGATCACGACCATGAACAACGCCGCTGTGATGCTGCAGCATCTGAAGCAGTACAAGGACTCTCGGAAGTGGTTCGAGGCGTCCCTGTCGGTGTGTGAGTCGCTCTTCGGCGAGCAGTCCATCAACACTGCCACGATCCTGTTCCAGCTGGCCCAGGCGCTGGCGCTCGACCAGGACTCGAAGGCCGCGGTCGGCAAGATGCGTGATGCCTACAACATCTTCCTCAGCCAGCTGGGCCCCGAGGACCGCAACACCAAGGAGGCCGAGACGTGGCTCGAGCAGCTCACGCAGAACGCGGTCTCCATCGCGAAGCACGCCAAGGATATCCAAGCCCGCCGACTGCGTCGGATCAACATGGGCAGCAGCATTCTCGGCAGCACCAAGGTCCAGCCCCAGGTCGGCCAGTCCGCACCTGAGGCGTCCGGCGCGGCTGGCACCGGCTTGGACGCTCGGAACATCGACGAGCTGCTCAAGTTCATCGAGGGTGGTGAAGCCAGCGCCTCTCGCCCCAAGAAGAAGCGCAGCGCCACCGCCAACCCCAAGCTCCGTGGCTCGAAGAAGACATCGTCTTAAAAGCGAAAAAAATAAAACAAAAAAAAAACCTTCCCCTCCGCTGATCCTTTTATAACGAAAACCCAAAATATATGCCTTCCCTTCTTTGCTTGATTTGTGTTAACAGCTTCGGTATATTGAAAACCCCTTAGGTTTAAGGGGACGACACGTTGGATGAGCGGGATCTTTCCTTGTTTTGGCCTTTGTTTTCTATTTATTCTTTTTTTGTTGCAGAAATCTCCCTACTCTTTGGTTGTTGTGGATTTTATTTGGCATGGATGAGATGATTGATTGTTCATCGCGGGCAGTTGTGCATAGCATGGTTGGACGATTTGCATGCTGGATGGTTCTGTATGTATACTATATTTATATATGACTGGCGACGCAATCATTAGCATAAGCCTGCACTTGATGTGGGTTTCATAACTTGTTCTTCTTGACTGTAGAAACTCGAAGCTCTTTGTATGGCAAGCACGTGACACCGTCTCTTTTGTTGTGCCTGCTTAGTGATCACGGCGCTTTTCCTCTCGGCCCCGGTCGCATGTTTACGTCGATCACAACAACAACGCCAGTGCTTTTGGAGACCGACCTGCATCTTATGGCTTGATATCGCCAGAGACAGCATACTTATTCGCTTTTGATAGAGTGCATATTAACAGCACAGTTTTTGGGTTTCACATTGGAGCTGGACCCTTTTTGTTTTGTTTTTTTCCTTTTCGGAGTGGATACCGACAATACAGTGATAGGATAGAATGGATTACCGATAAGCCAGACAAAGAATTGGGTACGGTTTCACTCACTCACTCCGGAAGAAAGAAAATCGTGTATATATAGGCGCAATGCTGACCCTTCCTTTCTGAATTCAGCAGAATAGTCCGCACAATTGGCGATTGGCGATTGGCGTAACATGGGCGACATCCGACCGACCGCGAAATGGGCAAATCGCATGTTACGCCCCTTGACATCCGTACACCATCGACTCGAGAAACACAACGAGATTATAGCCAGCATAGCGGATCTGCGAACGAGGGCAAAACACGAGAAAACCGAGAGCAAAAGCAAGGGCAGGGGTAAAAGCTGCGCGCGTTCGCCGCCGCCAACGTCGTTGAAAGCGCACGAGCCTGCCGAAAGCTGCTCCTTCTCCGACGACGAGGAGACCAACGATCCGGCTTGGGTTCCGGGGAAACAAGTGAAGCGGCGTCTGAAGCATAATTATTCGAGTCGGGGACAGAGGAATGGGGCGCGCAAGCGGAGTAGGCTGACGATTCGGAGCCCCGAGGTTCCGAAGACGTTGCCGGGAGCTATTGAGATTGCGACGCCGCTGATTACGGGGACTGCTGTGCAGGGGAGAGAGGAGTGGTCGTCTGTGAGGAAGCAGCTGTTTCGGAATGCGTTGGCTCCGGCGGGTGGTGGCGGTGGTAGGGGAGTCGGGACGACTGGTGAGCAGCGGAGGGCGCCGCGGGCCACTTCCAGCACTTGGTTCCCGGCGTATCAGGGATCATGGAAGCAGATTCTGGATTTATCTGGGGATGCGGGGCTCGTGGATATCGCGCACTTGCTGGACCGCATCTTTGTGAACTTTTTGAATAATACGCGGACTCCGAGCGGACAGCACGGTCGCGGGGCGCGATCATTACTGTCGATGACGGTGCGACGACTACCGGAGTTTATCGCCGAGGAGCAGAAGATACAGGATGAAGCGGAAGAGGAAGAGGGAGACGTGGACATGTGTGACGCATACTTCACCGAACTGGAAGCGCACTATGCACCCAGCGGGAACGGGTGGCAGCCGCTTCGCGAGGCTGTGCGGGCGCAGGGCATGCGCCTCGTCTCGGAGATGATGCAGAACGGTTGGATTGGCAAGGTGGCTACGTGCCGGCTTTTGGGAGAATGCATGGGCCACGATGAGCCCGACGCGTTTGAATTGCTTTTGTCCCGATATCTGACTACCGTTGGTTCGTACGACTATCCTACGTCGTTTGATCCGCCTGCGCCACCACGCAATTCTCAGGATCCGGTCCAGCTGCTGAGCGCTTATTACGCTCGATTTGTTACCAGACGGGGATTTGTCTTTGCGCAGTTGAGCAAGCTCCTTGCGCGTGGGGCTATCCCGCCCGAGTGGATGGTTACCAATTTGTGGAAACGATGCGTGGACGGCGCAGTCAAGTCGCTGTCCACGGACGGTAGCACGTCAGCTGCTGCTACGCGGCTGGTCGAAGCAGTGATCCTGTCATCGGGCAATATCTGCCTAGAAGCAAAGACGACGACATCGCAATTGAATGGCCTGAACACGCTGCGGCCAGGCCGTCCACGGGGCAGCACTCGCGCCACGACCAACGCACCGCACCTCCCCAAGGATCCATCGCCGTGTCCGATTCCCATCCAGGATGCGCTCAGCAACCTCACCTCTAGTATGGTCTCTGCTCTCTGCGGCATGTGCATCGCGCGGTCGCAGAGTCCCGGAACGGTTGAAAAGGCGACGGGCATCAAAGCCGGAAAGACGGTGCAGAGCCTGGCATTCCAGGTTCAACGCGCTGCCGGCATGGATACTCTTTCGCACGAGGCCGACGGACCCAGTTACCAGTCCCTACGGCGGGGATACGTCCTGGTCGGCCATTGCATGCTATTATGTGGCGAGGAATCACCAGCAACTACCCGCCCATTAGACCCCCTCGCACAGCGCAACATCGAAGCCTTCTTCCTATCATTAGCAGCGCAACCCGACATGATCAAAGAACTGTCAGAATTCACCCAGCAAGTCTTCCGCTACGGCGGCCAGATGCGCAAATGCGAGAAGTCTCCCACGCCGCTCGAAGTCCAAGTCCGCGTCTTGCAGCTCGCTTCACTATCAGACGCGCGCGGGATCTCCTCCCTCCTAGGCAAAGTCGCCGCCGAGACCGCCATGGAACTCGCCGAGATCACAGTCGACGCAGACGACCACGCCTGGGCACTCGAAGTCCAAGAGAAGGCGGCGGCCGCGTCGCTCACACGCGAGCAGAAAGCACAAGGACGGCAGTCCAGCCCCTCCGGAAGCCAATCCCACGGTCTGTACCGATGGGAAGAGAGTATCGGCGAGTGGATTGCGCGCACGCCAGCCCCGAAAGCAAGGGCCCTGCCGATGTTTCTACCGGTCGCGCCGACTGCACATACCACGGGGAGCCGGTCCAGACGCCCATCGACCGTCGCCTGCTCAACAAGCAGCAGTTTCTCATCCGGGACACCCGCCCGAGAAAGCGTATCCAGCGCGACCTCGTCCGCACCATCCGTATCCGTGCCGATGAAGCGCTTGATTCCTACACCCATGTCCAGCGATGGAGCCGACGATAGTGACAACGACGGCCCCGCCCCTCCGTTGCGCAAAAGGCTTCGGTCATCGTCCGTGAAACCGGCGCAAACTCGAAACAGAGACAGTGGATGGGTTTCTACGCCCCTTATTTTTCCGCGGTCTTCCTCCCCTGCCCAAACGAAGTCTGAAACAGCGCTATCCGCCCCGGTAGCCTCCCGCACTAGAACGGCGCGGCGGAACACCCCCGAGGTGAAACATTGGGGGCGTGGAAGGACTGACACGAGGTCGACTCCAAGGGTGGAAGTCGTTATTGTTAATCGGCTAGGCAGTGGTGTTTTGGGTTCGACGCACACTCAGACTCAGACTCCCACACCGACCCTGGCCTCGACCACGAGGACGACCACCCCAGCGACAAGGAGCCACACGGAGCCTATCGCCGTGCGCACGCGATCCAGTCGTCGGGCTTCACTACCTGCCGTTCCTAAAGAGGAGGCGAAACCTCGGGAGCGAGAGCCGTCCCCCACGCGGCGCAGGAATAAGATACCGGTTTTCCGACCGAGGCGCACTGCTATCCCGTATTCGTCGGACGAAGATAGTGAAGACGAGCTGAGTTTTTTCTGAGAGATACCAGTCTGGCTTCTCTATTCCTCCTATTTTCTTTTCTTTTCTTTTTCTTTTAACCTGTTGTTTTACTTGATGTCTTCCCATTCGGTTGGCTGGGGATGGTGTTCGTGTTTGTGTTTATTACCCGGCGTTTTTGAATCCCTGTTACTTGGGTTGGTGTTTGTCTGGTCTGGTGATGATGGTTAAGTTGGTTGATACCCGGAACATTCATTCTCGATCCTGTTCTATATCTCTTCTGTTATTATGTTTGGTGTGTTAGGGATAGTGAGGAGTAATTACTCCGGTAGTTAACCTACCTGGTAGATACTGGGTACACTATGATAGTGCACGGTAGTTGAAAAAAACCAATTAGCCGATGATATTATATTGTATTTTTCCGTGATTTATGAGATAGAAAGAGGGAGAGATATCGCAATCCCAAGGTTAAAACTCGGTATGGACGATTCATTTATATGAAGCGACTGTCCTTCTCGTATCCACATCCATCCACATCCACCCACCACCCAGTCACTTACTATCCAAGCTAAGCCAACTTAGTCCGTATAGCGGATATTAGACCCGAGGGAAGAAAAGAAGAAGAGAAATAAGAAAAGAGGGGTAGATCCTAGACAGGTGTGTATAGTTATACGTTTAATTTGTTCAGGTGATCGTAGACGGAGAAATTATATTATGTCCATCTGATAAGTGGGATTCAGGATGGATTAATCAAGTAGAGTTCTGTTGTAGAGCACAGACCTGATGGGATTCGGATAATATGCAATGATGGGTGGATGACCTCGGTTGGTAGTTACTTCTACTTATTTAGATACGAGTGTATAGATAGTAGGTTGATACGAGTCTTCTGCTTGAAGGTCAATATGTAGACAGATAGATACTTCTCATGTGTGGTGTAAGATACGGGGTGGATTCCTGGTCGAGATGTCAACTCAGGCTGAATTCTATTGATTCTTATTTGATTTTTTTCTTTCTCCCAGTAAATACGGTGGAGCATTATTCGCATGACTAGTCCCAGTTGATTGATTGCCAACTGTCGAATATGATGTGTTTGCCTGTTGTCAAGTCCAGGTTCAGGTCCATCAAGTCCATCAAGTCCATTCGCCTCTGATCTACACACGAAAAACCTTGTCATTCGGCACATTGTCCCCATCCCAATCATCATGCCGTATTTTACCACCGTTCAAATCCAGTCCGAGGCAGACCCATCCCCATCATCATCCTGCAGGATTCAGGAGACACACCACACAGGACCCCCCAAGGATAGCGCCAGCCCCACCGGGCTGTAAGGGCCCAAACCAGTCAGAACTAAAAGCCTGCTCGAGATCGATCGGTCCTCCCACTTTTTTTGCTCTTCTTCTGTTTCACAGACTGGGCTGGTCAGCCACTGATCATGCAGGTTGCCCTTGCCGCCACGGAGGGAGCTGCCCCTCCCCTGGTCTGGTCTGCCGCCAAATGGCCGATGGATGGCCGGTGAGGGAGGGATCATTTGCCTCTCTTGCTAGGGGTCTACTTTGAACAAATCAAATAATAAGACAATAAATTAATAAGATGGAAAAAAAATCAATTAAAACAAGGAATGTCAAACTAAAAGGTTGTCAAGGTGTAAAGGTCAAGGAAAGAATGGTAAATAGAGACAGATCAACTGCTGGTCCTGCCTGATCTTCATCTTCGCCTCTCCTTTTTTCTCCACTGTTCTTCTTCTTCTCTGCGCTCTCATTTCTCCGTCTGCTTCTTGGCTTCTTTCTCTCTCTCTCTCTCCCTCCCTCCCTCTTCCTCTTTCCCTCATTCACTCTCTCCCTCCTCCTTCCTCCCTCTCGTCCTTTCCGTCTTTCGTTCCTCAGTAAGAAAGTGACTGGTTCACACTATCGTTGACCACATTCCCTCGTTACTCCGTACCAACCTCACTTTTCCAACCTCCATCTACCCACTCGGCTCCAATTTGGATCGACCTTCTTTTAATTTGGCCGGATCCAACCAAATTAACCGTGCCGTCCCTGGTCCCTTGGTCCTAGTGCCCCCGTTCCCTGGTTCAAAGCGATTGTCTTAGTATACGGCAACGAAAACAAAGGAGAAACCAAGACACCAGGACAAAACAAGGCCATTGTCTGTCTCCCTCCGCTGTCTACCCTACCTGTCAGTGGATTTGGGCCCAGATCAACTGGACGTTGGATTTCTCTCTCTCTTTTATTTTTACATTCGATCCCATCGACGGTTTTCTTCAGTTGATCCCGACCGCTCGACCGGGCTTCGATTCACATTCCCTTGGGTGACCCCCCTTCCTACATCCCTACTTCAGGGATCCCAATAGTTGAGCTGGTCTCGACTCGAATTCAAGTTTCGTTTTTGCTTTGGATTGATCGGTTTATTGGTTATTGTGTGTTTGCGTCTTTAATCCTCCTATCGATATACCTGGTTAGACAGAATGGACATCGAAAAACGCAGCGGCGGCGGCGGCGATGCCGCCTACATGTGGCTCGAGAGTTTGAACGACGACCTCGCTCGCAGGAGCTTGCTCATCCTCGGCTTGATGGCCGCCTTCATCTACCTCTGGAAGACTGGCTTCCGTATCAACGCCCATCTCCGTCGACTCTCCAGCTTCAACAATGACCGACAACGCTACTTCATCTCCGCCGACAGCACCTTCGCCAAGGTCAAGAGCCATCTCATCTATGCCCCCCTGCTGCGCAGCCGTCACAACCAGGAGTTTCAGCTCTCCACCGTCGTCAACTTTGGCACCCTGCCCAGCCGCTTCCACACCTTGATCCTGGTCTGCATCATCGTCATGAACGTCGTCCTCTGCGTCGTCACCGTTCCCTACCATAAAGACGAGCACACCGTCTCCGGCGCTATCCGAAACCGCACCGGCACCATGGCCACCGTCAACCTCATCCCGCTCGTGCTCACGGCCGGGCGGAACAATCCCCTGATCAAGCTGCTCCAGGTGCCTTTTGACACCTTCAACCTCATTCACCGCTGGCTCGCGCGGATCGTGGTCCTTGAAACCATCGCCCATATCTTCGCCTGGGCCATTCCCAAATCGCAAAAGCGTAGGTTTTCTCGATCAGGTCTTTTGGTAGAGAAGTGACAGTGCTGATAATTCGACAGTCGGTTGGCAGATGGTCGGTATGATCTTTGGAAAGAGCTCGTTTCTCCTCAGCGGCTTGATTGTAAGTGTCATTCCATCCGGAAGATTGGTCGACGCAGTCTAACCCAGACAGGCCGGCTGTGCCTTCGTCGCGCTCATGGTGCACTCTCCCTCCCCCATCCGCCATGCCTTCTACGAAACCTTCCTCCATCTCCACATCGCCATGGTGGCCGTCTCGTTCGGCTTCCTGTGGGTCCACCTTGACGGACTGGTGGCGCAGTCGTACCTGCTCGCCGCCGTCATCCTCTGGGCCCTCGAGCGCGCCACCCGACTCTTCATGATCCTGTATCGCAACTGCGGCCGATCGTCCACAACAGCCCTCGTCGAGGCCCTCCCGGGAGATGCCCTGCGCATCACCCTGAACATGGCGCGGCCCTGGTCGTTCCAGCCGGGTCAGCATCTCTACCTGTACATCCCCACCGTCGGCTGGTGGTCCTCCCACCCCTTCTCCGTCGGGTGGAGCCAGCAGGAGGAGATCGCCACCGACGAGAAGGGCATCCCCATGACCAGGCAGGAGGTTTTCGGCTCCGAGAAGACGACCCTGTCCCTCCTGATCCGTCGCCGCACGGGCTTCACCGACAAGCTGTTCCAGCGTGCCGCCAACGCCGCTGAATCCCGCGTCACCCTGCGCGCCTTCGCCGAGGGTCCCTACGGCAGCATCCACTCCATGGACTCGTACGGCACAGTGATGCTCTTCGCTGGCGGCGTGGGCATCACCCACCACGTCCCGTTCGTCCGCCATCTGGTGCAGGGGTACGCCGACGGGACGGTCGCCGCGCGCCGCGTGACCCTCGTCTGGATCATCCAATCGCCCGAGCACCTCGAATGGATCCGCCCCTGGATGACGCGAATCCTCGCCATGGACGGCCGCCGAGACGTGCTGCGGATCATGCTCTTCATCACCCGGCCCCGCAACCCCCGCGAGATCCAGAGCCCGAGCACCACCGTCCAGATGTTCCCGGGGCGACCCAACGTCGACACTCTGGTCGGCATGGAAGTCGAGAACCAGGTGGGCGCCATGGGCGTGCTGGTGTGCGGGAACGGCAGTCTAAGCGACGACGTCCGACGCGTGTGCCGCAAGCGACAAGGTCATTCGACGATCGACTTTGTCGAGGAAAGTTTCACATGGTAGATGCTTGCATATGGCCTTTTTTTTCCTTTTTCTTGTTTCTTTTTCAAATGTTTTCACTTGGGTACGGAATTTACAGCACTTCATGGGATGAGCTATTGTATCGATTTTCTGGGATTTATTTTTTTGCACGCGCACATGACGGATGTACATACCACATTCCTTTGATATCAGTCCAGCATTACCGGCATCGCCGGCTTTACTTGTGTGAATCTCTCCATCTTGCTAGCTAGCTGTCTTGTAGAGGGTTGATTTCTCAGCCTGTAGGACAGCCCTGCCTTCTAGTTCTTTCCTTCTAGATCTTCGTAACCCTCAGATCTTTAATAACCATGATTAATCAATCCAATCACTCAGAGAAGTCGTCATACTCACCACCCATGCACAAAACACACAACCAACCAATGACTGGCATGTTATGCAGCTGCACGGTTGCGCAAGACAAGCCTCCGACCTGCTTGCTGACAGCTTATAAATCAGCCTAGTCACCCGGTGGGTCCAATGCGGGATGACAGAAAGCCCATCCACGGAGGTAATGGCATCATCAGAGACCCCTCGCCCCGTATTAACACCAATAGCCTAGTAGTTAGTTAACTATTTGTCTCCGAAGCTACTCCGTAGCTGGGTAGGTATTAATCATCAAAGTGTAAGGTGATGAGCGGGGTTCGCTGTGCTAGAGCTCTATTTAATGGTGCTGGATTCCACTCCGCATCTGCCTTCAATCGCCCTCGTTGCTCTCATCTTCAGGCTTTCTATCTATTGTCTTGCAGGTATACTAGCACTACAGCTACAGCTTTCAAAATGAGTCGTCCGGATATTACGCTTTATACGGCACAGACGCCTAATGGGATTAAGATCTCGATTGCGTTGGAGGAGTTGGGGTATGTTCTTTCTTTCTTCTTCTTCTCTTCTTCTTTGCTGGATTATCGGTCTCTTTTGATCATTGGATAATGAATACTGACAAGCTGTACAGTCTCCCCTACAAGGTTGAGAATATCAACATTGGCAAGAATACCCAGAAAGAGCCGTACGTACTATTTACCTACCCACCCATACTACCCCCCATTTACCTACGGTAGTACCTACCATGCAATACAATATAATAACATCCCTCTAGATGGTTCCTTGAAATCAACCCCAACGGCCGCATCCCCGCCCTGACAGACACCTTCACGGACGGGCAAAAGATCCGCCTCTTCGAATCCGGCAGCATCCTCACCTACCTCGCCGAACAATACGACAAAGACCACAAGATCTCCTTCGCCCCCGGAACCCGCGAGCACTACGAGATGACCAGCTGGCTGTACTTCCAGAATGCGGGCGTGGGCCCCATGCAAGGCCAAGCGAACCACTTCTCGCGGTACGCGCCGGAGCGCATCGAGTACGGCGTTACGCGGTACACGAACGAGACGCGCAGGCTGTACGGGGTGCTGGATGCGCATCTGAAGACGTCGAAGAGTGGCTTCCTTGTCGGTGACCATATCTCGTTGGCGGATATTTCGCTTTGGGGGTGGGTGGCTGCGGCCGGGTGGGCCGGGGTCGATATTGAGGAGTTTCCGAAGTTGAAGGAGTGGGAGGAACGCTTGGCGGCTAGGGAGGGGGTCGAGAAGGGACGACATGTGCCGACTAGGCATACTGTTAAGGATGTGGTGAAGGATAAGGAGGCTGCTGAGAAGCAGGCTGCTGAGGCGAGGGCTTGGATTCAGCAGGGGATGAAGGCTGATGCTAAGCATTAGTTTATTTACCTGCCGTAGGTGGGTAGGTACTTTTGGGTTGTTATTATATGATAGGCATGAATCTAGTATTGTCATTAATTTTATCATCATCATTGTTTAATTATTTGTCCAATCGTTGATTGAGGAATGTTGTCATGGTCGACTTGTGTTGTAAGTAGAGGCCAGTAGAGAAGATAAAGATTAGTAATATCACATGACCTCAGAGCTTGCCACCTCGCCCGAGCTTATCCTCTCGGTTTTCACCTCACTTTTCTATCATCATTCTATCCATAGGACACTTACCTGCAGTTTTATTAACGTCATCCTTGAGGTCAACATTATGGCCTGGCGAAACCAAGGAATCACAGGCTCCAACAACATCCCTCTGGGCCGCCGTCGCCTCGCCGGCGACGAACCCCATGAAGATGAAAGCCGCACTGCGACTCCCTCATCGGACAACGGGTTCAAGCGCGGCCGGAGCCCCATCCGAGGTACGTCCATATCCCCTGTTCGAATACGATCGCATTCGCTGATGGATGTAGCGGAACCCGCGAGTGATGGCGTCAAGCGCCGCAAGAAGCGCAACCGTTGGGGTGATGCCCAGGAGAACAAGGCTGCTGGTCTGATGGGCTTGCCTACCATGATCATGGCCAACTTCACTAGCGAGCAGCTCGAGGCGTATACTCTTCACTTGCGTATTGAGGAGATTAGCCAGAAGCTTCGCATCAACGATGTGGTTCCTGCGGATGGAGACAGGTTAGTACTTCCCGTCGATGTTATGCTATCCTTGGTTTTATATTCTGACTCCTGCAGATCGCCCTCTCCCCCCCCGCAGTACGACAACTTTGGTAGACGTGTAAATACTAGGGAATATCGTTATCGGAAGCGTCTCGAAGACGAGCGCCACAAGCTGGTCGAAAAGGCGATGAAGACCATTCCTAACTACCACCCGCCTTCTGACTACAGACGTCCCACCAAGACCCAGGAGAAGGTCTATGTTCCAGTGAATGACTATCCAGAGATTAACTTCAGTATGATAACTAACCCTCTAACTCCTAACCGTTCCTGTGTTGTGTCTGTCCCTCATGACTGCTCGAGTCGAGCTCGCAAGGAAGTCATCGCCCGTCGATGGTTTTCGGGGCTCGCTTCTTGCTAACCCTCATGCTTGATACCATTTCATTTTTGCTATCCCATCTTTGATAAAACCACCTTCAACTAACACTTAGCTCTTTGCTACCTTTTAAGTTGGCTTACTCATAGGACCCCGTGGTAACACCCTCAAGAAGATGGAGACCGAGTCGGGGGCCAAGATTGCCATCCGTGGAAAGGGCTCCGTCAAGGAAGGAAAGGGTCGATCTGACGCCGCTCACGCTAGTAACCAGGAAGAAGATCTCCACTGTCTGATCATGGCAGACACGGAAGAAAAGGTTAACAAGGCTAAGAAGTTGGTGCACAACGTTATTGAGACTGTGAGTACCTCCCCTCCGCCGGCGGGACGTGATCGACGACTGACCAAACAGGCCGCTTCTATCCCCGAAGGCCAGAACGAGCTCAAGAGGAACCAACTCCGTGAGCTGGCTGCCCTGAACGGTACTCTCCGTGACGATGAGAACCAGGCTTGCCAGAACTGTACGTTCCTCTTCCGCCCCCCCTGTATATTAGAGATGTATGACTAACAATCACAGGCGGCCAAATCGGTCATCGCAAGTATGACTGCCCTGAGCAGCGCAACTTCACCGCCAACATCATCTGTCGTGTCTGTGGCAACGCCGGGCACATGGCTCGCGATTGTCCCGATCGCCAGAGAGGCTCCGATTGGCGCAACGGCGGTGGCGATGGTGGCCGCAGGGCTATTGGCAGCGGCGATGCCGTCGACCGGGAAATGGAGGTAGGTTCATTCATCCTATACAATACTGGCTATGTCATGATACTCACGTCACTAGCAACTCATGCAAGAACTGTCTGGTGGTGCCCCCGGCGAAGACGGCCAGCCCATGCGCCGCATCGAAGCCGGTCCCGAAGGCGAGTACGACGACCGCGACGCGAAGCCCTGGCAGCGTGGCCCGCCGGCCAGCGACGTGGCTCCCTGGCAGCAGCGCCGCGACACCCGCCGCGACGACTACGGCTCCCGCGATCAGGGCGGCGCCGCTCCTTGGGCTGCTCAGAGCCGCGGTGGCGATCATGGCTACGGTGGATACGGTGGCTACGGCGGTGCTCCGGGCGCTGCTCCGGGCGCTGCCCCGTGGCAGCAGCAGGCGGCCCCTCCGCCGCCGGGTGGACCGGCTGCGTACGGATACGGTGCTTACCCCGGATATCCCTCAATGGCAGCGATGGGTGCTCCCCCGGGCGCTCCCCCCGGCCCTCCCCCTGGTGCGCCTCCGGGCCTAAGCGGAGTGCCTCCGCCGCCGCCGCCGCCGCCGGGCATGCCGTCCATGTACTATGGCTCAGGCAGTCCTCCGCCGCCACCTCCCGGCGATGGTCCTCCCCCTCCGCCGCCCAGCGACAACCCCCCGCCGCCTCCTCCCCCTGCTTGAACAGCCAATCGCTAGGATTTGGTTGTCTTTTTTCTTTTTATATTTGCTACTTACTACTACTCGCAATATGGTCTGTGGTATCTCAGGACCGAAAGAGACGAAAAAGGGGAAGAAGCGCAGGGTTGATAATTGTTTACGGGATCGTTTTGAATCTCGATAGCCCATGAATTGTAATTTTTGTATCCAAATTGAGGCTTTCTGGCCTGGTTAGTGTGTTGATTAATAGTCAAAAGGGTCTTTTTATTTGTCTTTTCCATTCGTATTGAGATGCATTGGTGAAGTTAGAGATTCGGATATCTTGTCTTGTAGATGAAAACTGCTGCAGTGAACCTCTACGTTGTATGCGAATGGATGCACACCGCAACGGAAGAAGGTTTTCCCGACCGAGATGATTTTCGCCATTGTCATTAGGCTCATCGGTTCAACGTACTCGAATTGTTGTCGAGGTTATCTGGAATCTCCTGTGTTCTTACCGTATCCTTTTGTCAAGTGGGTTACATACATTAGGATCCTCCCGAATCAAAGCATGATTTAGTCCCTTAACCCTCCCGGATCCCGCCCCCGCCCATCGTCAACCTTGGCTCAACAACCGGTGTGCAACATGCAGGCACCCGGGAGTAACGCAGCTGGTAGCCAGGCTGATCCAACTCCGCACTCGCGCAAGCCGTGGAATTCCCATTCCCAGTCGCGGCTTTCTCACCACGATCATGATCAAGACCAGGACCGTCCGCAGGGACACGACCCCGAGCCGATCGCGCGGGAGCACACCCGACGATCCACCACCACGCACTCATCCACGCGCTCAGCCAAATGGTGGCGCGTACGACTCTTCCGCGGCATGGTCAAGGATGTGAGGCGCCGCGCTCCCTACTACTGGAGTGACTGGACCGATGCCTGGGATTACCGGGTTATCCCTGCGACGGTGTACATGTTTTTTGCCAAGTATGTACATACTCTGCCTGGGGCTTGCTCGGAGCTCCGGACAGGCAAGACAAGATCGTTACTAAACGCGCCGTAGTATCCTGCCCGCTCTGGCTTTCTCGCTGGACATGTTTGAAAAGACGCACCAGAGCTACGGTGTTAACGAGGTGCTTCTCGCGTCCGTCCTGGGTTCTGTGGTGTTCGCCCTTCTGGCGGCGCAGCCACTGGTGATTGTTGGCGTGACGGGGCCTATTACTGTGTTTAATTATACGGTTTATGACATTATTGCGCCGCGGGGGACGCCGTATTTGGCTTTTATGTGTTGGATTGGGATGTATGTCTCCCCTCCCCCACCTTTCAGATTGCGGGTGCGGGAAGCGCAGCGCTGACTGGCTAAAGCTGGTCACTCATCATGCACTGGTTCCTCGCCATAACGAATGCATGCAATGCTTTAACATACGTCACTCGCTTCTCGTGTGACATCTTTGGCTTCTACGTCGCGTGCATCTACCTCCAGAAAGGGATCCAGGTGCTGACGCGCCAGTGGGGCCAGGTCGGCGAGACGTCGGCGTACCTCAGCATTATGGTCGCGTTGTTGGTGCTGATGAGCGCGTGGATATGTGGCGAGCTAGGGAACAGCAATCTGTTTCAACGCTACGTGCGGAAGTTCCTTGAGGATTATGGCACGCCGTTGACGATTGTCTTCTTTACGGGGTTCGTCCATATCGGTCATATGAGGGAAGTCAACGTCGCGACGTTGCCGACTAGCAAGGCTTTCTTTCCTACGATGGATAGGAGCTGGCTTGTGAATTTTTGGGATATTGATGTGGGGGATATCTTCCTCGCTATTCCGTTTGCGCTCCTCTTGACTATTCTCTTCTACTTTGACCATAACGGTACCCCGTCCTCTTCCCTCTTTCACCTTTATACACCATCTAATACAATACAGTATCCTCCCTAATCGCCCAAGGAACCGAATTCCCCCTCCGCAAACCCGCCGGCTTCCACTGGGACCTCTGGCTCCTAGGCCTAACAACCTTCGTCGCAGGCCTTCTCGGCATCCCCTTTCCCAACGGCCTCATCCCCCAAGCCCCCTTCCACACTGCCGCCCTCTGCGTCACCCGCGACGTCGCCGACACAGACGACACCAACAAAGGCAAAACCGTCCGCATAACAGACCACGTCGTCGAACAACGCGTCAGCAACCTCGCCCAAGGCCTCCTCACCCTCATCGCCATGACCGGCCCCTTACTAATCGTGCTCCACCTCATCCCCCAAGGCGTCATGGCCGGCCTCTTCTTCATAATGGGCGTCCAAGCCCTGCAAGGCAACGGCGTCACGCAGAAATTGATCTTCCTCGCGCAAGATCGCGCTTTCACGTCTGCGTCCAACCCGCTCAAGCGTGTGAAGCGTCGGCGCGCGATTTGGGTCTTTGTGGTGCTGGAGTTGGTCGGGTTCGGGGCTACGTTTGCGATTACGCAGACGATTGCTGCGATTGGGTTTCCGGTTATCATTTTACTGTTGATTCCTGTTCGCTCGTTTCTGTTTCCGTTGTGGTTTGAGGGTGAGGAGCTGGCTGCGCTGGATGCGCCTACTGCTAGTCCGTTTACGATGGAGAGTGTGGGGGGGACTCATGGTGTGGACGATGATGAGTCGGGTGATGGGCCTGGTGCGGGAGATGGAGCTGCCCACCGGCGATCGCTCTCGAAGGCTGATGCTGGTGGAGAGCAGATGATGCGTCGTGGGGAGGGGTCAGGGGCTGAGTCTCCTGCTGAGGGGGATTTGGAGCGTGGAGAAGCGTTCGAGATGCAGTCGAGGGCGGGGATGCGAAGACGGAGCATGGCTAGTGGGGGTGAATGACTGGACAGGCCCTGTTGGACCGTGGCATTGACTGGATATTTCTAATATATACTTACACATTTTCACTGGGGGGTGGAACATTCCCGCACCCTCATTAGTTGATATCCTTCACTTCCTGAGGCCCGACGGAGCTTGTAGCTTACCGATTGCGAGGCAAGAAAAGCCCAGAACATGCCTCTTTTAGCCCGAAGCTAGTTGTTTCAGACTTAGCGCCCCGTGAGAAGAAGGTTTACATGAGATGATAACCAAGGAAAACCATGGATTTCCATGTTTCTCGGGGGACAGCGTAGATCCTGAACTCCACGTGACTGATAACTCACATCAAGACAGGATACAGGGTTCCACCAAAACAACCAGCCAAGTTAGGTCTTGTCAAACACGCCTGGTGGAAAATGCTAAATAATGCAATTTGCCCGCTTTATTCAGTAGTATAAGCACAGTGAGTGATCAATATTGTGTTTTCTTTTTCATCATACTCGTACTGTTGATTTCAAAGTGATGCTCCAGGGATCATTGACCGAATGTCTTCAATTGCCAACCTACTTATGGCGTATGAGAGAAAAAATGTTATACTCGAGTTTTGGGGATCTCCCTGGCGAATTACTGCAAGCCATTGCATCATACTTGCCAGCACGAGACCTGTGCATATTTCGGCTGGCCTGCAAGAGCATATATGAGAGCACTCTATATCTCTACCGCTGTAGACTTTTCGGTGAATTACAGACAGACTTGTCTTTGAGAAGTCTGAAAAGAATAGAGACAATAGCGAGCGATCCAGAGCTGGCACCACATGTTCACTTCCTGACCGTGAAATTCGTCGATGATTTCGAAAATAAACTTGCAGAAGGTTTGGTGTGGAATCGGCGTACTTCCGGCTACCTGAACTCCGATGCAGACGTTCAGAAATGGGGTGAGGCACTCGGTGGTCTGATAAATTGCACCTCTTTTCACCTGATCCGGCATGGCTGGTCCGACAAAGACAGCTGTTTGGACCATTTCACGTCTACTGATATTATAACACTGGTTCTCACCAGTATAATCAATCAGAATATGACCGTGCGAGAATTTTTGGTTGATTTCATACCGCCAGGTATCGGAGGAGCAAATGAATTAGACTTCAGACGCCTTAATGTCCCTGATCTTCGGGGGCTGGAGTTTATCACTACCTGGGCTAATCTGGAAGTCCTCCTGTTGAACTTCACAATGAGCAATTCTGAGATGATTGAGTGGATTGATCCAATGGTTCGGCACGCAACTGGTCTACGGGAATTGACAATCCAGTTCGATAGTGGATTGGCAAGCGGCGACATGTTCAAGCGTCTTTCCTCTATTGAAACACCCTCACAGCTGCAAAAGATTTCACTGAAGGGGATTTCGAGATCAGCAAACGTGGACGGGGCAATCTTAGGCAAGCTATTGCGAAGACATCGGGACAGCCTTCGTGTTCTTAGCATCAGGTCGTTTACACTGGACATACCGGGCTGGAAACCAATACTCGGAATGCTTAGCGAGTTTCCTCTGCTCGAGAACATCTCTTTTAATAACCTCAGAGAAGGTCGCTCACTGATCCAATTTCCGGTCGCTTCTGAAGTCCCGGAGTTTGATGGGGCTACGCAGTTTACATTCTGCTCTCGGAGGCAAAAAGACCGAACCGTCAATCATATTGTTAGTTGTTGGGGACCGAAAACAAAAGCTATCATTCAGCAACTTGCCGAGTCAATGGAGCTACCCCGTTAAGTATGTTAACAACAGAGGATGAGCGATTCAGAGCCGGAGGTTGTCGGCACCAGCCAGCCCAGCTTGCCACGCGAGCGCCAATCAACTTTGCAGGGATAAAGGGTACTCTCCTTCCCCAAACTCCGGGTCTCTGACACCAAAGCAACAATAGTAGAACTGAGGTGTTCCAGTCTTTCTGAAAGCAGCGGAGGAGCCATCCACCGACTCAGTTGAACATTCCTTATCGTACCTGGAGCTTTATACCGTCACGGATTAAGCAGGTCTACGCAGTCGCATAGACGACTGCTGTTTTTGCCCCGAGATATCGAGATATATTGCAGGACTATATACCGAGCACAAATTCATAGAAGATTGGTCGTTCACAGGACATACGGATAAACATTATAGCTGCACCCGGGCCGAATTCAGTGCCATCCCAAGTCATTGTTTGGTCCCTATAGCATTATCAATGGGAATTAAGAAGCCTTGTTTGTTTTTCATTTGATTTTTATCTTTCCATGTATATTCAAGATGAGAAGCAATCCTACAATATCATGCCAGGTAAGGTGGAGTGCCTCCTGCTGTATATAACACTTATGATGGCTGATGGTGCCTATATTGAACAAATACAACGGAGGGACTGAAATAATATGTACTTCTTCTTCTTTCTAAGTTGAAAACATCTTGTAGAGAGGCCTCTGTGTGTATCAGAATGTCCCCCGGAATCCGCCCCAACTGGATTAGGGCTGTGGTGGTGGGGATGTCAGCTTGTCTTTGATGTGTTCAAAGTCGGCGGGGTAACATGAGATCCGAAACTACTTGAGCAGAAATAATTGCTTGGAACACGCAGGCTTCGAAGAATGAATAGTCAGGTCAATAACAGCATCTATACTCATCGTGCCATATCAGGCGCTGCGCACGGTAGCCTCAGGCAACAGTAGATGTAGTAGCCTCAGGCATACATGGTATGTGGCCAGTGTGGGTCCAGAAAACCAACCCCATTGGTAACCATCACGTGGTGTCCACACTCTACACCGCTCCAGCGGTCACCTTTTCTGCCGAAGAATTTATCAGATCGATCAAAAAGAAAGAAAAAAAAAGAAGCAGAGGAAAGAGAGACAACGAACACAGTCAACATAATGGCGCCATCGCACTCCCCAGACCGGGTATCAGCATCAGTATCGGCATCGGAGGATTCGGATTCTCACTCCTCCTCAAGCATATCCGACACTGAACAAGAAACCCACGCCCGCGCCCCAAAACGGAGACGTCTATCAGAGACACCGGACGACGACGACGATGATGAAGACAACGAGGATGAAGAAGACAAAAGCTACACAGCCCCAGCCCCCATCGCCACAGTCTCGCGAATCAAAAAGAAAGACACATCAAGCGCCCAGCCCGCCCAAAAATCCGAAACCAACCCAGAGCTAATCAGAGATGCTCTGGAAATCGGCCTGCAGGAGGAAGAGTCCTCGTTCAAGGCGCTGAATGTCGCGCCGTGGCTGATCGGCTCGCTGACGACGATGGCGGTCAGGAAACCGACGGCTATCCAGAGGGCTTGTATCCCGGAGATTTTGAAGGGCAGGGACTGCATTGGTGGGAGTAGGACGGGATCTGGTAAAACAATTGCGTTTGCGGTGCCCATTTTGCAAATGTGGGCGCAGGATCCGTTTGGAATTTTTGCGGTGGTTTTGACACCGACTCGGTATGTCTCTTTTCTTTCTGATCTGGGGGTTTAGAAGAAGAAAAGAAAAAGGAAGAAAGCTAATTCAAGCAGAGAACTCGCCCTCCAAATCTACGAACAAATCAAAGCAATCTCCGCCCCCCAAAGCATGAAACCCGTCCTCATCACAGGCGGAACAGACATGCGCGCGCAAGCTATCGCCCTCTCGCAGCGTCCGCACGTCGTCATCGCCACCCCCGGCCGTCTCGCAGACCACATCAACACCTCCGGCGAAGATACCGTGCGCGGCCTCAAGCGCGTCCGCATGGTCGTCATGGACGAAGCAGACCGACTCCTCTCCCCGGAAGCAGGCATGCTCCCGGACGTAGGAACCTGTCTCTCTGCCCTGCCCCCCTCCTCCGACCGCCAAACCCTCCTCTTCACAGCAACAGTGACACCCGAAGTGCGCGCGCTGAAATCCACGCCCCGATCTAACTCCAAACCCCCGCTCTTCATGACCGAAATTTCCACCGAAAGCAAAGACTCCATCCCCCCGACCCTCAAACAAAGCTACCTCAAAGTCCCCATGACTCACCGCGAAGCCTTCCTCCACGTACTCCTCTCCACAGACGCCAACGCCCAAAAACCAGCCATCATCTTCTGCAACCGCACGCAAACAGCAGACCACCTCGAGCGCATGCTCCGCCGGCTCGCTCACCGAGTCACATCACTACACAGCCGTCTCCCGCAGTCCGAGCGAAACGCAAACCTCGCCCGCTTTCGCGCCTCAGCCGCTAGAGTCCTCGTCGCGACGGACGTCGCCTCCCGTGGTCTCGATATCCCCTCTGTCAGCCTCGTCATTAACTACGACGTCCCCCGAAACCCAGACGACTACGTGCATCGTGTGGGACGTACCGCCCGTGCGGGCCGCTCCGGTGAAGCTGTGACGCTTGTTGGGCAGCGCGATGTGCAGCTTGTGTTGGCTATTGAAGAGCGCGCGGGACGCCAGATGGAGGAGTGGAGTGAGGAGGGTGTTAGTGTTGAGGCGCGTGTTGTGCGTACCGGCGTGCTCAAGGAAGTAGGGGCTGCGAAGCGCGAGGCCGCTGCTGAGATTGATGAAGGGAGGGATGTGTTGGGGAGGAAGAGGAATAAGTTGAAGAAGGTGCGGTAGTACTAGTCTTTTTGTTGTATTAGTTTTCTTTTCTTTTTTTTTTTTTGTCTTCTTCTTTGGTTTTGGTTTGGAATATGATGCTGTACATACGCACCTATATTTTCTACACGGCTTCGGCTCTTCCTCTTTCCAAGTTAGTGCTCACTTCTCGCTGCTTTTTGCTCATTAAGAAGACCTTAGCACGCGCTAAGTTGATCACCAAGTAGAGGACTGAGCGGAGAAGTGAGTAGCCTGTGCAGAGAGTAGCCTTGGGGCTTGATACTAACTTTCATATAGTTTCATCCACTTAACCCAAGAATAATGTCTTAGATAGAACAGGTGATTATAGTCAATATTCCTTCTACTTCACCATGAAGCAGTCTCTCCGGTGGAAATAGGTCCAAGTAATCCCTTGGAATCATTGTTTTCATTGTCTATGTTACTCATATGTTTGCAATAGACGCATGTAATATGACATCCATGTTTCATTGTATCATCAATATTCCATACTATGATAAAAAAAAATAATAGTTTTTCTTTTTTTTTTTTTTTTTCTTTAAAGGGGGGGGGGGCTGGCTCTTGTCCAACGTGTAAAGAGTATTTTAGCCTGGTTTGATCTTTCCATTGCTGGCAAGTCCACTGCAAGATCAATATAGAATTGAAGGGGAAAAATTACTGAAAAGATTGACCTATGGGAAGGGGGAAGTGATAGAGGTATTGCCAGTTTGGAGAACTAGTGTTTGATAATTACCAGGGGAGTTCATATCATCTACACAGAGAGTTCGCCAGAGAACGATTAATACAGACATCATGGGTGCAAACACCACGAGCTACTCACAGTGTAGCACGTCGCCTGGAGAATACAAATAATCTACGCAGAAGGCCTCCGGCTTCCTATCATGTGGGAACAAGTGTGGGCCGCAGGGTCGATGGCCATCACCTCCCTGCGTGGTAGCTGCAAGTGTCTCTATTCTGACGCCTGCATGTCAATTCCATGAGGCGGCGCTTTCCTACCTACCAATAGCCGCTGACCTCACTGATCTCCTCCCCTGCTCAGCCGCCTCCTGGAGGCCTCCGACTTGGAGACGAGACACTACGCGACACATCACCGCCTGCGGCAGCGGAGAATCGAGCAGTAGATGTGAAATCCGGAAGCATGATGGAATCGCCCAAAGCAATGCTAGATACCTCATGTCAGTTGGCCCTAGTCATTGGCGGGGATGATCCCACGCAGACCGTCGTGGTCGACACAGTGGCCCGACCGTTCTCGCATATTGCAACGCATGCCAGCTTCCGCGAATGGGCGGGGGCGGTTGAACGCAAGAGGCCCCTTGGACATGAACAGATTACTCGGAGCGGATGAGAAACGACGGAAGCCTTCATGTGCTCAAAAGAAGAATGCACGACTTATAAAAGGGTTGCCCGTTCAGTCCCAAAGATTGAACAACTCTCCCATAAGCTCTCCTATTCTACAATTCCCGAGTTCTCTCATCCTCGCGAAATCGCCTATCTGATAGTCAGGCGTTTGGGTCCCTCCGAACGGATAGGAAAAACATGTACGACGAAAGCCCGGAAGACCTGGTGCTGGAACAACAACAAAGCAGGCTGAGGCTACTGTATGAGCCTCTGTCGCTGCTCGATACACTGGACCAAACGAGAGGTGATCGCATCAGACCCGACGATGTCCCATCGCATGGCGCCAAATTCAGTTTGATCAATAGCCAACGGTCCTTTGTCAATGCAATCGCCTACATCTGTGCATACAAGAAAGGCCCGGCCTACGTGACCGCTGCCGCGTTGGAAAAGGCGCCAGAAGAGATAGTTCTGTGGCTCGCGGCAAATCAGGGCATAGAACTCGCGGTAATCGATTTTTTGAACCCGGTCGTGAAAATCATCACATGGCTAGTCGGCAAGACAAGTGCGAGGTTGAAAAATGAGGAAGGGGCATCGGCATTGAGCCACCTGACGGGCATAACCCTGTCTTTCAATTCCCCCAGAATCTTTTCATACTATCGCCAGATAGTGAACCAGGCGGCTCCCGATGTGATGCCTGAGTTGGCTCGGGACCCACGTTTTCGAGGTCTGTCTCCTGTTCTCCAGCTGCCCTTTTCTTTTCTTTTCTTTTTCTTTGGAGGACACATCTGACACCCCTGAAATTTCAAGATATTCCGGATGTCATCGAGTTCAGGAAATGGCTGGCCACACATCTATATGAAGATCATGTCCAACTCCAGGAGCTTGACATGCCACGCCTAGCCAAAAAATGCTACGAATCACGGAAAACTTTCGATGTTCTCCGAAGCCTGGGAGGGGAGCCACGGCAGACCGAACGTTTCGAGCATCTGTACAAGCTGCTAGGAAAGCTCGGGAAGCATGTGGTGATGTGCAAGCGGCTGGTGGAAGCAACTATTGTGCTACGGACGGAATTTGTGCGTGGACTCGCTGTCAAAACAGTCCCAGGATCAAGAGAGCGCCCAATTCCGCTAGTGCGCC